TAGGGGCCTTAAAAAATTGAATAGGGTTTTGGGGCCCATTACACTGTATTTATAGTAAGGAACCCCCAAACTACTGTTGGTAATTCTTTAAAGCCCCTATATGGGTAGTAATCAAAAGCTGCAATAAGGACCCAATAAGGGACCCTCATTTTGACAACCACCCATAATATTCTTTAGACTCCTCCGGGGTGGCACGCTCCAGGACCCACTGGTCCAGGCAGCCCTGGGCATCGGTGGTGGAGGAGGAGATCTGCTGCCGGCCTGAGCTCAGGCTTGTAGGGTTGTGATTATTACCCTAAACCCTAAACCCTAGACTCTAAACCCCAAACCCCAAACCCAAAACCCTACTTGGAGGATCATGGGACTTAGTAACTAGGGTTATTAATAAGGTAACTATACTTATAACTCCAATTCGGGTACTTATAACCTTACTTATTAAGTCCCACTTGAATATCATGTAAAGCCTATACTCTGGGATTTTCATAGCCCCGCCACAGACGCTGAACTCGAAATGGCCCTTGTGATGCGCAGTGATGCGGATGGAAGCAGACACGACCGATCCTGCGGTCCAGGTCCTGCCAAAGAAAACAAGGGGTTTACTTGGAGAATCATGGGACTTAGTAAGTAAGGTCATAAGCACCCTCATTGGAGTTATAAGTATAGTTACCTTATCTATAACCCTCGTCACTAAGTCCCATGATCCTCCTAGTAAGGTTGGGGGCTTAGGGGTTTGAGGTTTGTTGGGTTTGGGGGTTTGGGGCTTTTGGTGTTTAGGGTGTGTGTGCTTTAGGGCTTAGGGATTTAAGATTGAGGGTTTAGGGGCTTCAGGTTTAGGGATTAAGGGTGGGGGTTTACGGTTTCGGGGCTTAGCGGTTTCCGAGTAACGGGTGCAACATGTCATCGGGATCACTGTTCACTGGAGTCTCGTTCTGGACTTGCTTCACGGATCGGGTGCCTTAGCGAGTAGGTTAGTAAGTCGAGTAGCCTCTTTTAGGGCATAAGTGGAGTTATAGTTGGGATCTAGAACAGCCTGACCTAGCATACGATGGAATTAGAATTAGGATACCTGACTGCGCGTTATGGTACGTTTTAACTTGTCACTGCAAGCTTTACTTGCTAGCTAACTCCCATGACCCTCTAAGCTTAAGCCTTCTCAGAAGTCCTTGTCACTTAGCCTGACACCCCAAAAACCCCAACACGGCTTAATTCAGGAAGACTCAGATCAAAGGGGCTAGATACCATGATTTGAGATAAGCAAGGAAGAGAATTAACTTGTGAGGGCTTCGTGTGGGTAGTTCTCTAACTTAGGGTCCCTGTTCAGGTCCCCAAAAGTAGTACGGCACCCATATACAATAGATCCGAAAAGGGGGTTTAAAGACCCATCCATATTCTTTTTTAGGATTTATTAAGGCGTCTTGGGCTCTCCGGGGAGCCCCTTCCCTCGAAACCTCAAGCAGAAACAGAATGCTCAGCACGCGGATCCTAAAAATCTGGTACCATGATATGGTGTCGGGCTTAAGGGGAAGATGAGGAAGCCCGACCTCGACCCCAATGTAGGGGCCTTAAAGATTAGAACCGGCTTTTGGGGTGGGTTGCAGCATCATTGAGATTATAGGTACCGTATTTTGGGGGTCCTTATAATAAGGATCCTAGGATAGGGTACTATATTAGGGTCCCCTATTTTGACGACCCGTCCTTAGTGGGTCGGTACCGGCGTTGACGTAGTCGCCTGGCGAAGGTCGGGGACTCAATTCTCAAAGCTTTCGGGCTTGGGGGTGAAGAAATCGGCAACGGGAGCGAGAGTTGGAGACTGAGACATTCAGAGAAGCCAAGCGATGCCGACATTGGGTTTCGTATGGATGTTTCATCATGTTGTACAAGGGCTTGTGAAATTCCGCTCTCTCCACCCTCAAAATGCCCGTGACATGCCCAATGAATGGTATCATGGAACCATGGTAAGCGCGTCTATGATACGCACGAGAGACGCAACAACACTAGCAGCAAGCAGAAAGCAAGCGTCAACCACGCCCGACCACAGCAACTTACAGCTCAGCGGCTGTCGCTCGGCCATTGGTTGCCATCGCCACAAATCCCATTGCCGTTGCCGCAGTGTGGACAGTAGCCTGGGGAAGAGGGCACCCCGACCCCACCTTGACCCTACGCCACAAAACCCTAAAACGATAGATCCTTGGTCCTGCTGCGCCTCCATTGTGATTACCTTTGTTGAGAATTATGTATCGTTGGGGGTTTGGGGGGACCAAACCACAAACATAGAACCCTCATCAGACCTACACTCCTGCGTTTGAAAACCCATCCCTACAAAACTTAAGCTTGCCTTAAACTGTTAAGAACCCTGTGTTGATTCTTTGAAAACGCTGATCGTACCCCGACGCAAGCGACACCAAATAACAAAACACAGGTGATGCCCCTTCCGGGTTTAGGCTTGTGCACACGCATGCTATGACGTGCTTGTATGTGCACATGCATGTATATGCATGTGTGTATTGATATATGCATGCATGCCTGCCTGGAAGCATGCATGCAAGAATGCAAGCATGCAAGCGTGCTAACGTGTGCGCACTCAAACAAGTGTGCAGGTCTCTAGCTGTGCACACATTGACCTAAAACCGCCCGCAGGGTCTGGACATCCGACTGCTGCAAGACTGAAGGCCTTGCACCGTACCGCCCCGTACCGCGCCACCGTACCGCCCCGCACCGTCCCACCGCCCTGCCGCCACACACCACACCACCGTACCGCCCCGTACCGCCCCGGACCGCCCGGGATTGAGGGCGTTGCATGTGACAATGTGGAGGGTGGTCCTAACTCCTAACCGTACACCTTCAACGCCGAAACTCCATGTTGTTTTACCGCACTTGGTTGCAGGACCCCTGTCGCTGTCGGATGTGTGCGAAGCCTTTGCTACCTACTTGCCTAAGGGCACAGCTCTGAAATCCAAGCACTAAACCCAACGCCTTGCTTCTCGCCCATGGCGTTGCCCGATTTTCAACCCTTAACCTCTAAGCCCTAAACCCAAAACTTTGTGCCGGGTGGCCATTCTTTGGGCCAGACTGGACGTTGCGTGCTGGGGGCTCGAACATGAAACCATGGCCTGGGAAGTTTTATCTTGATCGGGCTCGCTTTCAGGATACCAACGTAAACCCCAGATTCAGCTCTGGGCGTCGGATTGTGGTCTGCAATCTTTAGCTAACAACCCCGAAGACTAAACCGAAAAACTTAAAAGATCGGACCAGGCCCGGGTCCCGACGCCGAAACTGGGGCTTGATATCAGGAGCTTGTTAAATACAAGGCTTTCGGGCTTAGGGTTGCCGGTTGGACTACGGTTCTACGGCTTTGTAAGGTTTAGGAAGCCACGAAGCCGTCGAAGTGATAAGAGCTCGGGTTTACAGGGTAGGATGAGGTAGGAGTCGGGGTCAGGGTTGGAGGCTTCGGGTTGCATGGAGACGTGTAGTTCGGTTTCGGAAGGGCGCAGGATTTCAAGTTTCGGGCCGTGGGGTTTAGCAAGGGACCCTAAGAAAACCCTAAACTAAACACCCTAGGCCCTAGACAATAAACCCTTTTTGTTCGTTGCCCAAAGGGCCCCAAGCGCTCCGCACCGTGGCGGAGGCGGCGAGAAAGGCCAAGGCCTCTGACGACAGCTGTTCAGGGTTGAGGGTTTCGGGTTTAAGGTTTAAGCTGTCCTTTGAGCTACCGTACCTTCAGACTGAATAAATCATAAGGATCTTACCAGTAAGGCTTACGGGTAATGTTTAAAGAAGCTGGGAATGTATATGCCGTTGTCTAGATGACACCGTAAGGCGTTTGTACCGCCCTGTCCATGCTGAGTCCCCTGCGCTAGTGCAGGCTCTCATGGCTTCAAGAGAGCGTGGCAGTCACTGAATCCCCAGGGGCACAGACACGGCTGCGGTCACGTCGACGTGAAGCAGAGATTGATAAGAATGGGACCCGAACCCTTCACCCTGGAAACTGGACACTGTAACTTTGCCTAAACCCCTTGGATGGCATCTTCGGTGATGAACGGGTAATGAAGGAGGAAGGGAGCTTCACCGCTGCTGGGATGCTATGGTTGGCACGATCGGGCATTCGCCATATTATAGGGTTGTTTTTGAGTGGCGATACACCACAACATCAATCATGACCTGGCGCACATACAATCCTGATTCAAGCTCTTGCTAAACCTGCATGTGCACCAGCTAAAATTCTGAATAGGGGCACTCCTGCCACTTTCCCACCCCTACCCATCCCCTCCGTCGAACAAAGCCGACTGGGATGGGTACCCCAATGCACCGGAAAGATACCAGAAGACTTGCGTCTACGACAGTATACCTATAAAGGGGACAATGACCACGTGGCACCGATCACCGATCACGCCGTGTGTAGAATCCCGAGCCGAAGATGTAAGGAGACACCGGATGGGTCATGTGCTACCGCACAAACCGAATCCTAGATCCCTCATCCTTCACCTCAGAGGACCCACTTGGAGGATTATCGGACTTAGTAACTAGGGTTATAAGTAAGTGTAACTATACTTATAACTCCAATTAGGGTACTTATAACCTTACTTACTAAGTCCCACGATCCTCCAAGCACGGTATGTCGAACAAAAAGGGGCCGGGATCACGTTTTCAAGCAGCGAGGCGAAGCGTCGGACGACTATCCAAAGGGCGCAAAGATTGCGCACACTACACTGTAATCCTATATTATATATATATATATATATATGTACATACATATTATAATGCCTTTTGCGTTGACCCAGCTTGGGCCTGGGACGGTAGCTCTCGACTGAAATGGGATCACCATGGAAGTATACTTCTGCCGATTTCTACTGTAAAACCCCCCTGTTAAGGAACCCTACAAGGAGCCCTTTAAGGAACCCTACAGATCCCTTTAAGGAGCTCTTTCAGAAACCCTACACTAGTTCCCCTGATCCCCCTGTTCATAGATGTTCCCTGCCGGACCAGGGACTTCTCCACGGGTCTCACTTGGCTCCGCTCTTCGAGAGGAGGTCGACGATGTCCTGCTTGGAGGATCATGGGACTTAGTAACTAGGGTTATGAACAAGGTAACTATACTTATAACTCCAATTAGGGTACTTATAACCTTACTTACTAAGTCCTATGATCCTCCAAGTGGTGGGGCTTGAGCACCCAGAGTTTAGCTTCTTGGGGTGCGAGTTGAGGGCTTAAGGGTTTAAGGGTTTAGGGCTTGAGGGTTGAAGCGTCTAAATTTTCGGACGGGGTTTGGCAATGTCTGTGTGAGGGCGCGCCTGTACGTATATGTATATACATATGTATATATATATATATATATACACAGATAGATGGATAGATAAATAGATAGATCGAGCGAGAGAAAGAGCGAGAGAGAGAGAGAGGGAGAGAGAGAGAGAGGGAGAGAGAACGAAAGAAAGAGAGAGAGAGAGAGAGAGCGAGATATAAAGAAAAAGTCACACAAAAATTCACCAAGATGCATCGATAAAAAAACTAAAGTTACGTGCACACATTAACAAGTTAATACATACATACATACATACATACATCTGTGTACAAAATAATGCGTTACAATAGATTGCATTGCACTGCATCGTACCACACTACATTACATTACACTACGGTACGAGCACATCTATGTACAGAACTTATGTGTCATATCAGTTGAAGACAGAAAAGTGAGGATGCGGGACATCAACACTACGGCACGAGCACATCTATGTACAGCACTTATGTGTCATATCAGTTGAAGACAGAAAAGTGAGGATGCGGGACATCAGGAAGCAGGTCAACAGGAGACATCCGGAGCAGGAACAGTCGTGATGAGGTCATCCCTAAGTGCCCTTAGGCCTGATGAAGGGGCCTTAATAATTAGAGCAGGGTTTGGGGGCGTATGTTCTATTATACTTATAAAAAGGAACCCCCACAATAGTATAGGAAATCATTAATGCCCCTACATTATTACCCTGGGCCGTCCTTCATCTTGTTCTTCTGCGCCAGGGCAAGGGGCGTCTGGCCTCACTGCTCAGTGCTCATTTCGTTCCCCCCGGCTTCTTGTCTTCCGGGTACTTGCCAAGGAACTTCATCTAAGGTACAATATTAGAGATCTATAGTGCAGAACTAACTTTCCTTGTTGTGGTAACTTATCTTAAACTCATTTACAAGAACCCGGTCTTTGGGGCTTTCGGAGGCTTCGGCTTCTCAACGGGTGGTCCCTTGAAGGGGAGCAATGCCTGCAAGGACTTCGAGTTTTTACCAAAGGGAAGGCGAAGGGGCACCAGACGAAGAGTCTTCGGGTTAGCTGGGAGTATTTCGGTTCGGACATGTGTTTCCTGCTAAACAAGCATGCGAGGGTCGCAGCAACGTGGTCAGGGTGCGTCCCCAAGAGCCGACCCAACGGCAGCGAACCACACAAAGAGAAAATCGGAACAACCGGAGCAGAAGCCCAAAGCTCTCTAGGATGCCAGGCCCTGCGTGTTCTGTTTGTTCACGTCCAGCTTGGCACTGATGAAGTACCTGCCGTTTAAGGTTTAGGGTTTAGAGTTTAGGATTCAGGGTTTAGGCTACTTCAGCTGAGGTCCTTTCATCCCTTGTGTGGTAGCAGGGGAGAGGCATTTGCAAAGTAGTTGGCACGACTCGGTCTGAAAACTCCTGCTCGAGTAATCGTGCTGGCGAGATGAAGCATGCTAAAATCAAGGCCTTGCAAGAGGCCTAAGTAATCAGAAGTTCTGTTCGATAAAATACAGACCCAAACCATGTCTGTTTGTGAGGCCCATAAACACTCAAACCCATATTGAAACCCGTATGCAGCCCTCGTCGGAACCCTTTTAGGAACTATATTCAAATTCAGAAGCCGAAATAGTTACCAATACGATTTTGCATGTTCCTGATTATGCTAAAAGTATAACATACCCAAACTCCATTCCAATTATGAAATGCCCCTTATCTAGAAGCCTTACACCAACTCATATAAAAGACCTTATAGAAAGCCTGGAAGGATCCCTTATACCAGACCCCTGAATTCCGAAACCCTATAGATTCCTTTAAAGAAACCCTTGTAGATCCTTTTAAAGGGAGCCCTTGTATTAACCAAAAAGGTGACCCTTTATAACAGACCTGATAGTAACTACCCTAAACCCTAAGCTCTAGCCCTTACAGGGACCCTTGAAAGGCATTTGGGGAAGGTCACGACAGGAGCTCCTTCCTTCCGTACGCGGCGGCCTCGGGGAGATCAGTTCTTCAGGGTTTTTTTGGTTGAGGGTTCCTTGGGGTTTCGGGGTTAGGGTTTGTTCTTGGGGGCTTCTGGTTCAGGGTAGTTCCTGGGGTTGGGCTGTCTGGAAATTGCAAGTATGATGGACGGCGGGCGCCGACAGCTGTTATGACCACTTCTTCCAAGTCCGCAAGTAGAGCATAGCCTGATACAGCAATTTTAACAGAAGGATCTGCAGAAAGCTCGTTTAAGCGGGGGTTCCTTCTTTTCTTGCGGGTCCGCAGAATGAGGATCGGACTGTTTCCGATTGTGTCACGAGACCAGGCGCCCTAGACCCGGAACCCATAACCCACGAGACCAGGCACATAATGGATGGCGTTGCCACCGCTGTTGTCGACCTCGGCCGGATTGGCCTGCAAGGGAGGGCGCAGGCTCTCTTAGGTTTTGGGGTCTAGGGTTTAAGGGTATCGGGGTTTGGGGGAGTTCCCTAACATACAGAACGAGGGAGGGTGTGCCCAGTGGTAGAGACCCTGAGGCCCCATGCCCCGAGCTCCACTCCAATCCCAAAAGCCGGCGGTTTTACGTAACTTTGTTGTTGAGTTCATAAGCCCCAAAAAGTGTACACTTTCGGGTTTACAGTGGGTAAGATTATCCCAAAAAGTGCAAAGTGTATCCACTCAGTTACTGAGGTGAAGCTTTAGGGCTTCCAATGTTTCGGGTTTAGGAGGCTGCTGCAACCCTTGCCAGCACCCAAAACTATTCCAACTCCGCCTGAGATCAAGAAGATAAGACTTAGAAAAGAACCTAGCGGCTAGTAGCACCGCACACATGCAACGATCCGACGGAAAACCAGAATAACACTAACTGGTAACTACACTAGCAGAAGCAGTGACAGTAGCAACAGTAGTAGTACTAGAAGCAGCAGGATGAGTGGTACTAGCAAGAGTCGTTGTCGTACTCGTAATACTCGTCGTAGCAGAAGCAGTAGCAGTAGCAGTAGCAGCAGTAGTAGTAGTAGCAGTAGCGGCAGCAGCAGTAGCGGTAGCAGTAGCAAGAGGAGGAGGAGGAGGAGGAGGACGAGAAGCAGCAGGAGGAGTAGGAGTTGTGATGATGGTAATATCAACGAATAAGAAGATAGTAGCAATGAAGATTACAAAGACAGTGGTAACAATGACACCAACAATAACAGTCCGAGCAAAGACCCAGCTTGCGGTCCTTGTTCTCAAGGAGCTTCTTGACTACCTGGGTGCGGTTGGCCCCGATGGCGTAGGCGAGGCAGCTGATCCCTGGTGAACTCGGATCGTTTGGGTGCATAGGCTCTGGGCCCTTTGTAAAGCCGTATAGATCCCTTTAAAGCACCCCTCATGGATCCGTTTAAAGGAACCCCCCATAGATCCCTCTAAAGAAACCCTCATAGATCCCCTCAACCTCCAGAACACCAGGATGGCTTGGGGGCGAAGGTCTGACTAGCGTTGGAGCCTCGTAGGCTGCAGCCCGGCTTGCGGTTGAAGGTTCTGCTTTTGCGGTTTAAAGTTCAGGGTATGGGGTTTAGAGTTTAGGATGGTTTAGGGTTTGGGGTTTAGGAAGGTTTGGGTCTAGGGTTTAGAATGGTTTAGGGTATGGCGGTTGAGGATGGTTTGGGGTTTGAGAGTTTAGGTTGGTTTAGGGTTTAGGATATCGAGTTTCGGCCTGACCTGAACGAGCAAGACTTGAGGTGTTGTCGGCCATCCCACCGGATCTTTCAAAGCGACCATCTGGCGACAAGCCCACTTCTCTGCGGATCAATCACGAACCCTACGGGTTTTCAACTTGGACTTCCGGGTTGATTCGACGAACTGGCAGAGCACCGATCGATGCCTTTGGCATCCTTCTCATCGATGTCCCTCTTGTCCTGCAGAAACGTTGCTGAGGGCGAGAGTGGCACTCAAAAAGAAAGGGCATACCAAAAGTTCAGTGAACACAGAAGCACCTTCAAGCAGGCTCTGGAACGATGGCTTTAGGGAGCCTGCTTGCCTGGGACTTGCTTCTCAGAGCAACGAGTTGGGTGTGTTCGGGCTTCAGTCGTAATCGCGTCGCAGAAACCGCGTGCCAGCTGGTTGGATGCCTGCTGACAGCCAAAAGTTCGCTCAAACGGCATATGTAACTACGAAAAGACATGATCGAACATGAATTGCCGATGGTCTTGGAAAACCGGAGCGCATGTGGCTCTGGAGGCAGCAGGAAAGCAGGGAACTCGCGGACCTCAACATCATGAACTCGCGTGACTAATCTCGTGCTTTTTGGGCACAGACAGGTGGGCTGTCGCTTTCATCGAAGATCGAGTCGAGTGCTGGTACTTCACGGCAGGAAGGTTTAAGGACCAGCCCTTGTTCCTCCTTACATTTGGACTAGGCGGAGGTGGTCTTTAAGACACGCGCCTAGTCTTGGAAGCGACATCTGTGCAAAACTTCCCAAAGCTCCTTGTCGCCGGCTGTCGCTTCCAGGTAGTCCTTCATCAAGCTTTGTAAAGACCGCCCAGCATTCTTTGTCGCAGGAAACAACACCGATCAAGATGCGACTAGGACACACACCACAAGGGCAAGAAAGGCAATGGAACAACGGCAGCCCCATTGTTGTCATCAGCCGCACCAGCGACACGAATAGAGATTTGCGATCTGGACCCCCGAGGCCTTACGTGAGGCCTGGTGCCTCGGAGCACGATGCATGTGTGAGCCCCAAGTCTTCACGGAAACTCTCTCCGTCAAACGTGCTCCGTGCTCGTGCAGCCTTCCAAACCTGAAGCCGGCCCCCGTTCCGCCGTACTCAGCTCCTCGAGGGTCTTCATGTCGCCACGGAGGCAAGCCTCCTGCAGGGTGATCGGCTTGCTCTGGATGTCCTCACGCAGAAATTGTGGCAAACGGGCTTCTAGGCTAGAAGAAGCATAACGAGAAGAAGAGTAACGTGATACTAATAGCGGTTCCTAGATTGTTACATCATTGGGGTACGTAGGGTTTCGAGGCCAAGTATACTATACTCATAATATGGAACCCCACAATTAAGGAAAAAAGACTCCGAGTTGTCCTTGATCACCGTCGTCACTTCCTCCGGCACGCCACCCATGGCTCTGCCTCGTAAAATTGGCCGGACAACACGTCGATCCGGAATTGAAGCTCTTAACAAGGGGTCTTGCAGAGATCGTGTGAATTCCGGTTTGAAAAACGGATCCTGGGCATGAGCCCCTGAACCCTACAGGCCCTCGACCCCAAAGCCTCAGTGTCTGGGGTTTAACGCCCAGCGGCTGATCTTCAGCATCAGGGGCTCGTTGTGGTAGTGCTGCATGGCGGCTTGGTTTCCCCCACGCTTGATGTCCTCCCGCAAGGAGCCGAACGCTGACCCAAAGCCGAAGCTGAACTCGGGGATATAAGAACACGAAACAGAATCAGAAATTAACCCTCATCAGTACTAAGTCCTAGGAATCTCGATCGCAAGAATCATAACAACAATGCTAAAAATTAGCATGATCATGGTAACAGTAGGCTTGTCTGGCGACACCCATGACAAGGAGCGAGAGTAGGACTCAGCAACATTGATCGAAGCGGGGGGCAAGGGCGGTCTTAGCATGAAACACAGGGCCGCAAGAGTGTCACCCCGACCTGCCTCGAAGATGGCAGCGAGCTCTGGGTTTTTCTCCAAGGCGTTGAACTTGTTCGTCACTACCTTAGAGAATGCTTACAAGCTCCAACTCAGAGCTGCGAAGGCTTTGTGACGTGTTGCCATGCTCGGGCGGTGTGTGGCACTCGGGCTCTTGCTTCGGCCATTTAGCCTGTAAAAACTCTGAAGCGTTAGCCGTTGACAGACCGTACTCATAGTGAGCATGCGCTTTGGATGTTCAACACCACAAATCCTCAGCGGCTGTAGGCTGTCCTTCCGCCGTTACGGCCCGCTGTAACGCGCTAAGTATATGCCCCACCACGCCTCTTGAAACTTAAGCTCAGAGAGCCGAAGACAGGAGCCTTAATGATGATGACAGGGTGTTGCGTTCCTTTGTAGTTTACTAGTATTGGTAATTACTTAGGCTTCTATATCTCTTGGAAACTTGCGAGAGGCCTCGTCGCCGTTGCTGAGACGCGTGTTGTAGTACTCGGTAATCGCCTGGGCAGAACACGCTGTGCTTGAAATGTGAACTCCCAGAAGCTGACCCCATGGAAGCATCTGAACCAGAACATACGTCAAAAAACACCAGCTTTCTATGATGGGACCATCAACAGCAGGTCGAAAGAAAGAGCATCGGAGAAAGAGCAGAGACTGGACCACCGCAAAGCCGCTGCAGAAGACCAGACCTCTCCGAAACGCACCCGCGCCTGCGTCTGCATCCACGCGCGGACAGCCTTGGCGTCGCGAGAGAAGGTCTCCATCCTGCCAGGGTGTTTTATAAGGTTTAGGGTTTAGGGGTTCTACGCGGCTTCCGTAACTGCTTGAGGGTTCAGGGTTCAAGGTTCGGGATTGAAAACTGTGGGGAAAAAGGGTTGAAAATTTCGGGCTTATTGAATCGAATTGTGGGATGAAAGATACCTCTTATGTGGGTAGTTCTCGAAATTAGTGTCCCTCTCTTTCTGAAACTTCAGGGCTGCTCCGGAATCACAGCCCTCCAGCCTCTCTCAACATGCACCCTCGATAAATGCGCTCGTGTCGAGAGTTGTGCCCTGGAATCGTTGGGATCTTTTCCAAGCATGGCGTTGGTCACCGATTGCAGGCCGAAAGCAGCATTTACATGATAGTTGGGTTCGGAATTCCCCATTACGATTGTCTCTACGCAGCTTAATCCCTCCTGAAAACCCCCATTTCCTGACTGTAGTGCGCAGGCGCAGGCCCTGAAGGCCCTGAAGGCCCTGATGGCCCTGAAGCCCTGAAGGTGGAACGGCCAAAACCCCCGAAGCTCCCCTGAAAAAAAGAACTCCGGCCCGAAACCTCTGAGCCGGTCGAAGACGAAGGTCTCGGCTTAAGGCTTAGGTGGGCTTAGGGTTTGACTTGATCGGGGCTTCGGGCTTAAATCCTTTAGAGTTTAGGCTCTGTAACGCCCGGCCTTCGGGCTTCTTCCGGGTTAGCCTCCAGGTACTTCTTGGTGTCCTGCCACTCCTGCGCGTCGGCTGAAACGGCCAGGGGCTTCGACGGTGTTAGGGGTACGCAGGGTAGGCGAACGTAATGATGCTGTGCTGAATTTGCTTGGTGTGTAATAGGGGGGCCTTAATCATTAGAATAGAGTTTGGGGATATACTGTACTGGAATTATATAATGAGGAACACCAAAATAGCACAGCTAACTGTTTAGGCCCGTGTTTTTCGGCAGCTCTACGAGGTCCATGATGTCATCGTCGTCTTGGCCATCCCTGTCTGATACTCTTACTTAGAGGATCATGGAACCTAGTAAGTAAGGTTATAAGCACTCTAATTGGAGTTATAAGTATAGCTACCCTTACTTACAACCCTAGTTACTAAGTCCCATGATCCTCCAAGTACTATCCTCCGTCAGCATCATTTTTCGGCTTGGGTGTTGCAGCTGTTGAGTCTGGCTGGGCGCAGGCTTGAGGTTGCAACTCTTCCTCGAATGGCTCGACTTGGAATGCATTTACCAAGTTTACCAACTCCCATGACCCTTCAAGTTGCATTGGCTTGGCTAAGGTGTCACGGTTGGTTCTGTACTTCGAAAGAATGAGGAAAGCAAGCCCCTGCGACACCTCCCCTGAACCCCAAACCCTAAAAACCCTGAAAACCTACCGAAAACCGAAACCCTCAATCCGCTCTGTGTCCTTGTCGCCCATGCCTCCTTATAAACCCCCCTTTAAGGAACCCTTTAAAGGTAGCCCTATTCTAAGAGTACATCCAGCCCCCTCCTTGTCTCCAGAACACTACTATATACACCCCTTTAAACGACCCCTGTGAAGGAACCGTTGAAAGGAACCCTATCAATTATTAGGGCCCTTCCTGACCGTCTATAAACCCCCTAAATCATAGGGTTTGGGGGCTTTTCCTTCTTATCGTTGTAGTATCATTCTACACCCAAACCCAATTCTAACTAATAAGGCCACGACACTCTAGAACCCTACTATGCACCCCCTTAAAAGTTAAATCCCCTCTGGTCCTTGTCGCCCATGCCTCCTTATAGACCCTCCCCGGAAAGGAACCCTTTCTTTATTAGGGCCCCTCCTAGGCCCCTGTAGTAAATCCAGCCCCTTCCTTGTCGCCCATGCCCGGTGTTCTCGCGATGCGGATGCTGGTGCCATCGCTCAGGTTCAGGAGCTCCTGGAGGCTCGGCGGCATTTAGGGTTTAGGGTTTAGGCTTTAAGGGTTTAGGGTTTAAGGGTTTAGGGTTTAGGGCTTAGGGTTTGGGGGTTTAGGGGTTTAGGGTTTAGGGAGAAGACTGGGCTCTTCTTTTAGGGGGTCTTAGCTTTAACTAGCTTTCCCTGTAAGGAGCCCCAATAGATGCTGCAGCTTTGGCAGAATGCTAATACTGGGTTCATCTTAAGGGTTATAGCTTAGCTGACCATATTAGGGATCTATAAGGGTTCCTTTGAGAATTTTGAAGAGTTTGGGGTTTGGGGGTCTTAGTTTAATTTGCCATAAGGGGGATCTATAGTAAATAGTATGGCTTCCTTATTTTAAGCTAACTTAAATCAAGTTCCTTAACAAGAACCTAGAATGGCAATAATACTCCGAATAGTACTGAAAGTACTAAGACATGATGATAGTAATCCGAATAATCCTGAAAGTCTTAAAAGTATTCAGAAATGATGATGACAACAATCATTAAAAAAGGTCATCATCATAATCATAAAGATAAAGATAGTGATAATGATAAGCTCCTGGAAGTGGGAGGAGATTGCCGGGCTTTAAGGGGCTGGGAATCCGGGGTCTGGCATTCATTTAAGGGCCTTAATCATTAGAATACGGGTGTTTCTTTTGTGAATCGAGGGCGGCATATTTGAGCAAAACTATATGAAGGAATCCTCCAACGAACAATATTGGCAACTAATCCGACTATTACATCACCCATGTCTCAATCGGGCTCTGTCCCAGGACAATCCGGACGAACGCGTGCTCATGGAAAGCGTACGACTGCAAGGGGCATCTCTTTCTTGCCGCTCTTATCATCGAACCCGAAGTATAAGGATCCTCCAAGCCAACACCATAGGGACCTTAATGCTTGGAATAAGGCTTTGGGGGTATATTATGCTTTGACGACAATGAGGAACCCTCAAAATCGTATGGGTATTTATTTAGGCCCTTCATTACTTAGGCTGTGTTGAAACCCTCGCGTTTCGATTTGTCCTTCTCGAGACGGAGGTGTGCCATGGCTTCTTTCTACGCTAGGCCGGGGCCGGATGACGGAAGAGACCAAAACGCGGCTGCGGCGGGCAGACGGCATCTTCGGGTGTAGACTTCCGGCTTTAGCTGTGTGGGGGTGTAGGGGCATAACAATGGATTTTGGGGTGTAGGGGTCTGTTGTCGGGGGCTTTGGTTAAAGGCACGCAAGGCTCGCAAGGTTTGGGCTTCAGGGCCCCCTAAATCCTAACCCCAAAGGATGAACCCCAAAGCTCAGACATATAGACCTGTCCGGCGTCCCACACGGCACAACCTTGTCGCTTCAACGACTATATATGTATATGTATATATATATATAGACATACCTCTATCTGTATACGTGCGGAGGTAGGTAGGTAGGCATGGATTTACGGATGAATGTGTATATGAATTTGTCTTTGCATGTGTATATGTATGTTTACATGTATATGTATGTGTATCTATGTATGTATATATATATATATATATGTATTTGTATATGTACATGTATATGTATATGTATATGTATGTGTGTATGTAGGTATGTATGTATGTCAGTTTGTATATATGCATGTATGAATGTCTGTCTACATATGTATATGTGAATTTGTATTTGTGTATTATAATATATATATATATATATATATATATATATGAGTGCCTGCATGTATGTATGTATGCATGTGTACGTCTGTACGTATGTATATATACAGAGACATAAGCATATGCATGTGCATAGACATATACACATACATATACAAATACATGTCTACATCTACCTGTACATATACATATGCATACACGTGCATGCATGCAGACAGATATGTTATGGATACATATGTACCTCTATATGTATAATGCAATATGCTATATTGCACTACTATACTATCATATATTACTGTTATATCATGTTATGGTATGGTGTCTTGCAATATTTATGAAGAAAGCATGTTTCGATACATGATAGTGAAGCATGCTAGGTTATATAGTGTAATATGTTATACTACGCTTGTTTTAATATATAAATATATATGTACATATATCACCTACTTACCATGCTTGGTCTTGCGATCCTAGCAGCTGCTTTTTCATGTTGCTGCCGTCTGGTGTCGGCGCGGTGCATGTGGGCTGAGAGGCCCTCTCCCGTGAGGCGGGCCATGCCGCCCGACACTGATGGCTCCCGGGACGGAGGGCTTTTCATGAGGGCTTCTTGAAAAATTGAGGGGCGTCTTACAAAAAAGGAGAAGGGGGTCCTGAAAATCAGAATCTCTAGGATTTAGGGCCTCTCTAAAGGTGGGTAAGACTGGCCTCAAGGGCTCAGGCTTGTAGAAGCGACTACAAAGGTACACTAATGAAGTCTTCCGACATCCATAATCGTACACCCTACACCGCTGGCATGCTGTTGAAGGAGTAAGAGAGTATTTGGAGATTCAAACCTCGGGAAGGCTTGCAAAACAGACCTCTTGTGGCATTCTGGAGTTGATCTTACTCTGCCGGTAGTTGCAGTAAGCTTTCCGTCATGCAACGATATTCTGACTGGCGCTTTGTATCTATCCATCTATCGATCTGTCCACGTCTATCCATCTCTGTATTCCTGCTCGAGGTTTTTGGGCTTAAGGTTCGAAGTCTACAATGGGTTTGGCTCGGCAGAGGGTCTGGGGTCAAGTTTCACAGCTTCAACTGGGCTGTGGATGTATGGTTCTTGTCGAGATGAAACTCACGGATACCTAGCGCTGCCAGTCCTCTGTCTTCTCTCTGCAAAGACCCGCGTGAGCCATCAGAAAAGCAGGCATCGAATTGTCGGGCACTCGACAAATCATTCATGATTAGTGCCCGTTGTTCCGGGCACAAGAGCTAGTAGCACGGACCCTTACAAAACGGTCCGGCCAAGCGCCTACACTACTTTAGGGTTAAGGGTTTAGGCGTGACAGAAGCCACAGGTAGAGCACGTTGATTTGAGGGCTTGGGGTTTGGATTCATGGTTGCCCCGGCTCAGCTTGGCAGCGGTCACTGCCTGTCCGGGAGCTTCAGGGTTTGGGGTTGAAATCATCTTGAACTTACCCACCACTTCGTCCCCTACTCCCTCATGTCGTCTCTGCAAACTCCCAAGTGTCCAAACAGCGAGCGAGCCGTTTCCATGCTGAGATGAGAGCTCTCGTGCCCCACCTCGACCATCGCAAGCTCACGCACAGGAGCCTACTTCTTCTTCATGAGGTCATCGACCTGCAAATTTCTGGCTCTTGCTCCATTGTCTCCGTGACACAGTCGGAAGCCCTCAGCCCACCTCCTTCACGTCCAGGTCGCCCATGTCGTTGGCTTGGACCTCCTTCCTCGGAGTTGGAGCTTAGGGCGAGTCACGGGACGGGCTCGACAGATCTCTCAAAGTGAAGGACGATTCCGAGAAGCTGCCTGAAGCTTGCAGCTGGGGCCCCGCGCATGATGCCCGGGAACTTCTTCTTGAGCGCATCCTTGGAGCTGGCGTAGACCATCCGATCCTTCACGGTGGTCCTTGGAGGGCATAGTGTGGTCAAAAGTCTACAGCGAGGTGGCTGCTACCAGCTTGGTCGTGGTTTCGCATGGCTTTGCATCCGAAAGTCTTGTCATCTGGCGACCAGAAGACGAAGCAAAGCTTGCTCTGCGGACGCCCATCTTCCGACGTGTACTCGTAGTCCACGAGCGCATACCTCCGGCTGCAAGCTGAGAATACGACATCTAGATACTTAGGCAGACCCTCCGCAAAGCTTCTGTTCCAATCCAACAGGGTGCTCACGATCAGTCAGATTCCTTCAGCAGGCATGGGGTGCATCTTGAGCTTCCCAAACAGAACGGAACAAAGTGAAAACCCTCGCGAGGAGCATGCCTCGGCTCGCCCTCCGGCAGCTTAGACACGAAGTCCTCTGCATCCGCAAAGCTGGGGACGGGGGGTTTAGGGCTTCCAAGGCTTCTTGGGTGTTATTTATAGGGCTTATTTGTGGGGCTTGGCTTTATAGTGGTGTATGGGGGGGTTTTAATAGGGCTTTCAGGGTCACAAGGGGTTTGTAGGGTTTCTACGGGTGCATAGTGGCTTAGAGATTTAGGGGCTTGGGGTTTGGGGTTGGGACATTCGGACATTCATCGCTCTCTCCGCGCCCTGCTGGGGAAGCCCAAGTTGCCAAACTCAGGATCCCCAAAGGGCTCTATAGGGTTTCGGGTTTAGAGTTTAGGGTTTAGGATTTAGGGTTGTCGAAGGTCGTTTGGCGGTCGCTTGAAGCTTAGTGATTTGCGTAGTTCTCTAAATGAGGGCCCCGTTTCAGATCCCAATTATAGTACGGCACCCTTATAAAAAGGACCCCATAAGCGGGACGCTAGTTTAGAGAACTACCCACTTACTGCTTCCTAAACCCTAAACCCTGAACTCAAGGCTGAAAGACCCTAAACCCTCAACCCTAAACCCTGAACTCTAAGCCCTAAACCCTCAATATATATATATATATATATATGCTCACCCCCCCCCCGTTGACAGACCGCGGGTCTAAAAAACACCGTGCACGACGATATTCTATGAAGCAAAACCTTTACATGAGGTACATAGTATAGCACCAGACGTGCGGCACATGAGTTACGTAACAGTCTTGTGGTAGTATCGGTATTAGGGTGAGTATTGTTATTAATATTAGTACTATTGTTTGCTGTAAGTATACGTATCAATATTGCCAACTATAAATTAGTGTTAGTGCTCATGTTCGTGTTAGAGTTAGCGCTAGTGCCAGTGTCAATGTCAGTAATACAGCACCACTGCTACGAGTAGTATCAGTATCAGTCTTAATGCTGGGTTTAACAGCAGCTTATATTCGCAGAAGTGCTAGTATTAGTATCAATATTAGAACTAGTTAGTTTGGATATGTTAGTATATTGATAGTCTCGTATATTAGCAGATGAGTATATCAGTACATCAATGTATTCGAACAGTAAAATATTTGCATACTTGTATACTAGTATATTTTACATGTTAGTACAACTGGTGCATGAATACACTACTATACTGCTGTACTAGCTTACTAGTATATTGACATACCAGTATATTCGAACGTTAGCATATTAGTGTACGAGTATGTGTACTATATGACTGTTTTATCTAATCATTTATAAGTATATCAGTATGTTGGCATATTGGATTGGTATACGAACTAGTCATGTCGGTATTCTTGCATAGTGCAGTAGCCGTATATGAGTACAGTCACATGCCAAAGCATTAATACATGAATGCACTGACGTATATATCTGTATCTTAAGATAGTGGTATGTATTTTATGTACATTAGTATATGCAGGTGTCTATTAGTAATGATATTAGTCATCATATCAATATGAATATACTATTGGTGTTCGTAGCAGTATTAATTAATGTCAATATTATTAGAAATAGGACTATTTATACTCGTAATAGCCATAATATGAGTGTTCATGCTGGTAATACTAGTGGCATTCTTGAATATTCAGCAGATTATCAAAGTCCGTACTAGTGTTGGTGATAGCATCACTGTTAACGCACAAGAGTTTACGTACTCGTATTCGTAGGAGTATCAATAGCTATGTAAATATTGATGTTAGTATAAATTTTGTGTGAAGTATTAGCAGTAGTGTTAGCTGTATTTTATGTACATTAGTATAAGCAGGTGTCCATTAGTAATGATATTAGTTTTCATATCAATATGAATATACTATTGGTATTCGTAGCAGTATTAATGTCAATATTATTAGAAATAGGACTATTTATACTCGTAATAGCCATAATATGGGTGTTCATGCTGGTAATACTAGTGGCATTCTTGAATATTCAGCAGATTATCAAAGTCCGTATTAGTGTTGGTGATAGCACTACTGTTAACGCACAAGAGTTTACGTATTCGTATTCGTAGGAGTATCAATAGCTATGTAAATATTGATGTTAGTATAAATTTTGTGTTAAGTATTAGCAGTAGTGTTAGCGTTAGTACTATAATATTATTGATGATATACATTCGAAAGAATGTTTGTAGTATTATTACTCTTGATCACGTGAAATTCTAACAGTTGAATACATGAGTGAGTTAAAGGATTTGTATTTTAATATGGTGGTATGCATGTTTATGTACATTAGTACATACAGGTGTGTGTTAGTATTGGTATTAATATACATTATTATCAATATGAATATGGTTATTGATATGCGTAGGAGTAATAAGAGCAATACTAATCAATCTTAGTATTTGTGTTATGCATATTCGTACTAAGCTTTATAGAAGTGTAATATTAGTAGTAATGCTGGTATTAGCTTGAGCATTCAACAAATGATCACTGTCAGTATTTCCAATGGCAATACTATATGTAGGAGTATCAATACATATATGTATATACAGATAGACAGGTAGATTGAGAGATATTCGTTTAAATATGGGCATGAGTATTGACAGCCCTTGCCTTTGCAAGTAAGTCGTGCATGGTCTGTCATCGGATGGGTCACAATCAGCCCTCCTGAGAATCAATTCCAAGGTCCAGAGATTCCAAAATTTCCAAAAGTTCCAAAACTTCCAAAATTTCCGAAATTTCCAAAATTTCCAAAATTTCCAAAATTTCCAAAATTTCCAAAATTTCCAAAATTTCCCAAAATTTCCAAAATTTCCAAAATTTCCAAAATTTCCAAAATTTCCGAAATTTCCAAAATTTCCAAAATTTCCAAAAAGTCCGCCCTTATGTTTTGGAAAAATCCTGTCCACTAGGTCGGGCCGTTTTGGAAATTTTGGAAATTTTGGAAATTTTGGAAATTTCGGAAATTTTGGAAATTTCATTTTGGAAATTTTGGAAATTTTGGAAATTTTGGAAATTTTGGAAATTTTGGAAATCCGGAAAGTTAAGGGAGAAATTTTGGAAATTTTGGAATTGAGTTTTTGAAAGCTGAGTACCCCCTCCCCCGATCACAGACCATGCACTACGACTGAGTTGAAAGGGCATGGTCTGTCAACGAGTCTTTTGGTGGTTCCACAGATACGTTCGGAGGGCTCAAACTCGATACCCCGGAAAAAGCACGAACACACCGGTGGGAGCGATGTTTTGAAGGGGATGGTCTGTCAACGGGGGGGGGGTGACCATATATATATATATATATATATATATACATATATATATATATATATATATATATATAGTGTTTCCTTGTAGGTCTCGCCGGCCGGGCCCTGGCACTCGGTGACGATCTCCTGAAGCCAGCGGTGGACTTTAGGGCACTTCAGGGGTTGGGGTTTTTTTTTAAGCTGAACTGCACCCTGTCTCCGAAAAAGCGTTTAGGGTTTAGGGTTCAGGGTTTAGGCTTTGGGGTTTAGGGTTTTAGGGCTTTAGCGTTCAGGGCTTAGGACTTCTCTCCTGAACGCTGGGGGATAGGGAGACCGGGGATGCGCAGTGCCTTGCGTGGGTTTAGGCTTTAGAGTGTACCTTGAGGGTTTCGGCTTTAGAGCTTATAAGGTCTAGGGTTTTGGGAGTTGGGGTTTTTTAGAGAAAACGGCTTAGGGCACTTAAAAGGGGTTTGGGGTGGTTTGGGTCGCCAGGGCCTCCGGGCCTCGCCCCCCCTTGGAGTTCGTGGAGTTTTTGGTCAAGTTCGCGGGGGTTTGGACGCGCGCAAGGGTTTTTACGGCTTCTTTTGGGGTGCCCAAAGCCCCCGGGAAGTTTGCGGAGGGCTGCAACTGCACTCATCCGAGGCCGGAAGGACCGGTGCTTCAGCCTCCGCCCTTTTGTTGCAGCCTTCAGCCGACTCGACTGAAACTTGCGAAAGCCGTACCTTACACTGAGCCGATATCCTGAATCACCCGCGACAAAAACTCTTACGAGGCTCTTTAATGCACACCCGCGCGCCGAGTTCTGCCCCAAAGTCCGCTTTGAACCCCACCAGGGCCAAATCTAGGAGAGCCGGATCATAGATCAACAGGCACAACAAAATCCCTCGGTATCATCCCTCATGAACCATTACGGCCCGGCCTTGTGGTTCTCAATCTTGAAGATGACGTAGCGCAGGTCCTCCGAGACCCGGTGCCGAAGGCGGTTTCGACTCAAGGCTTTAGGCTTTCGGTAGATCGCCGTTTCCTATCCTAACTCAAGGGCCTTAATGATTAGAATAGGGTTTTGGGGCCCATGATACTCTAATTATAGTAAGGAACCCCCAAAATGGTGTTGGTCATCATTCAGGCCCTGTCCTACAGGAGCCCCGAAGAAAATGCTCTGAAGCCTTCCACTACGAATGCCTGGCAAATCTCGGAACCTACTACCAAACTTTAAGAAATCTGCAACAAGCTGCCTCTGTGTGGGGAGCCTGGATCTTCGAGTCTGAGTCTTTGGGGCCTCTAGCTGCGGGACACTTTCTGCGTTCAGACTTCGCACATCCAGTCTTTGGACTGCGTAGAGTAGCAGGGCCAAATGAGAGGTTCTGAAATTGGGGGTACCTTGTTTTGGGGTCCTTATAATAAGGATCCCACTATTTAGGGTCCTATATTAATGACCCCTAATTTCGGAAGCTCCCAAATGTCTCAGCTGACATCTCGGACGCGTGCATGTGTGCAAGCTTCTTGCCAACGGAACCGGTGGTCCTTCTTCATCTTGATTTGGTTGTACAGGTCCACGCATCCGTCATTCACCGCAACACCAGACATGGCCACGAGGAATCTACAAAATCGACAGCGCAGTGTGCTACTCCGAGGCTGTAAGCTACAGAGCCCAGAGCAGAGGCATGACAAAACCTTTGCTGCTGCTCGAGTTCTTCATCAAAACCAGCACCAGCAGCAACAGCAGCAGCACCACCATCCAGAAACGTGATCGCAAATGATTGGTGCGCATTCGCAGCCACATCAGCAGAAGAAGCAGTGTCGTGCACGCAGCACGCGGAGTTCGAGCAGTGGCAGCAGCAGCAGCAGGAGCATGTCGAAGGCTCTCGGAGCCTCCAAAACCATCCTGCAGACCTGACCCCGAAACACCACAAACCTCGGACATGCCGCGTTTCACCTTTGAGACACGGCAAAGAAAGCTTTCCTTCCTCTCCATGGGTCCAGACAGCGACCTCTCATACCTCAATATAGAGGCCTGAATCATTAGAATAGGGTTTTGGGGCCCGTTATACTATAATTATAATAAGGAACCCCCAAAATAGTACGGGTAATTATTTGAGCCCCTACATTGAACCCTCAACCAACTCATTTTGCTGCCGTTTGCAGGGCGAGGTGCGTCGCTGCGTGTGGGCTAAGAGGCCCTCTCCCCGTGAGGCGGGCCATGCCGCCCGTTACTGATGGCTCCCGGGACGCTGGGCACGGAAGGCGTCAAGGGGGGCAGAGAGCATGATAAGGCCTTGCACCTTACTAGTGGTCGCGGCGTGGAGGAGTTTTCTCTGGCGGTGCTGTTGCCGACGGCAACCACAGTCACCACGACACTGGACTCACTATGTCACTAGACCTACCTGCAGCCCAATCCATCCGACATTGTCTTTCATCCGTCCGGGAAGACATCAGATTTGGGCTCCACGAAGAGGGGGCTTTCAGGCTCGCTGAGGAATTTCGCTTGAGGGTTCCCGAGTCGCTCCCGTTAGACCCGTGCACGCCATCAGAAAAGCTGGCATCGAATTGTCGGGCACTCGACAAGTCATGAGTGGTGCCCCTTGTTCCGGGCACCTCTGGGGGCACCGACTCTACCAAACGGTCCGGCTAGGACACCTAGGTCGCTTAGTATAGCTTGCCTACTTGCGGCCCGTGGCATGCGGGGTGCTCACATAAAACTCTGACAAAACCCGAGTGACCCTCTTACAAACCCCAAGATACCCTGTGGAAACCCAAGTAGTACCAAAGGCTTCCGGGGGCTTCAGAGAGATGTGGGGACTTCCCCGGGCCCCGGCTCAGTAACGCATTGGTTGCGGCCTCAACAGGCACTTGAAGATGGAATTAAAAGGATCTATAGTTATAGGGGTTCGGGTTTAGGGTTCCTTTAAGGGCTCCCCCAAAGTCCTCTCCGCAAACTCCAAGGAGACTATGGTCTTCTCCCCCGGAACTCACCGCAGAGTCGCAAAGCTGCTCGGGGCTTTGTGGGAGGGTGCGGACCGACTCGCATCCCCGTGCTTTAGGGCTTACGGTTTTGGGGTTTAGGGGTTTAGGCTTTAGGGGTTTAGGCTTGGGGGTTTAGGGTTTAGGGCTTAGGCCTCCGAAGTTTGTCGTACTCACAAACCGGTCGCCCTCACGGTCCATAGCGATGACCGAGCTACTTCTGGAACGAAGCCAGACCAACACGAGGCCCGGAGCCAGGGAGCCCGCAAGACCCATTTTATGCACCAATGTCATATATATACAACATCATATAGCACAGTGGCATAGTATAGAACGGTATGGTCTGCTAAAAAGTTAACAGTTCATGAAGACCAGAAACCCCAAATCCCCTGAAAGGCCTCGGAGCCTACTTCTTCTTCATGAGGTCATCGACCTCCGCGCGCTTGGGCTCAGAGCTCTGATGCAGTCGCTGCCCGAAGCCGCAGAAGTTTGGATCCGAGGTTACGTGGCAAGACTGTATCTAAGACGGAGGTGTAGATAATCTGATATAGTCCAGTACAACATGATCCGATAAGATAGAATGTTACACAACATAATGCAATATCAAAAACAGGATCTGAGTTAGAACCCTCGTTGGATCCTGGACCTCTGAGATGACCTGCCAACACGAGGAGAGGCAGGAAGCCCACCTCCTTCACGTCCAGGTCGCCCATGTCGTTGGCTTGGACCTCCTTCCTCGGAGTTGGAGCTTAGGGCGAGTCACGGGGCGGGCTCGACAGGTCTCTCAAAGTGAAGGACGATTCCGAGAAGCTGCCTGAAGCTTGCAGCTGGGGCCCCGCGCATGATGCCCGGGAACTTCTTCTTGAGCGCATCCTTGGAGCTGGCGTAGACCATCCGATCCTTCACGGTGGTCCTTGGAGGGCATGTGGTCAAAAGTCTACAGCGAGGTGGCTGCTACCAGCTTGGTCGTGGTTTCGCATGGTTTTGCATCCGAAAGTCTTGTCATCTGGCGACCAGAAGACGAAGCAAAGCTTGCTCTGCGGACGCCCATCTTCCGACGTGTACTCGTAGTCCACGAGCGCATACCTCCGACATACCGGAGCCGGGGATCCTAAACTTACGGGGCGGGGATGTCATTCGGACGGCTCGGGTGCAGCATCTCAACCCTTCAAAAGCTCAACGCCAACGAAAGCACCCACCAACTCAATCCAAGAACTCCTGGCTTTATGAGGCCTCACCCACGCACTGCGAGTATGCTTCTCTCTTGAGCAAGACTCATAGTATAGGGGTGTTGGGGCCCATGATACTAGAATTATAATAAGGAGCCCCCAAAATAGTTTTGGTAGTTATTGAGGCCCCCATATTATAGTTCCCTTATAGATCCCTAAAAGTAGCCCTCATAGACCCCTCTAAAGGAACCCTAAGGAACCCTAGTCTAGTTATTAACGCCCCTTTTCGTAGTGGGCTCATGTCGCAAGCCGGCCTAGGCTCGCCCTCTGGCAGCTTCGACACGAAGTCCTGCGCGCAGGCATTGCAGAGACCATGTTTGAGAGTTTCCGAAACTTAGGGGTGCCGTATTTGGGGGTCCTTATAATACGGATCCTACTATTTAGGGTACTATATTAGGGTCCCCTATTTTCGGAACTCCCTTTTCTGTGCGCAAAACCGTGAACCCTCTACCCTGAAACCCCGAAACTCTGGACCCTAATCCCCGAAACCCTGCACCCTCACCCCAAACTCTCAACCCAAATCCTGTAATCATTGGAAGCACAGCAAATCAAGGCCCCTCTTCGAGGACCCTTAAGGAATATACTGCACGTTGACTTGAGGTCTATTCCTTAGATATACCTCACTTAAATCATATTAGGGATCTGCAGGATCCTAGTCTAATTCAGGGTCTAGATTCCTTACCCAAGTTCTGGAGCTGTTGCCCCTCTCCGAACCCTAAACCCTAAACCCTAAAACCCTGAAGCCCTAACTAAACCCTAAAATCCTAAATCCTAAAACCCTAAAACCCTAAACCCGCCAATTCGAGGATCCCCTCCTTGTAGGTCTCACCAGCCGGGCCCTGGCACTCCGTGACGATCTCCTGAAGCCAGCGCTCTTTGGGCTGTGGGACTTTGGGGCACTTTAGAGTGTTTAGGGTTTAAGGGTTTTGGGGTTTAGGGTTTAGAGTTTTTAGGGCTTTAGGGCTTTTAGGCTTTAGGGTTTAGGGTTTTTAGGGTTTAGGGTTTCGGGTTGGGACTTCGGAGCATCTTTGTTGCTTCGCGCTTTTGGGCTTTAGGGCTTTTTCTGGCCGCAGAGTGTGGAGGGTGGACCCAGGATCTAAGGGTTCGGGTTTAGGGACTCACCTCCCGTTGATTCTTTGCATGAATGCTCAGACTGCAAGTCTGAATTGGGAGCTATGGGTATGGTATCAATGTGCAGGGAGATGCCGACAACCCAGTCAAAGGACTAAAAACCCATCTTCGGCAAAACAACGAAACATGTCCTCTGCTCCTGAAACCAACAGGGAAGGATGGGAGCTAGGATTAGGGAGACCCTTGCAGATATAGACCCTCTCAATAAGGTCCCTAGAAAGGTCCCCCTTCTAAGGGGTCTCCCGAATGCTGCCAAGGACAGGATGCCGCAGAACATCCTGAACACTTTGCCCGACGAATCGAGCCGGCTTAAGCGGGAAGTCATAGGATTTAGCCTAGGCTTTATGGTTTAGGGTTTTGGGGTTTAGGTTTGAGTTTAGGGGTTTTGGTGTTTATGGGTTAAGTTTTAGAGTAAACCCTGAACCCAAGAAGAAATGGACCGCTTGCAAGATGAATCAGATGACGTATCAAGATTTCCACGCACGGCTGTGCCCACCCTCCCCCTGCACTCCTTCTCCGTGCCCAAACATCCTACGTCCTATGTCCGTCCCGAAAGCCCTGCACAATGTGGCACAAAGCTCACCTTGTGGTTCTCAATCTTGAAGATGACGTAGCGGAGGTCCTGCGAGCCGAGGAACTCACGAAGGTGACAAAGCTTCGCATTGCGTCCGGCATCCTTGTTCGAGAAAGCAGATCTCCATCAACTTCAGGGATTGAAACAAAAAACACTCATATGCTACACCCTAAGGGTACATGGGCGTCCTTCTTCATCTTGATTTGGTTGTACAGGTCCACGCATGCGTCGTTCACGGCAACACCGGACATGGCCACGAGAAAGCTACAAACAAAATCGACAGCGCCGTGTACCGGTGAAGATGCGGGCAGTAAGCTTGAGCAGCAGCAAGCGACACGATAGAATCATGCATAGCAGGAACACAGTTATCGCGCTTTTACCCTAATTCTGCCAAAGCCACTGCCGCTGCTGCCGCTGTGTCTGCTGCTCCTCATGCCGCTTAATAGTCCTCATAATGGCGCTCTTTCTCCTCCTCTTGCAGCTCGTGCTCCTGCTTGGTAGTAGTTCTCCTACTGCTACAGCAGCTACTACTGCTGCTGCTGTTGCTGCTGCTACTACTTCTACTACTACTTCTTCTACTCCTCCTACTACTATTACTACTAAGACTAGTACGACTACGAGGACGACTGCTACTACAAGCATCGCAGTTCTCAGTAGTCGTCGTCGGGGTGGCGCCGCAGTGGCATCATCATCGTCGTCGTCATCACCAAAAAAAGCCAAAACCGTAGGTTTCAGATCGTGAAGCGGCACAAAACCCAAAAGCCCCAAGACCCGAAGCCTACCAAGCAAGAAACAAAGCAGAAGTGCCCCAAACCCTGCCTCGTGAATAACACTGCATCGTCCCAAATTCCAGCTCAGACTTTTCCAAAGTTGGAAGCGGCTGTCTGGTCGCATTCCTTGCAAACCTTTTCTTGGGGCATCAAGCTGGAATGCGGACTTGTGACGTTTTCCCTGACTTTGGGGGGTTGGTGTTTCGACGAGACTGCCAGCATTGCCAGTGTTGCTGTTCAAGTGTTGATGCGAAGTCTGGAATCTAGGGCTTTTCTTGGGTTTGGGGTTTAGGGGGCGGCCTGCTTTCAACTTTAGTTGGAGTCTAGCCCCCAAGCTTGTCATCCGGGTTTAGGGTTCTGATCAGTTGTGACCCTGCGGTGTTCATGCATTCCGTGCCTGACATGGGACGAGACCTTTCTGAGACATCTCCTGATATAGATGCTATATGGTGGGATCCTTGGCACAAGGGCCCTCTTACAGTCTTACAGTACAGGGCACCCCTAATTGCCCCTCTTACGGAAAGGAAGGCGAGCCGAGCATGGACTGCCCCCAGCTGTACGAATTTCACGCCTCGCTGGCAAACGCGGACGCAGCACCGCATGGCTGCTTTCGGCACGATGGCACAGGGACACAGGCAAGTAATACTAATACTAACACAAATACCAAACTAGTGATAACCAAACTAAGAACAATCTGATAATGAGCCCTAATTAAGACAACAGTACCTGTAGCTTTCGCCTCGTGTTTGGGGTCATGGGCGAGTCCTCGGCCTTTCACCGAGCAGCAAAAGAGGCGGAGAGCCACAACCGCTGAGGCTTTTGCTTCGTTCCGATACTACGCAGCAAACCATGAGATAATGTTATATACCTTACAGTAGACTTGAATGGACTATGATAGCCCACGAGTCAAATTTCGCATGCCGTGAGCCATGTCCCATTCCCCTCAGCCCTGTCGGCGTTGGCCGCAACCCAAAACTCAAAAGCGCAAAACCAAACTCGTAAGTCGTGCCGTTATCCTCCCTGCAGCCCTGCACTTGCCTCCCTAATCAACATGCGAGTGCGAAACCCTGCAGAACCTCCAACAGAGCCCAAGAATCTTCAAGACATCCCTACAGATCGCTTATAGAACCCTTTAAGGAACCCTTTAGGGAACCCGAAACCCTACCACCTACACCTTAAATCGCAAGCCTCAGCAGCTGGGCTCGCTGAATTTGCTGGGGTCGCGGCTGCATTCTCAAGAAACATCCCTCACTTAAGGAAGACTCCCTGTATCATAAGAAGCCAATATGCTTTCAAAAACCAGGAATAACGGAGTAGGCCCTGCATCATAGGAAGCAAGTATGATGTCAGAAAAAAATTCCTTGACCCGGCACTGGGCTCTCGGAGTCTCTGGCTAGGCCCTTTGAACCAAGAGAGAAACAAGACAACATACTAGGGCTGCGAGTTCGGGGTGTCGTATAAACAAACTATAAGACAGTACAGTATAATGAGCTAGGGCTTCGAAATGGTTAAGGGTTTGGGGCTTGAGGGGCTTGGGTTTCAGCGGTTTCGGGTTTTAGGAATTTGGGGTCTAGTGCGTTTTGTCTTGCGACTCGATTCAGGGCAAGACCAACGTGACGAAGATGAAACTGCAGGCTGGCTCGACCTAGCTGTGCTGTCGTGGGAGTTGTAGCATGCATGAATGCATGCTGCATGTATGCACACCAAGAACGCATACGAGCATGTGTACATCCATGCATCCATCCATGCACACATACACACTGCAATGCAATCAAGAACTGGCCCAGAACATCTCGGATAAACCGAATGCCAAAGAGGTGTCATGCAAGGCCTCTACACGAAGGAACTCCTGCTGGCATGCGGGGCTTGGATTGGCCTACCTAAAAAGGCCCAAGATGTCCACATGTAGGGCGGCGAAACAGGGAAAATGCAACCGCTCTGAATTCAAAGAGAGCTTGCAGAGACCGAGAAACTCCTGGGAGTTGCGGCGGAGGAGAGAAAAGTCGCGGGCAATGAGACCACTCAAAGTCCCGAAGACCAATTTCGATCTCAGCCCATCATGTTCAAAAAAGACCTATATACTATTCCATAGGGCTCCCGAATCGGGTCCAGTATCAAGTTTCCCCACGCCCTGCTCTCCCAAGAAGGATCGTCGGGGAAGGTGAGATGGCGAAGCTTCGCAAGCTGTCGGCATTGAGGGTGCAGGAATCCTCGGCCTCTTAGCCCTCACCTTACGGTTTAAGGTCTAGGGTTTCGGGTTTTTGACCTTAAGGTCTGGGCTTAAGTCTTCAAGTCTTAGGTTTTGGGGCTTGGGGCTTGGTTTTTCGGGTATACCTAGAGATTCGCTTAGAGGGTTTAGGCAGGGTTAAGCACTGAGGCTGGCTTTCGCGTTGACTTAGGGCTGGGCTTCCCATAATAGTTTTTGGTTTACCATTTACTACATACTATATATTAAACATTTTAGATTATTGTCAATCTGTTACATATTAATATGCTATGACTGTCTCAGGATGATCAGCGAGAGTTCGCGGCTCCTACTTTCTGGGCCCTCGAAATGCTAGCCGATTCCGAGATGCGCGGATTGACCTCCAAACTTTCCGGGACTGGGACTCTTAAGGCTTTCAGAAGTCCTTGCAATTCAACAATTTCAACCTCAGAAGCCCTGCGTTCCACCCTCTGCCCTACCTCGGATCCCGCAGGACCGTCATTGCTGGCCGTTGGGGTCGCTTCGTCAGGCGCATGGCCTTGTGAGCACTGCAATTCTGCGAAGTCGCGTACATGCTCGAAGCATGCTGAGAAAAGTTTAAAGCATCATGGCCAGCACGCTTGATATCAGCCCCACAGTCATCAGCAGCAGCAGCCTGGCCATCAGCATCTTCGCCGTCATCATCAGCATGAGTCTGAGCGCATAAGGCCCTCTGAAGCACAAGAAAGAAGTCAAGGCCTTCTCTGAGCTGTAAGGGTTTGGCCTTCGTTAGATGGCATATAAGCTGCACTTGGCCCAATGCTTAAAGCCCAGTCTTCGTTTGCTCCGATGCCTTTTAACCCGGGTGCTCCAAATACAACGGAGCTCCGGAGAACCAGCTCAACATCAGGGCCTCAATTATTGGAACAGAGTTGGGAGGCAACTTACACGATAGTCATACAACATTTATTCCGACTTCTCTACTTGGAGGATCATGGGACAGAGTAAGTAAGGTTATAAGTACCCTAATTGGAGATATAAGTATAGCTACCTTGTTTATAACCCTAGTTACTAAGTCCCATGATCCTCCAAGTAGCAGCGTGTTTGTGGCTACAGTCAAGATCCGATTATTCTGGCTCTAGGTTTCGGGCTTTATCGGATTCGAGTGAGTTCGGCTGTAGACCCCTCAATCTTACTAGACACCCCTCCTCTTTTGTGGGCCTTGTCAGTGGTCAAAACACAATGAGCCCTGCGAAACTGAAACCCATGAGTCCTCTATGAAACTCTCCGGGCAGATGGGAACTGGAGACCCGACCCCTCACAGCATCCATAATAGGAGCCTGAATCAGTAGAACAGGGTTCCCTTTAAAGGTACCTTTTAACGGGTGCCTATAAGGGTTACTATAAGGGATCTATAAGGGTACTATAGTATAGGAGCCTTAATAATTAGAATAGGGTTCTGGGGTATGATAAGGAACCCTAAAAGCAATAGTGTTGATAAGTTGCGTTACTGCCAAGATCTAGGTACCTGTACATCTACGATCTCTGGAGCTCTTCGCTTATTGCCCGTATCTACTCATCATCTTTTGCCCCGATAGATTCCTAAACTCAGCAGCAGGAGAAGAGCCGATTTCGCTGCAGGCCCCGGCTGCATCAATCGAGGCGGCTGCACGGTAGACTGAGCCGCATTGGAGTGTACAGAGTCGTTGTGGAGGGGTGGGGGGCTGGAGCTAATCCGTGCTGAAGGCTCGCAACAAACAATCACAAAGATAGCCTGGCGCACTCGTCCGTCCACAACAAGTCACCATAAACCCGAGTAGATCGCAACACAACTCATGCCCAGGCAGAGGTACTACCGCAACAGGCTCGCTTAGGTCTGACTCATGGAATGAAAACACGCCTCATGGTGATGCCGGCAGTAAAGTTGTCGTGGTCATGATGCTTGGTGATGCCGCTGATGCCCGTGATGACGCTGTGTGCAGACGAAGGCGATAAGAAAGTTAGCCCGTTATAATGTTGGCAACGACACCGGCGATAATGACGACGATGACGATGATGATGATGATGATGGAAGGGACGAGGCTGACAATGGTGATGGTGGCAGAGGTCATCGAAGTCCGCACCATCCTGTAGCCAGACTAGCATCAGAAGCACTCCATTTCAAAACAGGCATTCCAATAACACAGAGAACTATTCAATGCAGCAGACACTATTGGTGGGAATAGTCGAACAGAAATGATGAGAACAATGGTAGCAAGTAGAATCCATCCAGGTACTTGCGGGACGCTATGCGCCCGACACCGACTCATACGGAAGCACTACCTGCTACAGTAAGTCTCAGGATACATGCCGGCATTGCTCGGGGGGATCCCATCCGCAGAAGTTCGGGTCATGAAAAGCACCACATACTGTGTTAGTAGCGACTCGTCACTAGTCATGACACTCGGAATGAAGGCGACTGTCTCAAGGATTACCTGGTCATGCCAAGTGCCCTGCCGCGCTCCTTCGGTTCGGGGGCCTTCAACGGCGTGATTTGGCATCAGCTTCTTGCATTGGTGCATGGGTCTGGCGCTGAAACCTTTGTCTTCCATTGGGCGACTCGGTGTGCACAGCGACATACCAAGTAACTGCAGATGCTTCTCTGGTGTCGGCCACATCAACGGCCATCCTCGCATTGGCCCTGTTTTCAGATTCCGTTTCGACGTGTCTTGAACTCATCAGTCGTCAGCAGTGAGACGCTGAATGAGATATTCAAGGTTAATTGGGGCAGAGCCTCCTGCGCGACTTACAAACACTGAGCCTCTTGTGGGACTCAGATAAAGAGTTAACTAAACTTGTCGCAAGGGACGAAGTCATGGCCACAAAACTGCAGACCGAGCAAACAAATACCGGCCTGCACGAAATTTGCTCAACTTCTGAGCTTTGCTATGCTTTGCTCAACTTCGCTAGGCGCTGCTCTCCGCCCTGGCCGCATCCTTGCCCTCCCTCTGGCCGTGCTTGCTGCCCAGGAGCACCGGTCCAGTGGCGGCCTCCGGATCTGTGGGGGCCGAAGTAGATAAGGTCGCGTGCTCGATGAGAGTCTGCCTGCGCTTGTAGCCTGGGTGATGCTTCAAGGTGTGCTCCTCATGGACTGCGTCCAACATGAGCATACCCTTGTAGACGGCCGCGGCCAGGCAGGCTCCGAGGAGAGGGCCGACCCAGAAGATCCACATGCTGCGCCAGTAGCCGGGCCCCGCAGCTTCCTCCTCCGGCGCTGCCTTCGGGGCGACCTCCCCAAGCGCCGGCTCGCCGACCATCGTGGCCACGGGTTCCACGGCTTTCGGGGCCTCCATGCGGCTCAGGGAGAGGAGAGCCGGTCCGAAAGAGCGAGTAGGGTTGATGGAGCAGCCGTCGATGGGGATCAGCACGCAGTGGGCCATGAAGACGGCCAGGCCGATGGCCAAGCAGGCCTGGCTGCGGTTCATGGACGACTTTGGATTGCAGGCCGTTTGGAGGACCACGAAGACCAGAAGGAAGGTGCCCACGAGCTCGCCGATCAGTGCATTCCACCAGTTCCACTTCAGACCAACGCTGTTTGCGCCCAAGGTTTTCGTCATGTCCAGCTCAGGCGGGAAGATGGCGCAGAGGATGGCCGCGCCAAGGATGGAGCCCATCATCTGAGCGCCGAAGTTGAAAAGCCCCTGCAGCGCATGGCAGTTCCCGGTGAGGACCAGGCCAAGGGTCACGGCGCAGTTGAGGTGGCCGCCGCTGTAGTGTCCGATGGAGTAGGCCAAGGTGGTGATGGAGAGACCAAACACCAAAGCCACCATAAGAACCCAGCCCGGAATCATGGAGGTCGTCTCGCCGCTGGTGCTCTCTCCGTCACCTCCGCTGCCACCCGAGCTGCCTGAGCCCTGGATGCCCATGGCACTGCCACAGCCGATGATCACGAACAGAGTCATGCCGACGAACTCGGCCAAGCACGCGACGAGAGAGACATCTCGGTGGAACACCTTCATCTCCCCGATGTGACACGCCGCAACGATGAGAAAGGTGGTGTGGCTGTCACTGCTCGAGCAAACGCCAGCTTTGCGGATCACACAATTCCTTTAAAAGCTTCGGATACAAGATTCTACTTTCTTGCACTATCTTAGGCTATCTCATACTCTCTTATTATACGTACTCTACCACCTCAGCAAGCACAGCTCGATAAAGAGCTGCCTCGGCCCTCGTACCTACTATATTTTGGCTTAGCTTGCTAATGTCGTAGAGTATGCATACTCTTATTGTAGTACTGTTTATGATTACATCAAACAACCCGGCAACCGGAGTCGCAAGCTCCCACCCCTCCCCTCACCGCCGAAACAAGCCTTCGCCCGCTCGGCAGCTCGTCGTTGAGCCTGCGTACTGGGATGTTCTGGAGATGCCCTAATTACTGTGCTTGTCTCTTGTTGGGAAACTTAGTCAAAGTTACCACGACAATGGAACCATTTTCTGTACTATAGATCCTTATTATGGTAGTCTAAGCCCCAAACAACCCAAGTTAGCATAATCAAAACCCAAGAATCTAAGCCCTAAACAACCTAAGTTTGCATAATTATATACCCAAGATACTCGTTATGCTCATCTCAAGTATTACAGGGTACTATAGCTCCTTACTATGTTGATCTAAGCCCTAAACAATCTAAGTCAGCCTAATTACATATCCAAGGGTCCGAAGCTCCCAATCCCGACCCAGGACCCCAAAGACGAAGCGAAAGGTCCGAAGCCGAAGCCCGTTAAGAGAGGCCCTGGAGAAGCGATCGGTTTAGGGTTTCAGGGTTTAGGTTGCGATGGTTTGGGGCTTGGAGTTTGGGGTGTAGGGTTTTAAGGTTTGAGACGAAGGGTTTGCATGGGTTTACTGGGTTCTTGTTAAGGGATTTGATTCAAGTTACCATGTATCATGATAACGTAGATTAAGTGGGTTGGGACCCTCTGCTGCGGGATGGGGAAGCGAGGCCCGAGGAGGCCTGCCGCTTCCGCATGCTGGTGATCCGGATGAGGCTGAAGGCACCCGGCGGCAGGCCTTCCACAAACAGGGTTCAAGGTTTAGGGGTTTAGGGTTCGGAGTTTAGTTCAGAGCTTCAGGGAATGATTCGAAAGAGGGCTCTGCCGTGGTGTAACAGTCAGCTTTGGTAGAGCTTTCGGGGCAAGTGTGGCAGCCCTGGCAGCGGAATTATCATCTAGATCATCTAGAATCTGGAAGTTCTGGAGTGATAAAGACGACCAAGGAATCCCTTGTGTAGTCCGTGCTTATGGCAGGTATAGCCAACCCTGAACCCAAAACCTCAACCTTAGCTCACAGCCTTATGCCCACGGCCCTAAACCTTCAACCCAAAAGCCCTCAAACCCCCACTCCGGGTCCCAATATAGGTTTCAGGGAGCCCGTCTGCAACATCGCGCAAAAGCAAAACACTTAAGCCCCCAATCCCCAATAAGCCCTTATGGAGCTCATATAGGAAGTCCGAAGACAGAATGCCTTGAAGAAAACCTTGAGCTCCCTTTCACGAAAAACCTTACACGCCCTAAAACACCAAACCCCTAGTATGCCGCTGATAGCACCGAAATAGAGAGAAACGCCTCCCAACATGCTCATAGAGGGGCCTCAATAATTACCAAATGCTATTTTGCTGTTCCTTGTTCGAACTACAGTAGAATATACCCCCAAAACCCTACTCCAATTCTTAAGGCCCCTAGTTCTTCAATCTTCCGTCGATTCTGTGGCGCCTGCGTCTGGCTCCGAGCTTTGCCCGAGGACGTCCGGGGGCCGAGTCTCGGGCGTTTTGGGGCTTTCGGGCGGTTCGGGGCTCCTTTAAAGGGGGCCTACAAGGCCACTATAAGGGAGCTATAAGGGTTCAGGCCCAGAGATTCCCAAACCTATATTTAAGGAATAGGCCTTAAATGACAATATATAATATAATCAGTAATGGGATCCATCATGTGATAAGGTAGATTCCTCAAAATTCAGTCTCTAGAGACTCCAAAACCCCTTGACTAAGAAATATCCCTTTAGAAAGCAAAAAGGGGTTCCCTAATATGATCTAAGGTATGTTCCTTCGCCAAGGGGTTTTGGGAGTCCCTGGGAGGGTGTAGGGCTAAGGGTGTTGGGCTTTTGCTTCAATCAGGGCTTTAGAGAGTGCTTCCTTGGATGCATACAGGGTTTTTATGGAATGTTGGCAGGAATTTTGGGGGAGTTCTGTGACTTTAGGGTTTTGGGATTTGGGGGTCGTGGGGTTTGGGGCTTCGGTTTTGGGGTTTTGGGTTCAGAGACCCACACGCGACCAAGGTCCAATGAAGCAGTTCATTGGCACTCGGAGCGGAGATCATCTTTAGTGGAGCATCGGAGAAAGTGTTGTAGCAGCGACGAAGTAACATAGGCCGATCCCCTAACAGTCCGTGAGAACAACAAACTTTAGCAGTGTGACTAACCATATCCGGAATTCAAGTCGGCAAGCCAGCATGAAATGGAGCGGCCGGTCCATAGCGGAATGAGCTTAATGCTGAGCCTGGGGCCTGTAATGGACCCTCAAGCCGCTATAAAAGCGTTTGGGTCTAAACCTTCATTCATGCCCATAAACCCTACTCCCTAAACTCCTAGACCTTTAACCCTAGATTCCCAGACCCCAAAAATTCTCAAACCCCTCTCTCACCCTGAGCCCTCCGGCCTGGGACTCGGCATCGCGATGCGACCTGGGAGGGGCCTGGGCCTGGGCCTGGGCCTTTTCCTTTAACGGGTTTAGGGCTTTACGGTTCACGGTTTAGATTTAGGGTTTAGGGTTTCTATGAGGGCTCTGGTTATAAGGGCTTCTATCAGATTGAAGAAGGGCTCTAGGAGGGCTCTGGAGCAAGGAAGCTGGACCGTTTCGGATCTTTCGTAAGGTTCAGGCAACGCACGAAGAGGCCCAGAAAGCGAGCCCGAAAGCCCAGGGTTTAGAGTTCAGAGTTCAGATTGCTGGCTTAGGGGTTTATCTCAGCGGGTGACCATAAAACAAAACCCGAAGCCACCTTGGCCTCAAATCGTTCCGGCCCAGCGACACTCCCGTCGGCGGGCCAGTGAGTGTCGCGGCTTGCGCCTGCTGGCATGGAACATGTGCAGATCAAAAGACACGGGACGAGTCTCTGGAGGAAAAGTAACAGTCGGAGAAGCATCTTCAAAGCATGGGCTGTCGGCAACGCCCCTAAATTTGAAAATGCTTCTGGAGCCTCCTGTGCCGAGTGCACCTCCGGTAGAGGCGGACCTGTCGATCAGACTGAAAGCGAAAGTAGCAGCTGTGGGTTCCTCGCACCGGGAAGAAGGGGGATGTTTCTAGTTTCGAGCAGTACAGTACCTCCTAATTCCAGCTTCACACGCATCCTCCACCCTTTTTCCGACGACGGACTCATGAGCCGTAGAAGCAATGCCCAGTTGCTGGGCCAGTTTTGAGAAGCTGCCGCCCACTCCGCACCACAAGAAACCCAACTGGAAAAATCCCGAGTGCCCTTGTCACCACTCCTGGATACGGAAGCACCTGGTCGGGAAACGTACAGGGCTTAACAATTAGAACAGGATTTCGGGGTCGAAAAGGATTTCGGTGTGTATCATCGTATTCTTATGGAGGGACTCAAAGGGGATACCATTAGCAAGTATTCCGATCCCAAAACTAATCCCCAAAATTACCTACTGTATACCTGGGGCTATATATCAAACAATAGGGGACATTCAATTATCCCAAACCGATACCTAGTATATAACCCGTCTACCAAAACAGACGATGCCAGGTCCCAAGTCAAGGCTGCCTTCGGAAGACTCGGAGGGCGCGCTGCGTGGCGAGGGTAGCTCCTGATCGCAACTCAGTTCCAGGGTTTTCGGGTTAGGTTTCTTAAGTGCAATGGCTTCTTTCTCTGCTCCGCAAGCAAAGAGTGCTTCGGGCTTAAGCTTCAGATTCCGGATGTCTTGGGAGAAGGGCTCGAAGATGCTTGATGCACCCGCGAGGGTTGGCCAAAAGGCTAGACCACACCTGCACCGATGGTAGACTCGAGTCGTGGGTGAATGTGGACTTGGACAGGCGAGTCTGGCACATGTTGTAACGCGGATGATCGCCTTCTCTCTTTATAGTAGCACGGCAGTCAGTCTGCTATTCCGGGCCTTGCATGTTTCAACTCCTCTGTAAACTTCTCCGATGTTCAAGGATTCTGAATTCCTAATTCCCAGTATTTTGTGTCATGACTCTGTTTTGTCAGACTTATGGTTCGCTCTTCCTTCAGAGACTAGTGCTTTACCCGAATCGTCCGCTTACCGTCTTCTGCCTTTGTTTTTTGTCATGCGCGCGCTAAGCACTACCGGCCTTAATACGCAGAATCGGGCTTGGGGGTTCAGCGTAGTATAATGAGGAACCCGAAGCAATAGTAGAACTAATTACCCAGGCTTCTATAGAGCGGCTTCACAAGATGGGGTACCTAATTTTAGGAGCCTTTATCACAAGGACCCTAGTATGCACGACTCTATATGAGCGTCCCCCCATGTTCTGAAACTCCTACACTCCTACACTGCATTAGATATGATTACTAAATCTGGCACTCTGAATAAACCCTAGGACCTTAACCCCTTAAACCCCTATACAACACATGCTACATGGCCTTAGCCTTAGCAACATCCGAGAAGCCTCTTGTCGCTCTGTAACGTTCTGGGGCGGTGCCTGCCGGCCGGGGGAAGGTCCAAGCAGGGGCCAAGCAGCGCGCTTTGGGGATTTCTGAATGAAAGGATGTTCCTTAGCGCAACCCAATGCTATCCGTTGTGGTCACCTTTTCGGACTTCTGTTATCGCTGCCTCATCTCCAACTGTTTGCACGGAGGAGTTGGAGGAAGAGGGCGTGAGAAGCCTAAAGAGCCTATGATAGCTTGTGCCTCTGGTTTTTCAACTATCAAGCTACCATACCGTAGCTTTTCCACAATGATACTGCAAGAACCGTGCGGTGCGGCACATGCCTTTTCTGCTTCACAGAATGCCTTCTCGAACAAGTTGCGAAAACCAGTGCGCGACCAGTCAGTCCACGGCTTTCCCAAGCTTACATGTCAAGCTTCTGCTGAGGCAAGGAAAGGCGCATATACGTCGATGACACTGGCCAAGTGGATGGCAAGCTTGTCGCACAACTTCTGATCATTGCCGGCTTCTTCGGCTGCCAGCCAGACATGTCCTAGCCAACTGTCACGTTGATCTTCTGTAAAACCTCGACCACGAACTTCTGCGGATCGCAAAGGGCAGCGCTTGGCACGCTGATGTGCCCCCTCCAGGTTGGAGAACAGCTCTCCTCGCAGCCTGGCATAATCCTTAAGGCCCACCCAACGCCCCAGCAAGGCAAGAGCTAACCGCTCTCCATGAGCTGCAGCGCTCACATTGGAGTCTTGGTGAGATACGTCGAACAACACAGACATGCGAGGATCTTGGAAGAGTCGGCGATAGTGGAAACCAAACAACCTCACAACACCGTCTTTGCCGCCCATGGAGCGAATCTCGGCTGATGTTGGCATCGGCTTGAAGCCCCCGAGTCCAGCTTTGTAGATGGTCCGACCTTTCCTTAAAGCTGGAGATTCTGGAAGTGGACCGGCAACCTGCAGCCCTGGTGGAAAGAAGCTCTCCGGCGAAGCCTCGGAAGTAGCTTCGATGTTGCTGTCAGGGGGAGAGCTTGGCTCCTTCGCATCATGCGACATGCAGAAGCCCATGGCAATCCCTGCGCCAGCGTGAAGGAAACGTATCTAACAGAATCCTAGTTAAAGGCATCTAAAGGATTTGCCGGGTCGTCCACTTTCAGGGAAGCTTGGTGAGCCGAAGGCGCGGGACTTCGACCTCCCACGACGCCCAGAAACTCGGGAAGCCCAGCAGCCCTTGTATGAAGACATACTATAGGGGCCTAAACAAGTACCTACACTGAACCTAGTTATGATTATAGTATAAAGGTGCCCCAAGCCCTGGTCCAATTATTGAGGCCCGCATATTAGACCCTCGCAGTGGCAGTAAGGATCCGACTGAGGTTCAGGCTGCCTTCCTTCAACTTAATGCTTCTTGCTGGTGTTTTCCGACAAAATACTGAAAAATATAGCATACATGGAACAAGGAATGATCGCAAAACAAGCTCGCATATCAACCCTTACTAAACACCCTAAACTTCTCACCGTCGCAAGTTTTTCCAGAGCCGCCTCCAGGGTGACGATCGAGGCCGCTCTTAGAGCGGCCTCGCGCGCGACCTCGCCTCCTCCCCATGAGGCCTTCAAGCCTCGTTCGGCTTCGAGAATGGGGCTGGGCTCTTACGTGTTAGGGATTATGGTTTAGGGTTGAAGATCTCAAGTTTCTGGGTGCGGAGATCTGAAGTTTTCAGCTTGAGAAATGTGAACCGCATGCGCATTAAGAGTTTGAAGGGCCTTGATGCCTTTAGGACCGGTTCCTATGCCTCATGGGATGAAACGTGTTGGCGGTTGAGGGCTTCGGGGCCTAGGTTACCCCTGCGGAACACATCCGAAAGCTGCCTTGCAACTCCACATAACCCTACCCCTCTTGCAACTTCGAATCCTCACGACAGGCTCTGCAGACCACACCTTCTAAGATGCTTTCACACCCAGCCCCACCACTTCCTCCGCCCGAGTTACCAAGTCCACTGATTCCTGATCCTTTCAGTAGAGGGTCTCGGCTCCACACGAGCTGATCGAGAAACTTCCTGGACACATAAGGTGCTTTTGCTTGAAAGCCCTCGTTTCCCCAAATTCTTGGGTTTGGGGGAGGACATATTGCATTTAGACCCTTCGGTTGAAGGAACTCAGGCCCCTGGGCTTATGGGATTGAAAGGCCTAGGATGCAGAGCTGCTTGGGCATAGGGGCCACAGTTTGCTGATTTCCAGATCTCTGGGGTTGAAGGTTAGGGTTTAGTGGAGACAGGAGCCTGAACATGGAAAGTTGAAGCGTCGGACCTCGGGGGGTGCGAGCGCCTCTTCGGGGAACAGCTCGTGGTCCACAGAGCTGGAAACAGAACCTGGATCGGGATGGTCGATGGTGGGTACTTCGAGGTTTGGAGTGTGGGTCGAAGGCTTAGCTCGGAAGCTTGGCCTCTGCGGCCGCGGATACGGCGCATGGATGAAGGGTGTGTTTTGGTGGTAAGCCTCCACTAGGAGGCACCGCAAAAACGGTCACCAATGATTGGCCACACATACACCCACCAACAGCCCTGATGTAATACTACATTATGTCGTGCCACGACGCGGAAGGCAAAGCGGGTGTGCAAGACACGAACCTGCAGCCCCTGCAAAGAGACCGGAACAGCCCAGCATCACGCGAGACCAGTGACCACAACGATCACAATCACAATCATGCCCACAAAGCTAATGACAGCAATGAACATGACCATGGCAATAACAATCATTATGGTCACAACCACTTCATGATAGCAATGTCTATGACGGACGAGAGAGGGAAAGAGATACAGAGAGCAAAATGAAGCCCCCCGAAGTTTTGGGAAACCCTCTCAACCCACATACAGCGCTGCGACACCATGATGAGATCAAACACAACATTTATAAAATTGCTCCGAAACGAACTAAACCCTGTACATCCTCTGAAAAATCCCTCACCCGCCGGGAGCACCAAGTGCCCTGAGCGACTCCCGCGATGTGTCTGCGAGCGCCTTTCACAGCAGGCGGTGGGGTGGGCACAAAGACAGGTAATATTGGCATCTGCAAGGTTCAGGGCTCTTGGGCTCTTGCGCATTAGAGCTTGGGGCTTTAGGGCTTTTCGGGCTTCGGCGGATTAGTGGCTTAAAGCTTAACGTTTAGGGCTTCAGGACGGAAGCTCTAGAACTCTGGTAATTGGGATGTAGTGCTGGGGACTGGGGCTCAGGGCCGTAGGGCCTCAAGGCTCTAGGATTTGGGTGTTTAGGGTGTTTTGAGCCTCCGGGGGTATGGGCTTTAGGGTGAAGAAGGTCTGATACGAGGTGGAGCCGGGTTGTTGCCTGCAGCCGCCGAAGCCATGCCTACCAGACTCAGTACTTCTTAGTTGATCAGTACACCTCAAAACAACCGGCTGGATATGACTCTAAATCTATGTCTTGAGGCATCGAAGGATGTGCAAGTGTCAGCTTCATATAGTTTTGGATGTCGCGGCTTGGTGGAAGCTACAGGGTCTCTGGGTCCATGAAGTGGGTGCCTCGCCTCAGGATCACATATCACAATAAGCTCTCAAGTTTTGAGCAAACTCACAGACCCTGACTGCCTGACAAGTTCAAGTCCTCAGTAGCCCTACTCCGGTGACTTCGCAATTTGATCTCATATGGGATTGCGAGTACCATGGGGCTATGCTAACTCCATCTAGTCAACCTTGTCGCCAAAGTCCCGTGACCTTTTGAATACATCCCGTCATGAAGCCCACAGAGGTCTGTGGACGAGCATGGACCCTAAACCCCAAACCCTAAACCCCAAACCCTCAACCCTAAACCCGAAACCCTAAGCCCGAAACCCGGAAACCCCAAACCCTAAACCCCAAACCCTAAACCCTCAACCCTAAACTCGAAACCCCAAACCCTAAACCCTCAACCCTCAACCCCGCAAGCCCCAAGCCTGAGCCCCAGAGTTCTTAGACTTCAGCCAAGGCCTCTGGCGGCTGCAGAGCCACATCGACCTGACAGCTCGAAGCTTCCAGCTCCAATCCACCTGAGCGAAGCTCCGGCAGAAGAAGAATTGTAATCAGAATAGTAAGAACAGTGAGAAGAGAATAATAATAATAATAGCAATAATAATCATAATAATAGTAATAATAATAAGAAGAATAAGAATAAGAATAAGAATAAGAATAAGAATAAGAATAAGAATAAGAATAAGAATAAGAATAAGAATAAGAATAAGAATGATAATAAGAATAAACAAACATTAATCAGAATAATGGTACAAATAATAACAACATTAAGCACAATTTGAGGAACTTGGTCCCGCTGCTTTTGCAAACCGCCCCCGCCCGCCACGCCTGCACAGAGCCCTCTGCCCAGTGAAAAGCTTGCTCAGTGGAGCATGCAGCATAACGAAAACCACCAAACGAGACAGAATTTCCTTGTTGGTGCCCACAACCCAGCTTGGAGGATCATGGGACTTAGTAACTAGGGTTATGAAGAAGGTAACTATACTTAAAACTCCAATTAGGGTACTTGTAACCTTACTTACTAAGTCCCATGACTCTCCAAGAGACACCGGTGGCCTCCAACAGTCTCCCGAAGCATGGAGTTCTTTTGAAAACCCCTGCTCACTCTGCTCTCCTGGCTCTCGTTCTCGGGCCTGCACCTGCTAAAGGCAGCGTTTGCGGAAGCGCGAGCGGCGTTTGCGGAGCAGCAGGTTCCTGGAGCATGGATGAGGCCCTATTCTCGAGATGCGGAACGAGGGGCTTCGGTAGGGAGCCAAGCAGGCACGAACTCGTCTTGTGCATTTGCGGAACCTGATCTTAAACTCTTAGTTGCATGTCTGATCATGCACGAGACTCCATGCAGGCGATGACCTTGCGACTCCGGGCTTCGAGCCTGGAGATGGGACGTCTCCTTCAACCGTTCAGCGAGGCTACTCTCCGCCAAATGCTTGGAGAGTTTTAGATTCCATACGCCGCTAATAGCTTGTCCAACGGTGGACAACCCTCACAGATCCCCTACAAAGCCTCCATAGTCTCACAGTTCGTCACTGGCTGGAAGCAAAGAAGCATCAGAAACAAACCGTTGGAAATGTCAAGTAGTATGCTATATACTTAAGCCCTAAAGTCCCTATGCATGGACGACCTTGAAGCCAAAGTCTGTACTATAAAGGAACCCTTGCAAAGCAAATAAGATTTCATTCCTGAGGAGTTTAGGGTTTATGGTTGAGGGGTTTAGGGGTTTAGGAGACCTGTGCAGACTGCGGGAAGACGACGACCAGGAGAGGCGGGGTCAGCGCCGGCGCGGAGCCTCCAAAGCTGCTCGGCTATAAAGGCTTTAGGGGTTCCTTGAAAGGAACGGAAGTTTAGGGTTTGGAGCGGCGCAAGGCTAAGGAGATAGGGCCTTAAGAGGGTTTCGGGGTTAAGGATGCAGTAGGCTATCATGTGTCTTATACCCGTGTTGCGGTAATTGTTTTGAGCTCCTGCAAGCTTCCAGATGGGGCCAACGCAAACTCTCGGTATGCGCGAAGGAGAAGTCACTGAAGTCTTACAAAAAGCAGAAGCGCGAGTGGAGTATTGAGTTTCCAGAAAATGCCGCCAGGGAGGCCCGAAGTTTCGTCGTCCAGTCCCGGAAGCCAAACTGTTTCGAACAGTGAAACGGAATCGACGACATGCAAGCTTCGCCCTCCCAAACAAAACTTTGCTAACAACTCGACCCCTCAACCCTAAACCCCAAACCCGAAACCCCAAATAGAGAGAGGGAGGGAGAAAAACCCTAAACCCTAAACGCTAAAGAGAGAGAGAGAGACAAGCAAAAAATACATGCATATATATATATATATATATATATATGTATACATAATTTATGTTTATATACTTATATACATATTTATAGATATATATATATATATATCATGTATATATCATGTACATGTATAAAAAAGCGCCTTGCTGGGGATGCTCTGCCGGGCTGCTCGTCGCCTCCTTGGGCCCTGGCGGAGGCTTCGGCTGCCTGGCAGGGCGAGGCCGACCCCAGGCTTCAGTAAGCGCGCCATTGGGGTTCCCTTTAAGGGCCTAGGGTTGAGGCTTTAAGGCTTAGGGTTGAGGCTTAAGGGCTTCGGGTTTAGGGCTTCGGGTTTAGGGCTTAGGGTTTAGGGTTTAGGGCTCGGGGTTTATGCTTTAGGGCTTAGGGTTTAAGGTCTCGAGGCCGAAGCTTCTGAACCGAAACAAAGTCACTTAAAGGTTCGTGGGACTTAACAAGTAAGGTTAGAAGTATCCTAATGGGACTTATAAGTACTCATAAGTATAGTAACCTTTTTGGTAACCCTAGTCAGTAAGTCCCATGAACCTCCAAGTAAGGGTTTCTGCAAGGGTTACTAGAAGGGTTTGTATAAGGGGTGCTCCACTAGAAGGGTACTTTTTGGGTTCTGCCATAGGGTTCCCTTTACGCGTTCCGTACCATAATAGGGTTCCCTTTAGGGTACCATAATTGGTTTCCTCTTAGGACTTCCGTTAATTCTTCTACTTTTACACTTTCCTGGAGGATTACTAGAAAGGTGCTAGATGGGGTACTTTCGATACTAAAGGGTAGAAGGGTTACTATAAGGGTCTCTATGAGGGTCTACTATACTCGCACGACCTGCAGTACATGAACCCACAGGCCGTGATCTGGCATTTCCCGAATGCACTGAAGTTTCGCGATCGGCGTCGCCATCAACATCAATGCCAAATTCCATCGATCTCATCATGCTCATCACCACCATAATCACCCTCATCTTGAGCCGCACTCTCATCATCAACCACATCTGTTTCATCCCCATCATGATCCTTACGACCGTCAGCAATATCATCATCATAGACCACATGAACATCAGTTTCGTCACCGTCGAAGTCATCATAAACATCGATAGTGTCATTATCAGCAGCTGCCGTCGTTGGCTCCTATGGTGATTCGCAGTAGGAGTGGCAAAAAGTTGCCCCAAACTCGGCATCTTGAGCATTGAGCAAATTGGAGAATGGTACTCCGTGTAAGCAAATTGGAGAATGGTACTCCGTGTAGCGACGTGTTCAGACTTTGCATGGCCTTGACCAACGTAACAACAATCATCTCTGGCACATCTCAAACCAGACAACCCCCCAGAGAGCCCAATGCTTCTTAGCTGAGGAAGATACTTTAAACCACAATGCTGAGGCCCCGAATATGTCAATGTAGATGCCTTTAACAAGTTCATGATACTCCCAAGCCGCAACACCGGAAACCTAAACCCCCCAGAGCCTCCAAAACCCTTTAAGGAACATGACTTAAATCCTATCACGGGATCCTGATATCATTCTTTTAAAGTATATTCCTTAATTAAGGGGTTTTGGAGGTTCTGGGCCCAGATCCTCAGCCCGGCACTCGAGGGATGCGGACGGTGGAATCTGTAGGGACCTTGGCGCAGGGACCTGGAACCAGGCGAGGGTTTTGAGAGTTTAAGCTGTCGCCACTGCTCGATATTCAGTAGTATGACAGGAAGCACTTAGAAAGCTCTTCCAAGATCAACATTCTCACATGGAACTACATGTTCTTCTGCTGCGTGCTGTTTCATCTTATACTTATGTGGTTGCCCCCGTCCATGTTACCAGTGTTCCACTTGTGCGCGCGCAAGCCACTGGTACTGCCAAATCTATCAACGGTACCACATTTCTGGCTTTCCATGCACTGCTGGTGAACTCTTGGACTCAACAGTGAAACGCACTGTTGCAACCACACCCACTGGTGCAAAACGCAACAGCTGTCACGATGGATAGACGTCTCGAGTTCGGCAAGCTTGCCTCGACAATGCGCCCGGCCAGATCAGGCACAGAAAGCTGGGGAGCTGACCTGAATGTTGGGCTAAACCCTAGGGCCTAAACCCTCAAACCCTAAACTCAAAACCCATAAACCCTCCCGTGAAAATTGAATCTGGAGTCAGCTGGCGCGGAAAGCCGGAAACACCAAACTCTCGTAAATTCAAATCGCTGCAAAGTGCTTCTCTGCTCCTAAGCACCGGAGACGTTATCCCTCAAAGGGCTTAGGGTTTTGGGCTTGGGGTTTGGGATTTGAGCTTTGCATTTCGGATTGAGGATTTCAGGGTGGCATACCGCCGAAACCACAAATACTCAACCGGAACAACAAATCCTTGCACCCTGCTGGGTGGTTGAGGATTTTGGGACTTAGATCAGCTTCAGCTCCTTTTGCAGGTTTGGGAGCTTTTGGCTTTTCCGAGGTTAAGAAACGGTAGTTTCCGAAAATTCGGGGCATGATTTCTAGCCCCTGTAACTGGAACCCCAAACCCTAAACCGTAAACCCCAAACCCCAGAAAAATTGATTCTAAAAACCATTTTCCGAAACAAAGAGGCTGGAAAAGCGCCGGGGCCCTGGCTCCCGCACGGCCAGGCTCACAGCGCCAGCTCGCCAGGCCGGAGGAGCTGCAAAGAAGCGTCGGCGCTTTCGAGTTTTAGTGGGCGGGGGGGTTGTGTTGGGGGTTTTCTGTGTTCCTTTAAAGGAATACCTCAAGGGTGTCGCTGCGCTTTCGAGCCTAGGATTTAGGTGAGTTCAGGGTTTGAGGGGTTTAAGGTTTAGAGGGTGATTCTGGCTTTGGGGCTCTGTAGATCGGTGGTCCTATGATTCTGAGCTTCCCTTTGGCTCGCTTTTCTACCTGAGGGTCGATGCTTCTGTACCTTAGTACCAACTTCAGAATATTGTTTAATTTTATTGAAAATGAACACGTTCAGAATATTACTTACCCTTGCTAAGAAATCAACAATGAACACAACAGATAGATGACGGAACACTCCGGGATCAAAAGAAAAAAAGAACTCCAAGCCATAAGGCTCATGCGACTCAGAACCATACTCATAATCCCTAAACCCAAAACGCTGATTCCCGCCAAGTCAGTTGCCCACACTGCTGCCGAGCGCGCACTCTTTTTGCCTTGGCGTTGCGTCAACCGAGTCGTTAGTAAAGAAGAGAGCTTTCAGAGCTCGCCATCGATCGGTGAGAGGGCGAGCGAACTTGATACTTCAGGCATGTCCTCAAAGACAGGCGGGATGCCCTCAAAGAGCATCGGAGCGGCCCGGTCGCTTGAGAGGCCACCCTTCAAGCCGGTCGTGAGGTAGCCCAGAAGAGCTTAACCTTCAGGTCTGGCGGCGGGGAGGTGGTGGAGAGCTTGAGAAGTCGCAGCAGTAAGGGCCCGGCGTACATCACAGGACTGTCACTTGGATTTCCTCCGATCAGTTCTGCTGGAATGCTGCATCATTCCCGCCAAGTCACTTGCCCACACTGCTGCCGAGCGCGCACTCTTTTTGCCTTGGCGTTGCGTCAACCGAGTCGTTAGTAAAGAAGAGAGCTTTCAGAGCTCGCCATCGATCGGTGAGAGGGCGAGCGAACTTGATACTTCAGGCATGTCCTCAAAGACAGGCGGGATGCCCTCAAAGAGCATCGGAGCGGCCCGGTCGCTTGAGAGGCCACCCTTCAAGCCGGTCGTGAGGTAGCCCAGAAGAGCTTAACCTTCAGGTCTCCCGCCCCCCCCTCCGAGCGGGCGCCTCAAGTTGAGCAGAAGAAGCAGCCAGGTGACAGCGTCAGCAATCAAAGGGCGGGCTGGGAGGGGATTACCATTGCCACTGCCTGGTGATGCCTGTGACTGCACAGGCGGTGGTTGCCCCACTGCTTGAAGTAGTGGCGGGGGCGATGGAACCAGTGCCGGAAGAAATCCCATCTGCACTTGCAACCACTCCACCAGTTGCTGCTCAACTTCAGCTGCTGCTCCCACCACTTGCAGCCAAACTTCTTGAAACAGACTGGAAACCAGACTGGCCACTGCTCGAAGAAGAAGACGAACTGCGAGAGCAAGGAGCAAGGCGCACAACCGTGGGAAAAGTAGCACGACCAAGGCGGCCGCGATTGTCCTCCATCGCAGCTGCGGCATATGGCGCCGCAGTTGCCCCACGTTGAAGGTCCACACAAGGTTGGTTGCCGAAGGCGCTGAGGCTTGCGTGGGCTCCAAAAGAAGAGGCCTGGGCCTATGGGCCCCCGGGCCTCTGGCGGGAGTAGGCGCCGCTACACCCGAACAGGCCTGCAGCGCTTGCGACATGCGGGCCAAGACACTTGTGAACTTTCTAAGGGAGCTGCCCGCACGCCAACGGGCTGCCACCTCACGTCGTTGAGGGTCTGCAAGAACCTCAGCTGCTGTAAACCCAGCGTCCACTGGAGCGTCACCCAAGTCTGTAGCTGCCCGCTGCACCGCCTGTAGCAACTGATCCGCCGGGACCGCTGCCGCATTCATATCTTCAGCGGGAGCTGGGGCATCAGGCGATCTGGCCATGCCGCGCCCCGCACCCGCTCCGCCACTTGACGAGAGGGCACGCGACGCCGGCGCACGCTCGAGTCTGAGCACTTTGCGCCGGGTAGAGCGCGCTCTGTCGGCTTCCATGCAGCGTCACTCGGTCCACAGCTGGAGTAGTCTGCACGCCGCCCATCCAGGGTCCATGCCATCCTAGCGCAGACCTGGAGCAAGAAGCCGCCTGAGCCTAATCGAAGGCGGTGCATCCAACCGGTGAGCATGTTCATGTATGCGAAGCAAAAGCTGTTTGGCCGCATCAGATGCTTGAGCTACGACTTGCACCGACAAGGCCTCCTGCAAATAGTGTTGTAAAGTTTGAGGGCGGCTCCATCGGCCTGCGAACTGCAGCTGCCCTAAGTTGCGGTGCCGCCGGAACTGGTGCGTAGCACCACCCCCTCGTAGTGACCCCAGTGTGTAACCGCACTCACCCATACGAAGCTCACCTAAGGCCTCCTTGAACAGAATAGCCCAGCGACGACGGTTGATAAGTAGGACTCGCTGGCGGCGCGGCCGATCCGTGACCCACCAACGGAGCCACATAATCAGCGACCGCTCTTGCACTAGGGCGAACTGTCGTGCCCAAACTTTCTTTGTCTTCGGGCTTCGGATCCCTACGACCAGGCTGATGCCCTGCCCAAGTTCATCAGCCTCGGGAAAACAAAGGTCTGAGATTTTCAATTCGTCCACCTCCCCAGGTCTAAGGAGGCCTTCAAAAGCCAACCAGCAGCCAATCATCTCTGACCACCACTCTGCCCGCAACCTCCCATGATAACTGAAGCCCCGAGCTAAACAAAGCAACAATACCGCTGAAAGTACATGGTAAGCGATCGGCACCCGGGTTTTAATCGGTTCCATTCGCCGCCAGCCCCGCAACTGAATCCATGTGTTCTTCAGGAGCGGGCCCGCAATGCAGAAGGCCCTCTGAATGCTGAGGACGCCCAAAACAACCCAATAACGACGCTCTCCACGCTCATAGCTCACTGCCACCGCCTTTTCAAGCCACCTGTCCACCGTTTGAGGCGAGGAAGAGGGGGATAAGGAGCCACCCACATCAGAGACTACACCCAACAACCATTGGCCAGCGTCCCTGAGATTTCGCCTGTACTCGGCAGAGAGAGCCGCACGCTTAAGCGTGCGTCGTGACCCGCGGCCACGCGGCATGATGCCCGACGACCTCCTCGATGAAGCCGGCGGGAAAATCCCCAGCTATCTGATTCCGTGCCACCCCGCCAGACACGCCATGCTTGTGAGTTCCGGGGCCGGGGCAACGACGAACACTGCGATGGAGCCAAGGAAAGTTCGAGAGCAGGGTTGTGGGGCGACGTGCGGGTGGAACGGACCCACCCTCAAAAGCACACATGTCTGCCTTATACACAAACACCCGCTCAGACTGCATGAAAAGCTCGGTGGTCCTCATCTGCCAGGCCTTGCTGAGCTGCGGATGGATCAGGATGAAATGGCCACCTTGTTCCATCACCTGCCGGGCCAAGTCGAGGACACGGTTCCACAAAAGGTTGTCATGAGCGATCCTCCACACGCTTGAGTCGCCCTCGGGTAGACCACGAGGTCGCCACTCACCTGTACCACAGGACTTGTGCAGAGTAGAGAAGGTCCGGAGAGGCGGCGCCAACCAAAGCCACCGGACCTCCTTTCTTTCAATCAAGTCGTCAATGCGCTCGCTGAAGACCTCCTCATCACGGTAAGCGTTGACCTCAGAGCACATAGGCCAGCCCTTATAGCCCGGTAAACACTGGTCACCAGTCCAAAGCCTGAGCCAATCTCCAGGCCCGGGGGGAGCGACGCATCCAGCGCCACCCCGAACTTCTGCATCCACTCCTCAGGCAAACTCGGGCTCGGGAGAGGGTTGAAGCGCGACGGGTGGTCGGCGAGGTTCGCACAGGTCTCGATCCACAGCAGTGCGAGAGTCACGTCGGCAAAGATCAGAAATGGAAGTTGACCCCTGAGAACTCCGTTTAACTTGAAAGAAGAGGAGCGCCCCTTGCTCACTGAGCCCACCACTACCAACGAATCATTGAGGGCCACCTGAATGGTGCTCGAATTGTTGAAGTCAGCTGTGAGCTTCACAATTTCACGGCGTAGGGCACGAGCCTCCTGCAAGTTGATGTGAGAAGTTCTCCGGAAAGAGAAGCTCCCGACAACCTCCCACGGGAGGCTTTCTGAGATGGCCGCCGCAAAGCAAGAGTTCTCAATTGGAGCCTCACCCGCGAGATTCAAGTTATCGCGATCCAGCCTGACAGGAGAGCCACGAAGTTCTGAACGCCTCCAAAGTTCACGGAGCAATGAGGCGCTGACCGTCGCCCGAACTGCACCTCCTGAAGTGGGCGTGGCATCAGTCGCTAAAAGTGAAGAGTGCAATCTCTTTCGCATACACCACTGGGCCATCGGGAGATGCAAGGCCACTGAGCGCAGCTCGCCCAACACAAAAGCCGGGAGCCAGACCTTCTTGCCTGGCACCAGTTTCTCTACAAAGATGTACAAGTGGTGGATCAAACTGAACATCTCGCGCCTATACTGGAAAATGAAGGCAATGAACCCCAGGAGTTTCTGCAAAATCTCTTTGCTGGCTGTTCCTGCACGCACGGTCTTAGCAATGAGGGACCACACTTGTTGCCGCATTTCCAATGGAGCGCCCACGGTGCCCCGAATCCCATCCACTTCGGCACCCCAAGCTTTGAATCTGGTAACTCCCCGAAAAGCTTTGTGAGTGGCTCGCTGCAACCCCGCCTTCTCGTAAGCGTCCTCAGCCACAGCCGTGTGCACCATGTCCGGATCGTCGGCCTGCAAAGGAGGCGGCTGAAAGGAGCCATCCAGGGGGATCACCGAGTCTAAGGTCACACGTAGCGTTACCAAAAGGTCATCAAGATACACGCCTTCCCACAAGTCAGCCTCGGGGACAAACTTGCCATAGGTGAGCTTGTTCTCCGGCCTAAGGAGCCCGAACTTGCGCAGGATGGCTTCGTGTGTAGCTTGCGCGATCGAGCATCCGTTGCGATCCCCCATCCCCAAAACTCTAAAACATAATCTATAAGCCACTCCAGGAGTGCCCCCGTGCTTCTTGACCACATCTGAAGACACCCGGCGCCCCACTGAATTGAAGCGCACCCAGCCTGGAGGGAGTCGTAACATGTAATAGAAATTCCGGAGATCATCGCCTGAGCCACGCAGGTATTGGTCGGGACCCAGGAGCATTCTTGTAAAACAGGCTCCACTCGGCAACTCCTCCCACGCCAACCTCGGCATAGTGCTGTTCTCTGGCCGCCGGTCGAAGATGAGTCGGTCCTCCGAGTCATTTTTCCCAACACAGAAAAGGCCGCCCACAAGAAGCTTGCCCTCGGAAGTATGGGGCAGGTCCGTCTCCTTGACGAGCTCGGCCATGCCAGTCGAGAGGAGCTTCTCGGCCAAGTCATTTTCTTCATCCTCTGGGACACGGTGACAAGCAACTACAACGTCTTCCCAAAGATGCTCAGGGAGGCGCACCGCCTCCAAATCACCTACCACCGCCGCCTGATCTGAAGGTAACCACTCCAGAGGGTCAACACGACCCGCCGCATCAGGAATCGCCACCCTAGAGGCACACACAGGAAGGGCCCCCGAAGGAATCCCCGCCTCAGCCCCACCATAGCTTGCACAATTGAGCTTCAACATGTCCTCAAGAACCGACCTTTTGCCCTGACATTCAAGAAGACCTGCAACCAGCTCGAAAGAAGCGAATTGGCTCACCTCGCCGAGCAGCTTAAGAGCGAAGTCCTGAACATCCGCTCGGTACACCACTCGCGGCTCCAGTGTAGAGCTCCCCGGGCGCGGGCAGCCAAGCATTACAAAGTTTGACCAAGCCACAAACGTGTTTACGAAGGCTCGGCCCCACCATTCATGGGCTTGACCCCTATCGCTAACAACCTCCGTAAAGGCCACCTCAGGAAAAGGCAAAACACAAGGGAAAAGCGGCACATCATTGCCGGCCCGAACCAGCAAAGTACCTTGGACGCGTTCCAGCCAGGCTGCATACTTGATAAAACGTGAATTCCTTCCACGCAAGGCCGGGTGCTTTAAGCAAAGGGCCCTGCCATCATGCAACGACTCATCGGTGATCACTTCTTGGAGGCACCAGTCGCCTCCTCCTCGTCCTCGTGCTGGCTGTGACTTTGGGCCTCCTTGACACGCTTCTTGAGCTTCGCCAGGGAGGACATGTAGTCGGCCAGCACGGACATCTCCTCCTTCGTGCCCGCAAACTCCTTTTTGACCATTGGGTCGGGTAACCCCGTTAATAACCAAGCGGCTTGCCAATCTCCTTGGGCGAGGACACTCTGGATCTTCGCTTTCAAGTTCTGCACCAATTGGGCTGCTGCTTGGTCGGGTTTGCCTTGTCTGATCAACTCGTAGGCGGCTACATCCATCATGGCACACCGGTAGATACCCTTGAATTTGCCCCACGATTGGCGTTTCACGAAGTCTCTGAGAGTCCAGCTTTGGCCAGCTGCCACCCCCAACTCCTCGATCACCTCCTTCTCGAAGATCTCGCATACCTTGCGGGGCCGCTTCTGCACCTGAGCTTGCAAGCGGTGCAACGTGGACACCGCCCGCATCCCCTTTCCTCGGAGGTCGTCCTCGGCCTCCGAATCGTCGGAGGAGCCACCACCAAGGAGATCGGAGCTGCCGCTTGCCCGATCTCGCCGTCGCCGGCTCCCCTTCTTGTCCTTCTCGAGCAACATGGTCATCATCATGAGGGGCATCAGCTCGCTGCTGTTCTGACCACTGGCAAGGCTTTGGGCTAACAAGGTCCTCAAATCCGGAGTTTCCTTGATGTCCTTCTTCGGCTTGGCCTCCTTGGTCACACGAGCCCGCGACGAAGCCGGGGCCCCAGGGCGGAGGTAGGAGGCTGGCTCCCAGCCATCTTCGTCGTCGTCCGTCTCGTCCTCTTCGTCGGCGTCTTCCCGGCCCTTCTGAAACAAAGCGCCCAGGGCGCCTAGATCCATCTCCACTCGGCTCTTGGCAGGGCGGCTGCCCTTCGTGGCCGGTCGCTCGGCCTCGCTGCTGGAAAGATTGCCCGCTGTCACCTGCTTCCATGCGGCAACCGACGCCTCCCAAGGAGGGAGGTCCTTCAGTCTCAATCCGCTCCAATTGTCAGGGCGGCTCAAACTAATGGTGTTAGTCGGGACCCGAATAAAAGCAATCTCTGTTCCGTGGCTCTTGCCCTTCGCTTGATTAGGCACTCCAATGACCGAAGACACCGGGGTAGCCAAGAAAGCTTCACTTGCAGCCAGCTCAACAATCCAGCCCGTCACCGGTACATCCCCAGCAGAGCCATGGCAAACGACGTAGACTACGTCTCCGCTATCCATGATCACTTCAGAGCTTGAGAAGTCGCAGCAGTAAGGGCCCGGCGTACATCACAGGACTGTCACTTGGATTTCCTCCGATCAGTTCTGCTGGAATGCTGCATCAATCCTAAACCCTGGGTACTGATAACCCCAATCCAAGAAGTACTTATACCTCTTCTCAGTCCCCTCAACCTCAAAGGGCTCCTAATCAGATCGCCCCAAACCCTTTGAATGCCAAGTACCTCTGCATCGAACACCGACCCCTTGCCTCGCCTAAGCGCTTAGGGTTTAGGGTTCGGGGTTCAGGGTTTAGGGTTCAGAGTTTTGGGTTTAGGGTTTAGAGTCCAGGGTTTATGGTTTTGGGTTTAGGAGTTCGGGGACACCCCTGGCCTGGCCTAGCAGCTGGCGCGAGCACACGGGACAGCGACACACCTGCCCCAAGAAAAAGATATGCGGCAAGGCTTTGAGCTCAGGGCTGCTCCAAAAGCCCTTCATTAAGGGATATACCTTAAAGTATAATCGGATCCTCAATATGAGGTGTATTCCTGAATTAAAGGATTTTGGAGTCTCTGGGGAGTTCAGGGGGCTGCTCCTTCCTAGGAAAGCCATGCCCAAACATCCAAGCCTTCATGTGACCCGGGGCTGTGCCAGTCTGCTCATCAAGACTTCGCTCCCTGCTCAGGCGACCGCCATCGCCTCGGGCACCTATTAGCGAGAACCACCCGAGCCCTCCAGCGCCCTTTCAAGGGGCGCTCCGCCAGTCCAGGCCCCAACCGACCCAGCCCACAGCCTCTCTAAAGCTCGAGGCCGGAAACACGAGGGCAGCGACGGGACCTGCCTCTGAAGAATTTATATGTCGGCTTCTTCTCCTGATTCTTCTTCTTCTGATCACTAGCAGTTGGCAGTAGCATGATTCTTTGTTTTGTGTCACATAGATTACTCAGCAACCGACAGAGCCAAAAGAAGATTCCTACCGAAAGTGACAGGAGAAACCATGGCTTCCTCGAACCTCGCGAGACCGGCAGAGCCGCTGCAACTTCCGGGGCCCGGAACCTGAAGCCCCCCCCGAAACCCTGAACACCCCTTAAACCCCAAGCCCCCGCCCTCAATAGCCTCAAACCCCTTACTGTAAAAACCAACAACAATAGTATTCAAGATATGTCAAGATAAGAAGAAGAAAAATGTTAATAATGCAATTCAACAACACCAAGTGAAACAGATAGACGTTCATGATAAGTGTCAACCCTAAACCCTAAACCCTTATTTAATACCCTAAATACTAGAATAATAATCAGAAGTAATTCAACAATAAAAAGTGAAATAGATGGACTTTCCTGGTAATTGTCTTAATGAGAATAAGAGTCGTAAGACGAAAGGGGGCCTGGCTCGGAGTGCAGACCATGGGAGCTCCATTTGCCCGGCGCTGCGCACCCGGTAAGGACGATAGAGTTTTGGGGCTTTGGGGTTTAGGGTTTTAGGGTTTTTGGTTTTAGGGTTAGAGCTGAGGGCTTCAATATCGGAGATGGTTTTTCTAGGTGTTTGCTTGAGTTCAGGAGGGTTTCGTGGGCTGAGCTCCAGGACACACAACCTCATCGACTGAGATAGTTCTGGCTGCACATCCGAGGCCGAATTTGAACCAAGCTCTCGGGAAAGATCACGGATGAGATCTTCAAGCAGTTGTGGTCCGTAAGAGAAGAGACCCCAGCAGTTGAACCCTTGCATGAGGACGTCTTGATAAGCCACCACTCCTGTAAACGCAGCAGCTGCAGCTCGTGAGAGCATGCGCAACTGCCCCGAAAAACGAGACAGGACCTGCATGGATTGGGCTTCGGGCGTAACGAGGGTTCAGGGGCTTGGGGTGCTATCAGGTCCTCAGCCTGAGCATCGCACCCTGCACATGGGAATACATTCGCGCTTACCCCACCCCCTCGATCCCAGTCGGGGCTTTCTTTGACTCCAAAATGGCATCTCCCGGCTCGTGGCAGTGCAGCTCTGGTGCGCTTCGTCTCAGTGTCTCCCTGGCAGGCAGGTGTCGAACAGCAAGCTTGCGTCGAACGCATTGGAGGATCCTCTGCAACTTTTAGGAGACTCCAAAACCCTTCATTAAGGAATGTACCCTAAATCATAGTAGTATCCCCACTATACCTTAAGGAAAAAACCCCTAACTAAGGGGGTTTTGGAGGCTCTGAGTTTAGACGCGAGGATTTCCTTCTGGGGCTCCCGGCTCATGGTTCCCACCAGGGTCATGTTGGAGGTGGTAATGTTCGGCAGACGGTCCATGTCAAGCTCCTCCCAAGTTGTAATCATATCAAAGACCTCCCAAAACCCTTTGCCAGGCGTTCTGGGGCTTCGCACGAGGCCCCGAAGTTGATAGTATTAGCAACAAAAACAACAATGATAAGAAGAAGAACAGTAATAATAATAGTAGTAATAATAAAAATAGCAGTAAGCAACTCCCTAAAGCAGAAGATGGCAGCACTGCGAGCAGCTCCTGCCTTGCTCGTCAGACACGGGCTTTCAGAGGTCCAACGTTTCGGGTTTAGAGTTTTCAGTTCACGCTTCTTAGCTTCCTTCGAGAGATCATGGCTGAAACGCAGGAAAGCCGGGAAAGTGCACTCCTTGAGCATGTCGCGGGTGTCTTGGTCAACCTGGGGTCAAAAAGGGGAACTGGAGGTTCCTGATCATGAGCCACTACTCCCAGGCCCTGCCTGGATGAACTCGGTGTTCACCTCGGACTGGTCAGGCACGAACTCCATGCGCCTTTCACGCTCCTCCTCCTGCAGCTTCAGGGAGATGCCACGAACAGGGCCCTTCTGGATGCGCTTCATGAGGTGCGTGGTGAAGCCAGCGATCTTGTTGCGCAAGCGCTTGGAAGGGACGGTGGCCACCTCCTCAGTGATCTTCTTGTTCACCTGGAAGTCCAGAGTGAGCTTGCTGTAGTACTTCTCCACGATGACCCGCGCGGCCTTCTTCACGGTTTTGGTGCGGACACGGCCCATGTCTCCCTGCTATCTGCCAACTAGCTTGCTTGTGCCACTACCCTGCAGCACGGAAGCAGCAAGCCGCTTCAAGCTGAAAGGCACGCGCCAAACATGGGATGCAACAGTTCGCTCACTCTGAACGGCTTTACAACCGCCTACTCCCAACAGAACCCACCAGGCCCCTCCGATCTGTTCATTACGCAGCAATGACCGCATCTTTTCTCGCTTTGTGGCAGACCTGCTTGACCAAGCTTCGGACACCGCTCTTCTACCTGCGGCCTCAGATGCAGAGCACAGCGGCCAAACGAAGCCCTCAAGCCGTTCCCCGCAATTCTGCATCGTTCTGAGTTTGGGGCCCATGGCGACCCCGGTGAGGGTCACGTTGGAGGTGGTGATGTTGGGCAAGCGATCCATCTCCAGCTCCTTAAGCATGTCCCTGGTGTCAGGATCCACCTGGCGCTTTCGAGCACTGCTCCAATGCCAATGGGGCATTCAGAGTGCAGGCTCGTCAAACAGCAGGTACAAGGACAGTTCACAGCCGATCATGAGCCACTACACCCAGGCCCTGCCTGGATGAACTCGGTGTTCACCTCGGACTGGTCAGGCACGAACTCCATGCGCCTTTCACGCTCCTCCTCCTGCAGCTTCAGGGAAATGCCACGAACAGGGCCCTTCTGGATGCGCTTCATCAGGTGCGTGGTGAAGCCAGCGATCTTGTTGCGCAAGCGCTTGGAAGGGACGGTGGCCACCTCCTCAGTGATCTTCTTGTTCACCTGGAAGTCCAAAGTGAGCTTGCTGTAGTACTTCTCCACGATGACCCGCGCGGCCTTCTTCACGGTCTTGGTGCGGACACGGCCCATCTTTCACTTTGCTAAACCTGAGTCAAGCCTGATGCTACCACAAACCTCGGGCCAAACGAGCATTCAGCACGCCGGCTACTACAACATGCCTCGTAAAATCCGGACATGCCTCCTTCATCGGGGGGCAAACACACAAACAAACAATCTATGATCTCCCCTGCTTGTCGTGATTGCTCTACATCTGTTCCCATACCGTGGTTTGAAGAGAGAGATGGCCGGCGGAAACGAAAGATCCCCTACAGTATGTTGGAGGCTGAAGGAATCTTCCTCTCATTCTAGAATCTGTGGACACCAGGAAGAAAAGGCGGGGAGCTGTCTGGCAAGGCCGTCGCAGACGGAATTCAGCTTCTGTGAGACAGCTCTCTAAGACACGAAAAAGCCAGAGGCACCACCCACAGGGGAGAGGCTGTCAAGTTGTGGAGTGCACAGGTTTCAGGAGCTTCGAGTCTGGTAGCTGCACATCAGCTTTTTTGCATACTCGCACTGGCTCATTTGGCTCGCCTTGGCACCAAGCGTTGGGACGCAGTGCTGGAGTTCATGGTGCAGGCACCGCCAAGTGAGACTCCTACTCGGGGGTGCCGTTCTCCAACTTCCACTTCAAGTACTCGATGGTCGCCTGGATCTCCTTCTCAGTCAGCTGCTTCTTGTAGGTGATGATTTCCATCACTCCGAAGTCCGAATACTCGTGGTGGCCCCGGTTAACGTACAACTTTTCAACTTGTGCGAAGGCTTTTCCGACAGAGCCTGCAATGTTCTTTGAAGGATCTCTGCCGTCGTACACCTGCTTGTTGTTGGTGCCGCAAAGCACCACCCAGTCCTCACTGCCATGATGCCGAGAGCTCTGCGTGTTCCACTCTTGGTAGTAGGTCACGCCCGTGTTCCCTGCCCAGTGCCCGTGCAGCCAATTTAAGGGCTTCCCCGCCTGGAGAATTCTGTTCTTGTGGCCGCCCGTATAGCGGCTGACGGAGCAAATGGTGTAGTCTTTGGGGAGGATCGCATCGAAGTCGAAGATGTCGGCATTGCTGCCCTTCAGGAATTTCACCTTCTTTTTTGCCCCGTGCCCTTCTTCTGTCTCGATCTTCATGCCATTCCCCGTTCCAAAGCCCTTGAAGTTGCCCACCTTGCTTTTCCAATTGGAGGTCGAGGCATCCTCGCTCTTGAACCAGGCAAACATCCCGTCCTTCGTCGGCTGCGGTGCCGACGGTTTTTTGCAGTACTCATTCAAACCACTTGCGGTCAGACATTCACTGGATTCCCACACACACTGCATGTACTGGCCAGCGCTGACTTCCACAAACCTGTCCCCGCATTTCTTCTTCGTTTCTGGGTCCACTTCGGAGCATAGCTTCTTGGAGGCCACCAACTTGCCTTTGCACTCCGGTTCATCCGAAGTACGAACATCGAGCTTCAACCCCAAGCAGGCCACCAGGGGGATGAAGACCACGATCTTCTGCCTTGGATCTACTTTGGGTTTCACGAAAGACGAAGCAGCTGCAACATATCACAGAGTCTCAAGACATGCTGGGCCGGGCTGCATTGTCGCGGCTCTGTTGCCACAGCGGGGATCTCACTGGCTTTAAACGCTAGAGCCAGAACGAGCTCACAATCTACAGTTCGAAATTGAAATTAAAGTCGTACTTGGTTCTAGCTATGGTTCAACACGTCCCACCGCAGAACATGCCCTGTGCCATGATCTGGCGCCGGACACGCAGAATGCCGACGGAACCACTCGCATGCAGAACTGGGCAGACGGACAAGTCTCCAAGGCAACATGCTTGGATACTATGTATATGTATAAGCATAAGTATACGCATAATAGGCACATATATATATATATACATGTACATGTGTGTGTCTCAGCGGAGAGGAGATGTAAGCGTGGAAACAGCGCAGTCGGATGTTTTGCAAGCTCGCAGAGGCTCGCACGGCTTGCGTTCACACCACGTGTTGCGACGAAATGCTGAAGTGAGATTCCTACTGGGTGCCGTTCTCCAACTTCCACTTCAAGTACTCGATGGTCGCCTGAATCTCCTTCTCAGTCAGCTGCTTCTTGTAGGTGATGATCTCCATCACTCCGAATGCCGACCACTCGTCGTGGCCCCGGTTAACGTACAAGTGCTCATCTTTGTCGAAGGCTTTTCCGACAGAGCCTGCAATGTTCTTTGAAGGATCTCTGCCGTCGTACACCTGCTTGTTGTTGGTGCCGCAAAGCACCACCCAGTCCTCACTGCCATGATGCCGAGAGCTCTGCGTGTTCCACTCTTGGTAGTAGGTCACACCCGTGTTCCCGCTCCAGTGCCCGTGCAGCCAATTTAAGGGCTTCCCCGCCTGGAGAATTCTTTTCTTCTGGCCACCCGTATAACGGCTGATGGAGCAAATGGTGTAGTCTTTGGCCGGGAGGATCGCACCGAAGTCAAACTTGTCGCTGGTGTCGCCCTGCAGGAATTTCACCTTCTTTTTTGCCCCGTGCCCTTCTTCTGTCTCGATCTTCAAGCCGCTCCCCGTACCCTTGCCCTCGAAGTTGCCCACCTTGCTTACCCAAGAGGAGGTCGAGGCATCCTCGCTCTTGAACCAGGCAAACATCCCGTCCTTCGTCGGCTGCGGTCCCGACGGTTTCTTGCAGAACTTATCGTTCCCAGGCACAGAGGCGGTCAGGCATTGATCGGATTTGTCCCATTCACACTGCATGTACCGGCCAGCGCCGACGGCAGCAAACCTGTCCTCGCATTTCTCCTCCGTTTCCGGGTCCACTTCGGAGCACAATTCCTTGGAGGCCACCAACTTGCCTTTGCACTCCGGTTCATCCGAAGTACGAACATCGAGCTTCAACCCCAAGCAGGCCACCAGGGGGATGAAGACCACGATCTTCTGCCTTGGATCTACTTTGGGTTTCACGAAAGACGAAGCAGCTGCAACATATCACAGAGTCTCAAGACATGCTGGGCCGGGCTGCATTGTCGCGGCTCTGTTGCCACAGCGGGGCTCTCACTGGCTTTAAACGCTAGAGCCAAAACGAGCTCACGATCTACAGTCTAAAGTCGTGCTCGGTCCAATGCAGAACGTGGCCTCCCTTCGGTACTACTCGCGTCAGAGACACAGAGCAATCGCAGAAACGGCCACAGGAGCTCCTTTGGGAGGCCGGGGCTCCTGGGAATCCCAAATCTCCAGAAGCCGCCTGGCCAGGTCCTAAGGTCTGTAAAAACCCTTGCAAGCTCCCCTAAACCCCGAAATACCCCTGTATAACTCCTAACCCGATACTTACTAAACCCCTAAACCCCCAAGAATCCTAATATCTGTATACTAAGATTCCCTCAGACCTTTCATGCCTGCTTTGGCAAGAAGGAACAACCCAGAGAGCCCAATACCCCTTAACTAAGGAGTATCCCTTAAATTATAAGGGAATCATATTATGATGTAAAATTTAAGCTATATTCCGTAATTAAGGGGTATTGGGCTCTCTGGGAACGGAGGTGGAGTTCGAGGATGATGGGACTTAGCAACTAGAACTCTAAATACACGTGTAGTCAACAACTCCAATTTAGGTACCTATAATCGTGCTTGCAAAGTCCAATGATCCTCCAAGTACCCGTAGTAGCACTCGAATCATCTTTACTGCTACGATCACGAGAGTACTAAAGCCTGGAAAGCAGTAAGAATCATCATGGATAGCGTTGCTACACTAGGTGACTACACTAAGATCAGCGTAGAAAGCTACGCAGCTGCTGCCATGCAGTGGGCCCAGGTGCGATGCCGCAAGCCGTCCGGGCACGTAATTAGAAGGCTCGTCGTGCCCCTTCTTCGAGGAGCCTCCGAACTTCCCGGAGCCTCCAAAACCCCCTTAATCGAGGAATGCACCTTAAATCATATTGGGGGATCCTAATATAATTTATGGTGCAGTCCTTAGTAATTAAATAAGGGGTTTTGGGATTCCTCCAACCCAACACTTCCCAAGGCAAGTAAACCGCTGCAGAACCACTGCCAAAGCTTTTCACTGACCCGCCAACAGTCAGCGGCGTCGGCAAGGACAACGACGAAAGGGGACGGGACCCATTTGCACATTGGCACTGTGGAAGCTCTCTGACTTCGAAGCGCACCCGGTTTGTCGAGGCACCTGAAGCCTTTTTTAAGTATGCCATATACTGAAGTAGAACAGAACAGAATATAAAATACATGTAACAGAACAACATTTACAAAACAATACCATAAACTGATACAGTATATAATATCAAACAGTAGTGTAGGGGACTGCTTCACAGCCGAGATCAAAGCCGCGGCCCCATAGCTCCATCGGGTCCAAACTGAATTCATGGGGGACCCATGGTTGCAGGCAGTTTCGCTAGGAAGTCGGAGGGAAAGTTTAAGTTTAGCGTCTTTTTAGCATAGGAAGCTAGGGTTCATAGTTTCGGATGCTGTGCCATCACGGGGATCCCTGTTCCAGTGCAGGTGAAACCTGGGAAGGTTTTTTTTCCTTCACGAGGCTGGTTCGGCGCACATTCTTCGCCAGCTCCGCCTTCCACTTTTTCACGTCGTCCGCATCCGGTGCGCCAGCACAGACCTTCTGGTCTTTCTCCCTGATCAGCACCTCGGCCGAAATCTCAAGGGTTCGGAGTTGAAGGATGGAGGGAGGGAGGGAGGGAGGGAGAACAAGGCTCAGCGAAAGCCCGAGCGGCTTCAAACTTCTCCTGCTCTTCTTTGACAGCTTGCCACTCCCTTTGCATGCTGATGGCCTTCGCTTCAGCTCAGCAACTCGCAAGAAACCCCAAAACCAAACCCCAAAACCCAAAATCCTAAACCCTAAACTTACGTGCAGTCTCATGCCCCCGACTCTCTGCCTTGATCAGGTTGAACTTGCACATGGCTCGCTGGTAGTAGAAACACTCCACTTTGTTTCCCTTGCAGCGGCACCCATTTCCGGACTTGATCAACTCACCGTAGCCTGAGTTCTTGTCAAGGAATGTCACTTTAGCTACTTTGAGGGGATCTATACTAAATGATGTGGTTTCTTTATTATGGCAACTGAAATTGAATCCCTTAACGAGAACCCAGTAGCCGTCAGCTGCACGACTGAAGTTATCGCTCACTTTCTCCCAGGTTGAGACGTCCGCATACTGTAAAGCTGTGAGCTGCAAGCATGCATGGTTGAAATAAGTCCTGCAGCGCATCAGCTGAACCTCTTCCTCTGCTGGAGTCTCATGAAGCCACTCCTTGAGTGCTTCTTTGAGGTGCTCTTGTGCCGTGTAAAACTTGGCTAGGGTTTTGGTATTCTGGTATTCTCTACCATGCAGCTGCCCCAGCTCTGCATGTGCCATAGCGAAGATCCCCCTCAGGCGTTTCAACACCTCTGGCGGCTGTTTGGCGTCTTTGCCCAGTCCCTTATCCATCTCCAGAACTTTGTCGAACTTTTTACAGATCTCATCTGGAGTTGGAGCATCCTCATTTTCGCGGGGTGGGTCAGGTGCCATCGAAATCGCCTTGGAAGCCGAAGCCGCACTGAAAAGGGCTCTGGCCCTCATGAGCTTCTGGAGCAGCTCTGGTGGCACCTCCTCCGTCAGGCCAAGGCTTTCTTGGAGCATGGCTGCGGCAGCACCTCCCATGCTCACCTCCTCCCAGGAGCCCACAACCGCTTCATCATTCTTTCGAGCCTCTTCCGTCTCCTCCCGGGAGCGTGCAACCGATTCAAAATTTGTCACGGCCTTCTGCCAATAGGCTGCTCCTTGCTGTAGCAACGCAGATGCATAGGAGTGCCGACATGCGACCGCCTTCACGCTCTTTGGGCCGAGCAGCATCTGAAAGCCCTCAGCCGCAAACAGGAAGTTCTCGCTGGCATCCTTCTGAAACTTCTCTCGTTCATCATCTGAGCACTCTCGCTGATCCATCAGCTTTAGCAGAATCTCTGCCAAAGTCATGGCTGCCGAGTAGGCCTCCTGCTGCACAGCGATGGGGAGGCCCAGCATGTGGCTGGCTTCGACAGTCGATGTGGCTCTCCCCTGCAGTGCCGCATGCGGCGCCTTGTACACCTGCTGATGGCCCATGCCGGCTTCCCGATCGTTGTCCTGATGCGTGGCATGTCGGTCCGCCTTCGCCTTAAGTTGTTCCAAGGTAGTTGTGTACCCTTCTTTCGCCTTCTTGAAGAGGTCAACACTGTCCTGCACTGTGCCACTTTGGTTTTTGAGGATGAGGTCGCCACGCTTGTTTCTCAGAAATGCCAGGTTGTTGTACAAGATCAGAAACTCCAGCGGAGGGTCTGCCTCGGATGGCGTTTGATCCTGCAGGTGGTCATCCATGTAGGGCTCCTCTGAGTCCTCGGAGTCGTCGGATTGGGAGTCGGAACCTTTGAGGCTTGTGATTGTTCCCTCGATAGTGTCGATCGCTTGCTCCAACACTTTCTCGGAATCCTCTGTGCTCTTGCGGAGATCGAGCACAAGGGCCCAGTTGCTCGCAATGCGAGCATGGTGAACGGCATGATCCCAGCGACCGGGCTTCTTTGATGCTTTATAAAGTAGCTGGTATATAGTATCAGCTTCCTGTAGCATCTCCTCTTTCGTCTTTTCGTTGATCTTGGGCAGCGCTGCCAGGCGCCTGGCCACGCATGCTGCGTTGTTCCACATCGCCAAAGCAGCTCTGTTATCTTCGTAGCCGGTGTTCGCCAACTCTGCCTCGATCTGACCCTTCGGCAGCATCTTTTCGGCACAGTACCTCATGATGCGGAACGCCTTCTTGAAAACTTCCTCGGAAACTTCCTCGGACAAAGAAGACTCTTCTGACTGCGCTTTTTCAATGCGGATCTCCTCCAGAAAGCTGAGGCTCCGAAGCACATGCAGATGCTCGCTCTTATTATCTGGACCCTTGCCTTCCAAGGCCTCTTGGGCGTGCTTCTCGGCATCTGGATCTCTGCCTTTCAAGGCCTCTTGGGCATGCTTCTCGGCATCTTCAAAGCGGCGCCAGTTCAGGAAGAGTTTCGCAAGCAGGTCGTGGCAGGCCAGCGTCTCGATATGCTTGGGATCGAAGGCCTTCTTGCGGTAGTCCAGGACCTCTTTCAAGAGGCTCTCCGCCTTCTGCATGTTGCCCTGATCGGAAAAAACTGCCGCACGGTAGGTCTTCAGAGTATTTCTGTCACGGTCTTTCTCCTTCAGGGGCAACCGCTCCAAAAGCGACTCAAACTCATCCAGCCTGTTCTGCGCCACCGCCAAGTCGCCCTGCTTCCATGAGTCGTAGAAGCACTTGAAGTGCTTGTCCAATGCCTTGTGCCGCCAGCTTGCATGATCTAAGCTCTTCAGCATTGAGCCGGAATCTGCATCGTTCGTGACTCCGTGTTTTTCCAAGAACTCCTTGTGCTCTTTGAAGAGCTCCTTGGCCTTCTGCTTGCTTTCATAGGTGTCTTGCTGCCTCAGACATTGGGCATAGGACTGAACCAGGCTCGGCCCAAACGTCGTCTGCTTGATTGTGTTCTGCATGTCCAGGGCATCCTTGAAGCACTTCTCTGCCTTGGCCAAGTCGCCTTGCTGAAGAAGAATGTGCGCGGCATCGGCGAAAGCTTGCATCCTGTCAAGAGGCGAGACATTTGGGTTCTTCTCAGCGTCCTGACGCATCTTCAAGAGCTTCAGGCGTTGCTGTGTATCTGAAGTCACGTTTCCCTTGTCCGGAGGAGAAATAATCCAGACGTCTCGATTCTCGTGCTGTGCCACGCCCTCCTTGTTGCAACCTGCTTTCGGGTTTCCGCTGGGATCTTCGACCTTGAAACTCCGCAGCAGCTTCTTATCCGCTGGGACAAGGATCGGGATACAAAAGTCCGCTGCCTCTACAGCCCACTGAGTGCGGATGTCCTCCCAATACTGTGGGCAGCAAAGGGGCTCCTCATCGAAAGGATCCGTGTCACAACTGCCATAATTGTTCAAAGCCACACGCAGTTTGCTGCCGAAGTGTTCGGGTGCGTACTGGCTGGCATACAGGCCGTCTCCGAAGTGAGCTCGTTTTTCATATGAGCACCACAGCTCGTGAAATTTCTTATGGGCAGAGGTGATGGAGCTAAACGCAAGCTTCTTCGTGTAATGAAACAGCACCTTGAAACATTTGCAGCCGTCCGTGGACTTCAGGTCACAGGTCTCGCAGCTGCTTCTCAGGTCAACTGCATCGGCCCAGACGTCGATTTTCGTCTTTGCATGGCAGAGCACTCTCGTCATGTCGTTGTGTTCATGCCTCGAGACAGAATATTGGCACTTCTCAGAATCGGCTTCGGCATCATTAACCTCAAACGTTGCGCCCTTCACGTAGCGGTCCTGGCACTAAGAACCGGCCCGTGGCACTGTGGAATTTGTTCACAGAAACATGCTACTTCGCTGGAACTGCCTCGAAGAAATGGACCAGCTGTGATTTTGTCGATGTTGTTCGGTCCATTCCCTTTGCCAGGCTCAAATCACCAAGCTCCTTGGATCGCTCCCGACAAAAACCCCTACAAAAAGCCAGAGAACACTTCATGAGAGTCAAGGCCCCTCAATTGAAATTGAACCACCGCTTGTTCTTCTCGACGTTGCTGCGGAGTCACCTTCTCCAACTCCTCTTTCACGTTGATGACCTGGCCCAGCAGATCATGAACTTCAGAGAACGTGGGATGGACCCGAAACCCTAAGCCCCAGCCTTGTTGTACACATTGATGGGAGTCAGAGCTTCCAGGGCGCGAGAGAAGGCTGCATCGGAAAGGACCGCTAAGTCCGCCTCTTTCTTTTTGATCCAAAACTCAAACTCATCCGTGCCGTTTTTCCGTCTGCCGAAAACGAAAAGATCTGGCTTCTCCAGTAACTCCTCCACACCGTCTTTCCGTTTGCGAAACACGAAGCGATCCTTCTTCTTCAGGAACTTCTTTAAATGATCGGCAGTCTCGCACTCCTGGAGAACCTGCGAGCAATGCGAGTCAGTCTCTTGGGGAAGAGGGCACAAGGCAATGCTGTGGAACCAACCAGCTAGAGGCCATCTGGAAAGGACCCGAAACATCATTACGCGCGCGCCTGGCCGCCTCAGACATGGCTCGTATATGCAACTCGCGGACTTCTGAATCAACATCAATCTTGCAACGGCTCTAATTTGTGTAACTTGCAAAGGTAGAAAATCGAGCAAAGGGGCCTGTTTGCCCACCTCTTTGGGCCACTCCTGCCACGTGTCCAACAGCATCGTAACATCGTGCTCCAGCCAGCGTAAACACTGATTACACTGCAAAAGCCCAACAGGGCCCGCATTCCCATGAGAAGTGAGGCGCTTGAGAACTCGCTGCCCAGTCCCTGCCTCCGTCGCCTTCTCCAACTTCTGGAAAACTTCGGCGATATCGCTCATGAGATGACAGCTCTATGCCTAGATGTGGCAAACCTAAACACGGACAAGGCGACAGCTGTTGTACTGTCCATGGCTCAATGGCTCTGGCACATAGTCGGTAGACTTGCTTCAGCAGGTTCGGACTCTCCCCGAAACAGACAATGAAATGCGCATTTGCCTGTATTCATGCAGTGCTCTGAGCGCGCCGATTTGAACCCAAACACAACGAGGAGGAGTCTAGAGTCCAGACTCTACAGAGCTGGGTGTTCGTTCGCGGAGATACGGACATGCTCGCAATGGGGTCTCCACACAGAGATCGTCATGATGATGCACTTGTGTCGACTGCCACAGCCCGGCCTGGGCGCCGTGAGTCCCCAGAAGTGCCAGTGGTGCGTCTTATCCTTTTTGACCCTCACAATGCAGGGCAAGCATCCCACATGCAAGTCGTTCAGAAAAGTGATGTTGAACTGGACAGCAAGTGTTCTCTTCGGAACATTTCAATTGCCGTCCGCTCATGAAAAACGCTGGTCTCAGATCCCACAGTCAAGGATGGCTCTGCCCCCTACGGGACTCTACACCTTCAGTGCCTCTCGCTGGGACATCACCGGCGTGGCTGCCGGCCACGAGGGGCTGAGCTCATCTGCTCTCGGAAAAATAGAAGATGGTCAGGACCAGGGCCACCACGGCAAGCCTTAAGCTTCGGAAAAGGTGAAAAGAAAAAGCATTTTTGCACTAGGAAATTGCCTGCCGAGCCACAGGATAAGGAAGACTAGTACCTCGGTTCAGAGGCGGAGTACTGCGCACTTCTTGGCAATCTTGGATGAGTGGGTGGGAACATGATTTCTGCTTGCACCCCCTATTCTAGCATCATCCCCGAAGGTGAAACCTCTTGAAGCCTTCGTCGGAACCTCTAAATGCCTCCAACGACACAAAACTGCACGTGCATTCCTTCATGAAGTCAGTACATTGAGGGAACCAGAATCCTCAGAGAAACTCAGCGCCGCACCATGCAGCAGCGTGAAGGACACTTTGAGACTGAGATTTCGTCGGCCTCCCGAGGTTTTTCACCTTTCGGCTCACTTGGCCAATCTGTTCGCAAGAGGTGTTCTCTATGACGTGCCACGAGCAGGAGTTGTTGCAGCTGCGGTGGCCCCTGTGCAGTCACGCTGAAGGCCTGATCTAGCATCTCGTGGTGGACCCTGCTCGCATCACTTGGCCACTCTGCTCGCAAGAAATGTTCATGATGGCGTGCCACGAGCAGTTGCTGTCGCAGCTTGGGTGGCTCCGCTGCAGTCATGCCGAAGGCCTGATCTAGCATCTCGTGAACCCAGCTCGCATCACTTGGCCACTCTGCTCGCAAGAAGTGTTCATGATAACGTGCCACGAGCAGTTGTTGTTGCAGCTTGGGTGGCTCCGCTGAAGTCATGCCGAAGGCCTGATCTAGCATCTCGTGAACCCAGCTCGCATCACTTGGCCACTCTGCTCGCAAGAGATGTTCATGATACCGTGCCACGAGCGGTTGTAATTGCAGCTGCGGTGGCTCCTCTGCAGTCATGCAGAAGGCTTGATCTAGCATCTCGTGGACCCGGCTCGTATCGCTTGGCCAATCTGTTCGCAAGAAGTGTTCGTGATGACGTGCTGCCAGAGGTTGTGATCGCAGACGCGATGGCTCCTCTGCAGTCATGCCGAAGGCCTGATCTATCATCTCGTGAACCCAGTTCGCATCACTTGGCCAATCTGTTCGCAAGAGTTGTTCGTTATGGCGTGCCACGAGCAGTTGTTGTTGCAGCTGCGGTGGCCCCTGTGCAGTCACGCTGAAGGCCTGGTCTAGCATCTCGTGGTGGACCCTGCTCGCATCACTTGGCCACTCTGCTCGCAAGAAATGTTCATGATAGCGTGCCACGAGCAGTTGCTGTTGCAGCTTGGGTGGCTCCGCTGCAGTCATGCCGAGGGCCTGATCTAGCATCTCGTGAACCCAGCTCGCATCACTTGGCCACTCTGCTCGCAAGAAGTGTTCATGATAACGTGCCACGAGCAGTTGCTGTTGCAGCTTGGGTGGCTCGGCTGCAGTCATGCCGAAGGCCTGATCTAGCATCTCGTGAACCCAGCTCGCATCACTTGGCCACTCTGCTCGCAAGAAGTGTTCATGATAACGTGCTACGAGCAGTTGTTGTTGCAGCTTGGGTGGCTCCCCTGCAGTCATGCCGAAGGCCTGATCTAGCATCTCGTGAACCCAGCTCGCATCACTTGGCCACTCTGCTCGCAAGAAGTGTTCATGATACCGTGCCACGAGCGGTTGTAATTGCAGCTGCAGTGGCTCCTGTGAAGTCATGCCGAAGGCCTGATCTAGCATCTCGTGGACCCAGCTCGCATCACTTGGCCAATCTGCTCGCAAGAAGTGGTCGTGATGACGTGCAGCCAGAGGTTGTGATCGCAGACACGGTGGCTCCTCCGCAGTCATGCCGAAGGCCTGATCCAGCATCTCGTGAACCCAACTCGCATCACTTGGCCAGTCTGCTCGAAGGAGCTTGTCAGAGTAGTGTGCCCCAAGCAACCCTGGCGGTGGCAGGGTTGACTCCTGCACGGTCAAGCTTCTGCTGGAATCCAGCATCTCCTGAAGCATCCTCGCCTTAGATTCCGGCGTGCCAAGTGTCCAGCTGGGAGAACAGCAAGACAACAAGAGGGGAACAGGAGGACACTGATGGGAAGGAGCTGATGGCCGATGGCCTAGCTAGGTGAGAGGGAATACTGGGTCCCTCGACGAATAGGACGAGGATGACGGTGCGTTGGTCAGAACAATGGAGATGGCAATGTATAGACCGTAGATGATGACGAAAATCGAAATCCTGACGAGGTGGCGATGAAGACGATGATAGTCATGATGGTCATGATGATGGTTATGGTGGTGGTGGCTATGATGCTAACAATGATATTGATAATGATGGTGCTTCGTCGTCTTCGTCGTCATCATGATCCTATTCCTCATCACCATCGGCATCAGCATGAGCGTGCGAGTCACAGATGCCACTTCGCACGGCCGAGCGTGATGGTTACGATGATGCTGCTGCTAGAACTACGACGTAACATGGTGAGGATACTGTTGTTGGTGGTGGTGTTACCGTTGAAGATGCTCGCCGTACTGACACTTATGCGCGTGATGTTGCTGGGCACTATCGCCGTCATCGTCGCGACTTCGATGACGTCATCGCTACGACTATCACCATCACTGTCATGTCCGCTTATCATCTTAACCATCAACACCTCGAAATAATGGATAATCATCACCCATCACCGACAACGCCGATGATCAAATTCTTGATCATCATAACCACGTTGATGCTGTCAGTGTCAATGCTGGCGACGAGGGTGACGACGATAAAGATGATGATGGTCTGGCAATGATAGTCATAACCCTTTTCATGGAGGTGTTTGACCGTGCTGCGGGTGAGCATGACACTGGTGATGCCGATGATGATGATGATGATGATGATGATGGTCATTATCGCTATTATAATACCAGTGATGATGATGGTGCTGATGACGAGGTTCTTTTTCCATCTACAGCATCGTCCGCATCACCGTCAAACATCATCGACATCATCAGCATCAGCATCATTTTCAGCGTCATTATCATTATCATCATCTGATCATCATCGTGATGCTGGCGGTCTGAAAGTCAGTGCTGATGGAGGCTTCTCCAAGAGATGATGGTGGAGCTGATGGAGGCGACTGTGGTGGAGATTATGATAATGGTGACGGTGCCAGCTTTTTGCGGAAGGAACAAATGTCATGACGATAAATAACGTTTTTCAGACAACTGATACTAATGGAACGTGTCGTCAGCCTAGCTCCTGCAGATTCACGTAGTAACCTGCCTCAACTGCTGTGAAGCTCAGTGCTTGAGAGACATGGAAGCAGCTATGAGAAGCAGAGGAGACGAGGACAGATCAAATCACACATGACATGGGACGACTACTGAATCAAGCTGTCCGATGACGCTGTTGTCATTACACCGATTACGTTGAATGCCAAGACAGTTGCTTGTTTGATGCTGGTGATGGTGAAACACTGATGGTCACGATCACTGGGGTCAGCAAACTGCCATCGCAGATGGCCGAGGAACAGGATGGCAAGGATGAAATGCTTGATAGAAGTAGTTCTGTGATTCTATCGGTGCAAGGGATGCGACGGACAGACGGGTTGTGTTCAGCAATATTGACAAAGCTGCCACATCTTTCACGATGACACGAATCCTGGCAGATCCTGCTGTGAACCAATATCCCCTGCCAAGGATGGAGTTCATCACCACCAGGCATACCAGGGCCGTGCCCCTCCAAGCTCCGTCATCTTCGACATACACATGCGGAGTGAGCTGGACTTTGGCCTTCTGAACTCGAGTTGTCACCTGCATTGTCAACACAAGTCGCCAAGAACCTCTTTAAAACTGCTGCTCGCTATTGTACTTGTCACCCATCTACCTGCAGACATTCATTGCGAAAACTTGCAGACATCCATGTGTTTGCCTTTGTGCCAGTCACACGACATAAGGCATCAAGTTGATGCTAGGCCTGCTACACATACATAAAAGCGTGGAACAGGACCCCAGACGGTCGAGGCTTCAAAGCACCGCTGCCATCTCTGCCACGGTTCCTGTATTGTCGAAAGCCTCTTGCCTAAAGATGCAAGAACCCGATTCGAAAGTACCGCATAAAAAGGCCTTCATCTTGACTTCCGGCGCACATTGGAACTTGGAACTCAGTTTCCTCCTTGCCATAACCTTTCAGAAAGACAAGAGTTTCATCCCCAGGAAGGAAGTCTGAGAGCAAGAAGCTCGGAATTGGCGCTCATGTTCCTGCTTTGGCTTGCTTCGCTGCTTGTCTGTTTTGGAGGCGGGCCTGCTCCGGCTGGATCCGGCTTTGAATGCAGTGCTCCGCGTCCAGGACTACCAGCTTAGCAGCGAACTTGGTCGTTGCAGGCCGCCAGGGCTTTTTTTCGATCCTGGCGTCTGGTCGCACGTTTAGGGAATGGCGTCAAACATGTCACCAGCAGAAGCCAAGAAACAAGGAAGGCGGCAAGCGGCAGTGGACGGTCACCTTCCCAACACTCGCAAAAGGGCTGGCTATCGAAGCCTCGAAAGGCCTGTAGTGCCGGTGGAAAAGTTCGAGAAATTTGCACCCTGGTATGCTGCAACCACAACCAAGCATCATGTGCGACAATTCAGCACTTCCATCTGTCTTCGCGCGCCTTCTGGCCCCACCGGACCTCTGACTCGCGGACACTTACCACGGACATCTGACATCGCCAGGACAACTCACGAAGGCAACACCGCTACTGTCCGAACTACAAGGGCAACGGCTTCAAAGGAAAGCAAGAGACTTTGCTTCTACATCTTCAAGATGCGACGACCCCTGACAGAAAGGATACGGAACTGTTCGCATTGCCGCCGGGATATTTCAATTAAACTGCGAGCCAAAGTTGAAGTTGCGGTCGGATGAAGACCCGACACCGGGCTCGGTTATCTTTGGAAGTGAAGTGACAATGGTGCATTCAATCCGGCAAGAAGACACATGCATCGACGAGATGATGGGATGTGACGATTGCGAACTCAATTCGTGCACGCCCACCTCTGTAAGTTTAAGTTTACATCGCTCATGACCTGACAGCTCTGCTATGCTCTCATACCTGAACTCCGAAAAAGTCAACAGCAAGATGCAAGGGTGCATTCCATGTACTGAACGTCAAGCAGCGGTGCAAGCCTGACACACACACAGAGGACAAAAAAAGAAGCACCGAAACATGATTTGCACATATAATATATGTACATATACGTATCTACCTCCCTCCACAGCCCACCGCACCCCTCATGTTAGGACATTTTTCTAAAGTAGCGGTACTTATTCCGCTGTCTCTTCCTGTCGCATAGCCACAGTCTTGGTCTCACGTCACATCTTGATTTGTGTGGGAAATGCTGCTTTTCTCACAAGGCTGTCATCATTCACCAGCAGTTCCATAGCAAGACCGCCATCGCCATCTGTATCATCACCGGCATTAGCCTGCGAGACCGGTGCAACAAGCACGCATATAAATGCTTTTACACACTAGGAGCCGGAAAAATGTTAATGCTGGTGAATGCTTCGTTCACCATTGTGCTGCGCATGTTTTGAACGCATGAAAGGTATTTCAACCAACTACGATAACCCAATATGCTGCAACTAACGGAAAATCGAGCAATGACTTTGAACTGTGTGACGTCTAATATCTACACAGTATTTCCTTTCCGATTCCATATTCTATTCTAGACGAGCGCATAGTCGAGATTTGTTGTGTGTTTCAATCTTCGCTTGCTACCTCATTGGCGCTTACAGTCACGAGTTAGATTAGTATAAGACGTCCAATATCCTCGAACTGCCATCTGCAAAGGAGCATGCTTAGGCTAGTAGGCGGCAGATGTTGACATGTTGCTCAACAACTGTATTAGGATACATGAAACAGAAAGTATGTCATGCCGAACTCAGTTACAAAATGGTAACAGGCGGCCAATGCTCAGCTTCCTGACTGATGCTGACATGTTGACCAAAGATTCGACACTCAATTAAACGAGTAACTAGTATGTAATGTCCGTCTTATGAGATCTCACGGAGAAACTCCATGGAAACAGTGCTTCTGAGGCTAGAACGATTTAAGGCTGTTGGCGGATTGCTGCTGTTGCCAACCATCCCCGATTATGCAGACCCCTTCAGTCCCGGCTGCAAGCGCACATGAGATCCCAGTACCGCTACGTCGATTCTGCTACATTTCGTAGAACTCGCTACATGCAGCCAACGTGAACCTTTTGAAGGCATCTCCAGAGGCAAGACATGGCAAACTGCATGAAGCTGAACAGTCTCCTTTGCCGGCCGTCTTAGGAAGGCTCCAAAGCCAACGTTCATGCTTAGAGACCGGGATACCTCGCTCTCAGAGGGATCTGAACTGCCCATTGCAAACTTTGTGCTGGGCTGTTCTCGTGCGAATCGCAGCAAACCAGGCTGCTTGGGGCACCAGAAGATTTCGGCCGAGCATAGTGGGATCTCGACAGTCCAGAACTAGCGAAGCCTCTCTTTGATGCTGCTCGTGCATTTCTCCAGCAAGGCATCTACAAGCATGAAGGCCCCCAAGCGCCGCCAAAGGGAGGAAAGGTGATTTGCAGTTTCAGCACCCCAAAGAAGGATCAGAGATGTTGAATCTCAGACCCTGGCCTGGTCCGCCACACAAACACCCGAACTCTGCTGCAAAATACCCCTGCGGCCCTGGCTGGTGGCCTCAGAGCCCTTTGCTAGCTTAGCGTGTCAGCGTGCGTAGAAGAAAGCAAGATTCCAAGAAGAGTGCAATAGACTTGACGGCACGCACAGCTGGGCAGTTTATCTCCGAGGATGGCTCGGATGATCGCAGGGGGAGCACAAGAAGCTACGAGTTTGTACAAGTCGACGTACCAAGAAGCATAGGCCGATGCACCACTATAAGGAAGCCAGCGGCTACACCTTTCATGGATCAGCCTTCATTGACCCTTCATTCGCACCCTTCTCGTCCCTAGCGTGTCTTCGGGTGGAGGAATGTGTAACTTTCTCAAGGGCCACACGGCTGACATACAAAGATCCTGTTCAGCACACAACGCAGAGCACTTCAAGCGCATCTCATAAGTCCGTGCAGATAGTGTCGAATGCAGCTGGCACAGCTGCATGATGTCTTGACCTGACTGCACATGCAGAGCGGGCTGCTGGGACACCACGGGATTAGCTGCCAGTTCATCTGCTCCCAGACGCATAGAAGATGGTCAGGACGACAGCCACAGCAAGCCTTAACGCTTCGGAAGGTGCGGCAAGCAAAGTTGCCTACTTCACTGGGGTATTGCTTGCTGAGACACAAGACCAGGAAGAGAAGCGCCTCGGTCCAGACATGGAAATCAAGGAGCAAACGTCGTGGCACGACCCAGAAGATATGCCATTGCCTTTTTGGTCGACGAAAATAGCAAAACGAGGATAGGACACGTGCCACGACAGAGAGCACTTTCCATTCTCAGCCAGTTACCCAGAATACGTTTGAGACGGATTTCTTCCTGACCTCTGCCGAAAACAAAGTTAAAGTCTTTCGGAAAGCAAGCAGGATCGGTTTCTGGAGTTTTGGAAACCTTCTGCAGCAGCACTGTCACTCTGGAGATATCACGGGAGAGTGATCGTTTTCGTACATCTGCATGCACACCCACCACATTCGCGGCCAGACTCCCCATATGTCGGCTGCACGAAAGACATTTATGAGGTGCCGTATGCTGGAGTGGAAAAGGAAAGAGTATCAATAGCACATCGGCTTTGTCAACACACCGAGTTGAGCTGGCTTCTGGGAGCCATTCAGCCCCACACTATGCAGCAGCACGAAGGAGACTTTGAGATCTTCTCCATCTGCTCGACATCGAGCGAGAACGGCTCCGGACATCGCACCTGAGCACAGTGCAATAGCTCTGGCGAGACCCACCCGAGATGTAGCATGGGAGGCATCCACACAGCACAATGCAACACCTCACTTAGCTTCAGGCTTCCCAGCAGCATGAACAACAGTGGAGAGCCTTCTCCCTATCCCAAGAACTGTTCAAGAGGGGCTGGCTGAACCCTGGTGCCAATTTCCGGAAGCCCGGCAGCGTTGGCTGTATTGCTGTAAAGCTGTGTGCCAAATCCAGCATCCCATGAATGGAGCTGTCGCTTGGCCAGTCTTGCGACAGCAGTTCAGTGCGCCATGTGATCAACGATCTCGATGAGGAAACCTTCCGCGTCAGAACCGTTAAGCTGGATGTCGATTCCAGCACCATCAAGCTGCAGGTGGAATCCAACATCTCGTGAAACCAACTGGTTTCACTTAGCCAGTCTGCTCGCAACAGCTTGTCGGGCTGGGCCGCCCCTGGTGGCGGGATTGATTCCGGTCGGGTGGGATTGTAGCTGGAATCCTGCATCTCGCGAACCCACTTAGTATCACTTGGCCGGTCTGCTCGCAGCAGCTTGTCGGGATGGGCCGCCCCCGGCGAGCGTCGTGGTGGTGGGGTTGATTCTGATGCCGCGGGACTGTAGCTGGAATCCTGCATCTCGCGAACCCACTTAGCATCACTTGGCCGGTCTGCTCGCAGCAGCTTGTCCGGGTCGTGACGGGGTGTTGATTCTGGTGCAGTGGGGCTGTGGCTGGCATCCTGCATCTTGCGAACCCGCCTGGCACCACTTGGCCGGTCTGCTCGCAGCAGCTTGTCCGGGTCGTGACGGGGTGTTGATTCTGGTGCAGTGGGGCTGTGCCTGGCATCCTGCATCTTGCGAACCCGCCTGGCACCACTTGGCCGGTCTGGCAGCTTGTCCGGGTCGTGACGGGGTGTTGATTCTGGTCCAGTGGGGCTGTGGCTGGCACCACTTGGCCGGTCTGCTCGCAGCAGCTTGTCCGGGTCGTGACTGGGGGTTGATTCTGGTGCAGTGGTAAAATCCTGCATCTCGCGAACCCAACTCGCATCACCTGGCCAGTCTGTTCGCAGCAGCTTGTCAGGATAACGTGCCCCGAGCAACCGTGATGCTGGCAGGGTTGATTCCAGCACCGTCAAGCTGCAGGTGGAATCCAGCATCTCGTGAACCCAACTCGCATCACTTGGCCAGTCTGTTCGCAGCAGCTTGTCAGGATAACGTGCCCCGAGCAACCGTGATGCTGGCAGGGTTGATTCCAGCACCGTCAAGCTGCAGGTGGAATCCAGCATCTCGTGAACCCAACTCGCATCACTTGGCCAGTCTGTTCGCAGCAGCTTGTCAGGATAACGTGCCCCGAACAATCGTGATGCTGGCAGGGTTGATTCCAGCACCGTCAAGCTGCAGGTGGAATCCAGCATCTCGTGAACCCAACTCGCATCACTTGGCCAGTCTGTTCGCAGCATCTTGTCAGGATAACGTGCCCCGAACAATCGTGATGCTGGCAGGGTTGATTCCAGCACCGTCAAGCTGCAGGTGCAATCCAGCATCTCGCGAACCCAACTCGCATCACTTGGCCAGTCTGTTCGCAGCATCTTGTCAGGATAACGTGCCCCGAGCAACCGTGATGCTGGCAGGGTTGACTCCTGCACGGTCAAGCTTCTGCTGGAATCCGGCATCTCCTGAAGCATCCTCGCCTTAGATTCCAGCGTGCCAAGCATCCAGGGAGAACATCAAGACAACAAGATGGGAACGGGAGGACACTGATGGGAAGGGGCTGATGGCCGGTGGCCTGGCGAGGTGACACGGAATGCTGGGGTCCTTCTACGAGGCGATGACGAGTGTAAAGATGCAGATGAGTGTAAAGATGCAGATGGTGATAGGATGATGCAGGTGGCAATGACTGTGCTGATGGTATGAACAACGCACAATGAAGATGACAGTGCGATGGTCAGAACTACGGAGACGGCAATGGTGCATAGACCGTAGATGGCGACGATAATCGTGATCCTCATGTGGTGGCGATGAAGATGGTGATGGTCATGATGGTCATGACGATGATGAGGATGTTTGTGATGATGACGATGGCGATGAAGATAATATAACGATACTGATAATGATGGAGCTTCGTCGTCGTTGTCTTTGTCGTCGTCATCATGAACCTCTTCGTCATCACCATCATCATCAGCATGAACATGTGAGTCACAGATGCCACTTTGCACCCGAGGGTGATTGTTACGATGATGCTGCTGCTAGCACTGCGACACAACATGGGAAGGGTGCTGGTGGTGGTGGTGGTGGTGGTGGTGGTGGTGGTGGTGGTGGTGGTGGTGGTGGTGGTGGTGGTGGTGGTGGTGGTGGTGGTGGTGGTGGTGGTACCATTGAACACGCAAGCCATGCTGATACTTGTCCGCGTGATGTTGCTGGGCACTATCGCCGTCATCGTCGCGACGTCGGTGACATCATAACTATGACTATCACCATCAGTCTAGTCCTTTTTTCATATTAGACATCAGCACATCACCATAAGCGATAAGATCATCACCCGCATCACCAACAATGCCGATGATAATCATCTTGAACATCACCATTATGATGCTGTTAATGTCAATGCTGGCGAGGAGGTTGAAGACGATAAAGATGTTGATGATGATAATGATGACGATGATGGTATTGAGTCTGACAATGATGGAAGTAACCCTTTTCATGGTGGTGTGTGACCATGTTTGCAGGCGATCATGACACTGATGATGATGATGATTATGATGCCGTTGATGATGCTGGCGATGATGATGGTGCTGATGACTACAGCCTATTCCATCCACATAATCGTCAGCAGCACCGTGAACATCATCGACATCATCAGCATAAGCATCGTCTTCGTCGTCATTATCATCATCAGCATCATGATTATTATCATCTTGCCCATGATGGGCTGAAAGTTTGCCAAGAGATGACAGTGGAGTTGATGGAGGCGGTGACGGTGCCAGTCACTACGGAAGGAACAAATGTCGTGATGATACATAACTGGTATGCAGACACCGGATTCTGGTGGAGAACTGTTCAGCCCAGCTCCTAGTAACTAGTAACCCACCAAAACCCTAATGTGAAGATCAGTGAATGAGAGACAAAAAGCAGAGGAGACGAGGGCGTGTCAGATCACACATGACATGGGACGAATTACTGAATTGAGCTATCCGATGACGCTGTTGTCATTGCACCGATGCTACTGAAGATGAAATGCTTGATGAACGTAGTTCTAAGGCTGCAAGGTTCTGTGGATGAGACATTGCAAGGACAGCGCCAACAGGACTACTACGGGTTGTGTTCAGCAATATTGACAAAGCTGCCACATCTTTCACGATGACACGAATCTTCGCAAATCCTGCTAGGATCCAATATCTCCTGCCAAGGATGGAGTTCATCACCACCAGGCATACCAGGGCTGTGCCCCTCGAAGTTCCGTCGTCATATTCGAAATACACGTTCGGAGTGAGCTGGACTTTGGCCTTCTGAACTCGAGTTGTCACCTGCACTGCCGACACAACTCGCCAAGAACCTCTTTACAACTGCTGCTAGCTATCGTACTTGTCACCCATCTACCTGCAGACATTCATTGCGAAAACCTGCGCGGACATCCATTGATGCTAGGCCTGCTACACATACATCAAGCGTGGAACAAGACCCCAGACGGTCAAGGCTTGAAAGCACCGCTGCCATCTCTGCCACGGTTCCTGTATTGTGGAAAGCCTCTTGCCTAAAGATGCAAGAACCCGATTCGAAAGTACTGCATAAAAAGGCCTTCATCTTGACTTCCGGCGCACATCGGAACTTGGAAGTTAGCTTCCTCCTCACCACAACCTTTCAGAAAGACAGGGTTCATGCCCAGGAGGGAGGTCTGAGAACATGAAACTCGGAATTGGCTCTCATGTTCCTGCTTTGGCTTCAGTGCTTGTGGGTTTTGAAGGCGGACCTGCTCGGGCTGGATCCGGCTTTGAATGCAGTGCTCTGCGTCCAGGACTGCCAGCTTAGCAGCGAACTTGGTCGTGGAAGGCTGCATGGGCTGTTTTTCGATCCTGGCGTGTTGTCGCGCGTGTAGGGAATGCCGTCAAACATGTCACCAGCAGAAGCCAAGAAACAAGGAAGGAGGCAAGCGGCAGTGGACGGTCACCTTTCCGACACTCGCAAAAGGGCTGGCTATCAAAGCCTCAAAAAGCCAGCAGTGCCCCGAGGTGGAAAAGTTCGGGACATTTGCACCCTGGTATGCTGCAAACACAACCAAGCATCATGTGCAAAAATTCAGCACTTCCATCTTTCTTCGCGCGCCTTCTGGCCCCACCGGACCTCTGACTCGCGGACACTTACCACGGACATCTGACATCGCCAGGACAACTCGTGAAGGCAACACCGCTACTGTCAGAACTACAAGGGCAACGGCTTCAGAAGCAAAGCAAACTTTGCTTCTACATTTTCAAGATGCAACGGTGCATTCCATGTACTGAACGTCAAGCAGCGGTGCAAGCCTGACACACACAGGACAAAAAAAGAAGCACCGAAACATGATTTACACATATAATATATATATATATATATACATAAACATATGCTACCTCCCTCCACAGCCCACCGCACCCCTCATGTTAGGACATTTTTCTAAAGTAGCGGTACTTATTCCGCTGTCTCTTCCTGTCGCATAGCTACAGTCTTGGTCTCACGTCACATCTTGATTTGTGTGGGAAATGCTGCTCTTCTCACAAGGCTGTCATTCACCAGCAGTTCCATAGCAAGACCGCCATCGCCATCTGTATCATCACCGGCACTAGCCTGCGAGACCGGTGCAACAAGCACGCATATAAATGCTTTTACACACTAGGAGCCGGAAAAATGTTAATGCTGGTGAATGCTTCGTTCACCATTGTGCTGTGCATGTTTTGAAAGCATGCAAGGTATTTCAACCAACAACGATAACCCAATATGCTGCAACTAACTGAAGATCGAGCAATGATTTTGAACTGTGCGATGTCTAATGTCTACACAGTATTCCCTTTCCTATTCCATATTCTAGACGAGCGCATAGTCAAGAGTTGTTGTGTGTTTCAATCTTCGCTTCCTACCTCATTGGCGCTTACAGTCACGAGTTAGATTAGTATAAGACGTCCAATATCCTCGAACTGCCATCTGCAAAGGAGCATGCTTAGGCTAGTAGGCGGCAGATGTTGACATGTTGCTCAACAACTGTATTAGGATACATGAAACAGAAAGTATGTCATGCCGAACTCAGTTACAAAATGGTAACAGGCGGCCAATGCTCAGCTTCCTGACTGATGCTGACATGTTGACCAAAGATTCGACAATCAATTAAACGAGTAACTAGTATGTAATGTCCGCCTTATGAGATCTCACGGAGAAACTCCATGGAAACAGTGCTTCTGAGGCTAGAACGATTTAAGGCTGTTGGCGGATTGCTGCTGTTGCCAACCATCCCCGATTATGCAGACCCCTTCAGTCCCGGCTGCAAGCGCACATGAGATCCCAGTACCGCTACGTCGATTCTGCTACATTTCGTAGAACTAGCTACATGCAGCCAACGTGAACCTTTTGAAAGCATCTCCAGAGGCAAGACATGGCAAACTGCATGAAGCTGAACAGTCTCCTTTGCCGGCCGTCTCAGGAAGGCTCCAAAGCCAACGTTCATGCTTAGAGACCGGGATACCTCGCTCTCAGAGGGATCTGAACTGCCCATTGCAAACTTTGTGCTGGGCTGTTCTCGTGCGAATCGCAGCAAACCAGGCTGCTTGGGGCACCAGAAGATTTCGGCCGAGCATAGTGGGATCTCGACAGTCCAGAACTAGCGAAGCCTCTCTTTGATGCTGCTCGTGCATTTCTCCAGCAAGGCATCTACAAGCATGAAGGCCCCCAAGCGCCGCCAAAGGGAGGAAAGGTGATTTGCAGTTTCAGCACCCCAAAGAAGGATCAGAGATGTTGAATCTCAGACCCTGGCCTGGTCCGCCACACAAACACCCGAACTCTGCTGCAAAATACCCCTGCGGCCCTGGCTGGTGGCCTCAGAGCCCTTTGCTAGTTTAGCGTGTCAGCGTGCGTAGAAGAAAGCAAGATTCCAAGAAGAGTGCAATAGACTTGACGGCACGCACAGCTGGGCAGTTTATCTCCGAGGATGGCTCGGATGATCGCAGGGGGAGCACAAGAAGCTACGAGTTTGTACAAGTCGACGTACCAAGAAGGATAGGCCGATGCACCATAAGGAAGCCAGCGGCTACACCTTTCATGGATCAGCCTTCATTGACACTTCATTCGCACCCTTCTCGTCCCTAGCGTGTCTTCGGGTGGAGGAATGTGTAACTTTCTCAAGGGCCACACGGCTGACATACAAAGATCCTGTTCAGCACACAACGCAGAGCACTTCAAGCGCATCGTACATATTGTCGAATGCAACTGGCACAACTCCATGATGTTGTCCTGCAACTGGCAGTAGGTGCACATCCTACGGTCAAGTCAAGGACGGCTCTGCCCCCACGAGGACCTGTCTGCAAATGCAGGGCCGGTTGCTGCGACCCCAGGGGATTAGCTGCCAGTTCATCTGCTCCCAGACACATAGAAGATGGTCAGGACGACAGCCACAGCAAGCCTTAAGCTTCGGAAGGTGCGGCAAGCAAAGGTGCATGCTTCACTGGGCTATTGCTTGCTGAGACACAAGACCAGGAAGAGAAGCGCCTCGGAGCAGACGTGAAAATCTAAGAGCAGATGTCGTGGCACGAGTCAGAAGATCTGCCACTGCCCTGTGTTGTCTACGAAAAAACGAAACGAGGATAGGTTACGTGCCACGACAGAGAGCACTTTCCAATCTCCGCCAGAGTGCAACAAGCTTCCCCCAGAATACGTTTGAGACGAATTTCTGCTTCACCTCTGCCGAAACAAAGTTACACTCCTTCGGAAAGAAAGCAGGACCGATGTCTCAAGTTTTGGAAAACCGTCTGTGTCTGGAGACATATCCCGGGAGAGTGTTCGTTTCAGTACATCTGCATGATCCCCCCCCCCTGCAGCCGCTGCCAGACTCCCCACATGTCTGCTGCACGAAAGACATTTATGAGGTGCCGTATACTGGAGTGGAAAAGGATGGAGTGTCAACGCAGGCTTTGTCATTACACCGAGTTGAGCTGGCTTCTGGGAGCCATTCAGTCCCAGACTATGCAGGAGCATGAAGGAGACTTTGAGATCTTCTCCATCTGCTCGACATCGAGCGAGAACGGTTCCGGACATCGCACCTGAGCACAGTGCAATAGCTCTGGCGAGACCCACCCGAGATGTAGCATGGGAGGCATCCACACAGCACAATGCAACACCTCACTTAGCTTCAGGCTTCCCAGCAGCATGAACAACAGTGGAGAGCCTTCTCCCTATCCCAAGAACTGTTCAAGAGGGGCTGGCTGAACCCTGGTGCCAATTTCCGGAAGCCCGGCAGCGTTGGCTGTATTGCTGTAAAGCTGTGTGCCAAATCCAGCATCCCATGAATGGAGCTGTCGCTTGGCCAGTCTTGCGACAGCAGTTCAGTGCGCCATGTGATCAACGATCTCGATGAGGAAACCTTCCGCGTCAGAACCGTTAAGCTGGATGTCGATTCCAGCACCATCAAGCTGCAGGTGGAATCCAACATCTCGTGAAACCAACTGGTTTCACTTAGCCAGTCTGCTCGCAACAGCTTGTCGGGCTGGGCCGCCCCTGGTGGCGGGATTGATTCCGGTCGGGTGGGATTGTAGCTGGAATCCTGCATCTCGCGAACCCACTTAGTATCACTTGGCCGGTCTGCTCGCAGCAGCTTGTCGGGATGGGCCGCCCCCGGCAAGCGTAATGATAAACGGGTTGACTCCTGCACTGTCAAGCTGCAGCTGGAATCCAGCATCTCGTGAACCCAACTCGCATCTCTCGGCCAAGCTTCTCGCAGCACTCTTTCAAAACAATATACCCAGAGCAACCGTGATGCTGGCAGGGTTGGTTCCTGCACAGTCAAGCTGCATGTGGAATCTAGAATCTCGTGAACCCAGCTCGCATCACTGGGCCAGTCTGCTCGCAGCAGCTTGTCAGAATATTGTGCCCCGAGCAAGCGTGGTGGTGTCAGAGTTGACTGCTGCACAGTCAGGCTGTGAGTGGAATCCAGCATCTCGTGAACCCAACTTGCATCTCTCGGCCAGAACGCTCGAAGCAACTTTTCGGTACAGTGTGCTCCGAGCAACTGCGATGGTGGAAAGGTTAACTCCTGCACTGTCACGCTGCAGCTGAAATCCAGCATCTCGTGAACCCAACTGGCATCTCTGGGCCAGTCTGCTTGTAGCAGCTTGTCAGGATAGCGTGCCCCGAGCAACCGTGATGGCGGCAGGGTGGATTCCAGCACAGTCAAACTGTTGCCGGAATCCAGCATCTCTTGAACCCAACTCGCATCACTCGGCCACTCTGCTTGCAGCAGCTTGGCAGAATAGCGCGCCCCGAACAACCGTGATGCTGGCAGTATTGATTCCAGCACAGTCAAACTGTTGCCGGAATCCAGCATCTCGTGAACCCAACTCGCATCACTTGGCCAGTCTGCTTGCAGAAGCTTGTCAGGATAGCCTGCCCCCAGCAACCGTGATGACGGCAGGGTTGATTCCAGCACTGTCAAGCTGTAGCTCGCATGCTGCATCTCGTGAACCCAACTCGCATCACTTGGCCATTCTGCTTGTAGCAGCTTGTCAGGATAGCGTGCCCCGAGCAACCGTGATGCTGGCAGGGTGGATTCCAGGACAGTCAAACTTTTGCCAGAATCCATCATCTCGTGAATGCAAATCTCAATCGACCAGTCTGCAAGCAGCGGCATATCAGAACTGTGTGCATCGAGCAATCGTAATCGTGGCATGGTTGTCTCCTGTACTGTCAAGCTGCAGGTGGAATCCAGCATCTCGTGAATCCAACTCACATCAACTAGCCAGTCTGATCGCAGCAACCTTTCAGTTGAGCGTGCCTCGAGCAACCGTGGCCGTGGCAAGGCTACCTCCTCCACAGTCAAACTGCTAGTGAAATCAAGCATCTCGTGAACCCAACTCGCATCACTGGGCCAGTCTGCTCGTGCAAAAGCTTCAGGGTAGTATGCCCCAAGCAACCGTGATGCCGGCAGGGTTGGCTCCTGCACAGTCAAGCTGCATGTGGAATCTTGAATCTCGTCAGCCCAACTCACATCCCTTGGCCAGTCTCTTCGCAGCAGCTTGTCAGGATAACGTGCCCCGGACAACCGTGATGCTGGCAGTGTGAATTCCAGCACAGTCAAACTGTTGCCGGAATCCAGCATCTCGTGAACCCAACTCGCATCACTTGGCCAGTCTGTTCGCAGCAGCTTGTCAGGATAGCGTGCCTCGAGCATCCGTGGTCGTGGCAAGGCTACCTCCTCCACAGTCAAACTGCTAGTGAAATCAAGCATCTCGTGAACCCAACTCGCATCACTGGGCCAGTCTGCTCGTGCAAAAGCTTCAGGGTAGTATGCCCCAAGCAACCGTGATGCCGGCAGGGTTGGCTCCTGCACAGTCAAGCTGCATGTGGAATCTTGAATCTCGTCAGCCCAACTCGCATCCCTTGGCCAGTCTCTTCGCAGCAGCTTGTCAGGATAACGTGCCCCGAACAACCGTGATGCTGGCAGGGTGAATTCCAGCACAGTCAAACTGTTGCCGGAATCCAGCATCTCGTGAACCCAACTCGCATCACTTGGCCAGTCTGTTCGCAGCAGCTTGTCAGGATAGCGTGCCTCGAGCATCCGTGGTCGTGGCAAGGCTACCTCCTCCACAGTCAAACTGCCAGTAAAATCAAGCATCTCGTGAACCCAACTCGCATCACTGGGCCAGTCTGCTCGTGCAAAAGCTTCAGGGTAGTATGCCCCAAGCAACCGTGATGCCGGCAGGGTTGGCTCCTGCACAGTCAAGCTGCATGTCGAATCTAGAATCTCGTGCACCCAGCTCGCATCACTTGGCCAGTCTGTTCGCAGGAGCTTGTCAGGATAACGTGCCCCGAACAGGCGTGATGCTGGCAGGGTGAATTCCAGCACAGTCAAACTGTTGCCGGAATCCAGCATTTGGTGAACCCAACTCGCATCACTTGGCCAGTCTGCTTGCAGCAGCTTGTCAGGATAGCATGCCCCGAGCAACCGTGATGGCGGCAGGGTTGATTCCAGCGCTGTCAAGCTGTAGCTCGCATACTGCATCTCGTGAACCCAACTCGCATCACTTGGCCAGTCTGCTTGTAGCAGGTTATCAGGATAGCGTGCCCCGAACAACCGTGATGGCGGCAGGGTTGATTCCAGCACTGTCAAGCTGTAGCTTGCATACTGCATCGTGTGAACCCAACTCGCATCACCTGGCCAGTTTGCTCGCAGCAATTTCTCGGCGAAGTGTGCTCCGAGGGACTGTGATCTTGGCAGGATTGACTCCTGCTCAGTCAAGCTGTAGCTGGAATCCGGCATCTCGTGAAGCATCCCCCTCACCTTAGATTCCGTGTCCCGACGCGCGAAGTGTCCACTGCCAGCTGCGACAACGCGCACGTATGGACAAAAACAGCTCATCGTTGGGATGATGATAGGAAGGGAGGCTGACGAGGTGACAGGGAAGACTGGAGTCCTGGATGACAGCAGGTAGCGTGTCTACGAGGTGATGACAACCGCAAAGGGGCAGACCGTTAGGAGTGAGGTGATTCTAACAGTGCTGTTGATACGAATGTTGAGATTGACAATGGCGCTTGACAGAACACTGGAGACGGCAGTGGTGTCTGGACCACAGATAATGACGACAGTCGTAATCCTGATTCTGCGGCGATGAAGTTCATGGTCATGATGATGATGGCAATGATAATGCTGTCGATGATGACAATAATGTTGATGCTTCGTCGTCATTGTTGTCGCCGTCGTCAGCATCATCTTCCTCGTCACCATCATCATAAGCATGACCGCGTAAGCCTTCGGATGCCACTGGGCACGGCCGAGCGTCATTGTTACGATGATGCTGCTGCCAGTACTACCTTACTGGACATGACATGATGAGGATGCTGACCTTCATAATGTGGCTACGGTTGAAGATGCACGCTATGCGACGCTTTGCGTGTGATGTTGCTGGGCACCATCGCCGTCATTCGCCGTCATCATCCAAAGTTCGATGACATCATTGCTATGACTGTCGCCATCACCGTCATGTCCGTATATCATCTTAGCCATCAACACCATCACCATCATCACCATCCCCATCATCAGTATCCTCATCAGTCCACAGACACATCGGCGACAATACCAATGATGATGCAGGTTCGCTGATGACAATGACGACGATACGGATGATACTGATGATATAAACTCTGTTGACGCTGGTGTTTGAAGGTGCCGTGGGTGCTTGTGATGCTGCTGGTGATCACAACGCCGCTGATGAACCACCTGGCGATGGTGATGCTGCTGATCAACATCATCATCATCGTGATGCTGATGGGATGAAGTCTCGGCTGAAGGAGGCTTCGCCGAGAGATGACGGTGGTGCGATGGTGCTAATGGGGGCGGCTGTGGCAGACAGTATGATAATGGTGTCGGTGCCAGTCATGAAGGAAAGCACGAACAACCACGTATATGCAGACATCGGATACTAATGGAAAGTGTCTTCAGCCTAGCTCCTGCAGATTCACGTAGTAACCCACCTCAACTGGTGTCAAGCTCAGTGCTTGAAGTAACAGACCTGGAAGCAGTTATGAAAAGCAGAGGAGACGAGGGCGTGTTAGATCACGCATGCCATGAAACGAATACTGCGAAATCAAGCTATCCGATAGTGAATGTCAACACAGTTGCGATTTGATGCTGGTGATGATGATACACTGATGGTCACGATCATGGAGGCCATCAAAATGGTATATGAGATGTCCATGGTGGCGATAATGATGATTAGGAACAGGATGGCAAGGATGAAATGCTTGATCGAAGTAGTTAGTCGGTGCACGAAATGGTAAATACAACAAGGTCATGACCGGTGCATGAGGCATTGTAAGGACAGTGACAGAAGGATTGTGTTCAGCAATATTGACAAAGCTGCCACATCTTTCACGATGACACGAATCCTGGCAAATCCTGCCAGGATCCAATATCCTCTGCCAAGGATGGAGTTCATCACCACCAGGCATACCAGGGCCGTGCCCCTCCAAACTCCGTCGTCATCTTCGAAGCACACACGCGGAGTGAAATGGACTTTGGCCTTCTGAACTCGAGTTGTCACCTGCATTGTCAACACAAGTCGCCAAGAACCTCTTTAATACTGCTGCTAGCTATCGTACTTGTCACCCATCTACCTGCAGACATTCATTGCGAAAACCTGCGGACATCCATCTGTTTGCCTTGTCCCAGTCACACGATATAAGGCATCAAGTTGATGCTAGGCATACATAGAAGCGTGGAGCGGGACCCCAGTCGGTCGAGGCTTGAAAGCACCGCTGCCATCTCTGCCGCGGTTCCTGTATTGTGGAAAGCCTCTTGCCTAAAGATGCCAGAACCCGATTCGAAAGTACCGTACAAAAGGCCTTCATCTTGACTTCCGGCGCACATTGGAACTTGGAACTCAGCTTCCTCCTTGCCACAACCTTTCAGAAAGACAAGAGTTTCATCCCAAGGAAGGAAGTCTAAGGACATGAAGCTCAGAATGTTTTGGCATGCTTCGCTGCTTGTCGGTTTAAAATCGGGCCTGCTCCGGCTGGATCTCGCTTTCCACGCAGTGCTCCGCATCCAAAACTATCAGTTTAGCCGCGAGCTTGGTCTTTGAAGGCTGCATGGGCCGGTTCTCGATCCTGGCGTGTTGTCGCGCGTTTAAGGAATGCCGTCCAACATGTCACCAGCAGAAGCCAAGAAACAAGGAAGGCGGCAAGCGGCAGCGGACGGTCACCTGTCCAGCACTCGCAAAGGGACTGGCTATCGAAGCCCCGACAAGCCAGCAAATTTGCACCTTGGTGCAAAGCAAACACAACCAAACGTCATGTCCCCGTGTTCCGCACTTCCATGTTTCTACGTGCGCCTTCTGGCCCCACCGGACCTCTGACTTGCGGACGCTCACCACGGACATCTGACATCGCCTGGACAGCTCATGAAAGCAACACCGTTACTGTCAAAACTACACGGGCAACGGCTTTAAAAGAAAGCAAACACCTTTGTTTCTACGTCTTCAAGACACAACGACCTGGGTCAGCAAGGATGCCGAACTGTTCGCACTGCGGCCGGGATATTTCAATGAAACTGCGAGCCGGAAGTGAAGATGTGGTCGGATGATGATTCGACAACTGGTTCGACGTCACAATGGTGACCAATGGTGCATACTTGTATTGACTGCTAAACAGTGGTGCAAGCATGACACAGGCGTGATGAAACAAAAAGATGCACCGAAACGCTAACGCGATACGTACTTTCACGCATGCATGCACGCATGTGCTATATATACATATACTTGTATTTCATGCTGCCGTGCTCTGATGGAAAAATCCATCCCAACAAATCTGTCAGCGCGGCTGCAGAGGGGCCTCAACATCTTCTCAAGAAACATCCACACGGCATGAATGGCATGCATGGGCATCCAAAAACCTATCTGGAGCACTAGTTGCCCGAAAGCATATGAAGCTGCGAAGATGTATGTATGTGAGATGTACATGCATGAATGCATGCCTGCATGCATGCATGCATGCAAACGTGCATACATGCCAACATGTATTCGTCGTGCGTTCGTGATAAATGTAATTATATATATATATATATGTATATGTGTAACATCCATCACCCATGTCATGTTCAGGCATTCACACACGCTCAATCTGCTTCAAGGTGAATCATGCAGCAACAAATATTTCTTGGGAAATGCTTCCAGACGCATTGATGATGTCAGTTTACTGCAATTCGAGTTCCGGGTACTCGGACCAGTCCCCAGAGCTTCCAAAGATGCTTAAATAATTTTTAGATATCTTTAATCATCTTGATTAAACACTATAGTGTCTATTTAAGCATGGTATGTAAATGGCAAAAACAATGCTTAATTAAGAAATGTTATTTTCTGTATATGCATCCCAATTATATACATGCATGCGGACGATCGACTGCACGTGTTTTTCCTCCCAAGGATCACGTGCCGATCTCGATTCGAGGAACTTTATTAGCTGCCAGGAATCGTCTGAGAACTTGACAAGAAACAGCATTCATCGAAAACTTGCCACCACGCCGTCTGCCCAGAAATGCTAGGGTATGCCCATAGCTCTCATCCCTGTAGGTCCAGGTCTTGCTAGGGTTCACCTCGCCCCTGGCCAATTCGAACAGCTGATGGGCTTTAGGTTTAACCCTGAAGAGCTTGTCCACCTCGAAGTAAGTCTCGAGGCTGCCCCAGAGTAAAAGAAACTTCTGAGAAGAAACTCTGAAGACTTCCTTGTCCCAAGCTGCAGTGCTGAGACAGGCATATATGGACTGCAAAGCTTCTGTGCCATGCAACATCGCCTGTTCAGCAGGCTTTGCTGGCGACAAATACTTTGTAGCCAATTCCATGGCAGCACCGACGAGTGCTCGAGCTTCCCCTGCTTTGGCTTTCAACTTGGGGGATTTGATCTTGCCTCGATCCTCTTCACGAAGCATGGTGGGAAGGAGCTTCGGCAATCGATCTTGGACCCCAGTTCTGTCGTAGTATGCCTTGATGTCTTGGTACAGCTTGGCACATCGGATGAGTTTGCTCAGGCCTCGGATCTTCTCACTCTGCAAGTAAAACAGCAAAGACCCAAGCCAGTCGGATGTTACTCCGAGGTCGCAAGCGTGTAAAAAGTCCATCTTGCAGCAAGCCGTATTGAATCCTGGGCAAGAAAATAATCTCGACACCAATTTATTCTGCTGCCTCTGGCGCATGAAGAAGTCCATGCTGGAAATGAGAGGGTACCTGAGGCAAAGGCAACTGCCAGGAATAAGCGATCGACTTCAACTGTCTAGCATGCCTCACACGTCGAAATTAAAAGACAATTCTTTCCTGGTGGCGATATTTCGAGCCGGTTAATTGACTCCTTAAGTCGACTGTATCATGCTAGGGTATGCCAAAAGATATAAAACTTTGAATCTATCAATCCCAGATGCTTGGCGAAAGTCTGAGTATCAAATTTTTTCAAATCAGCTCGGGGGCACATACACCGCCAACAGATAAACCCCTTCGAACTCCAAGAAGGGAAGCTCAAAACGTCCTTGTAACAGCTCCAATCAGCTCGAAATTCAGCCAGAGCAGCTCTCAGTGGAAGCTTTTTGCCTGCCAAACGTTGTCGATAACTATCGGTTCGATTGAAGGGCATGCCATCGTGTCGGCAGCTTGGCATGCTCCCCGTCGCCAGCTGCTTAAAGGACCACTGGATGATTTCGAATACATCCTCAAAAGTTTGCGATTTGGATACAAATTCTTTTGGAAAGGCCGCAACAGGCAGGCGAAGATTCTGCTGGCCAAAGATGTTCAAAGAAATCGTCTCCAAAGTCATGGATCGGTCGCTGTTGAAAGGCACACCATCGCACCGGAGAGTGGATTCAGAATCCAAGCCCAACTCATCCTCCAAAAAATGCAAGTGGTTCTCCAGGTCAGGCCTGTCAGGCAAGATCTCGGCTTGCTGCTGAAGCAAGGCCTCTGGCGTGTTCACTTTGAGTAGTGAGTGCAAGGATTCGTGAGGCAGCCAAATTGCCAAGAAATACTCTTCAGACGTATTCTTCGCCTGATTCCAGCCACGAACCTTTGCATAATATAACGAAGGCCATTTCGTGTTTCTGAAACATTTGCGCAAAAGATCCCGATGGGTGTTGCGAGTCTCTTGGGCGGACCTGTAAATCTTCCACACGCAGTGCCCCGGCTTGCTGTGCTGACCGCAGTACTCGAGCGCTTCGCTCAGAACTGAGCTCATTGTTTAAAAATATGTCGACCATCTCGGATCCGAATCGTTTTGCAGGAGCAACGGCCTGGACATCTTCTGTTGTCAAAGATCTTTTGTTGAACATTGCCGGCAAGTCTCGAAGCGAAGCGAACCCTACAGAACAATTCCGTCTTAGTGGCCTGGCGGGCCACCTGGCCTTTCGAGTGCATGTAGAAGTACTTGCTGAGCACCTCGAACTTGGGGTGAATTTTCGTCGATCTCTCATAGCCGTACCGCTTTTCGGCTTCGGATATCAGCTTTTCCAGCAGATTCTTCTTCATATCTTCCTCCAAGCCGCTTTCATCGATGCCCTCCAGCTTGAAAATTGCCGTTCTGCATGCAGTGTGCATGCATGCTCAATATAATCATCCGTTCCACAGTCGAAGCCTAGAGAATATAATCATAGAATAGACAATCAAACAAGAGCAAAAATCTGACAAAACTGCCACCGAAAATCCGAGTGTACCAGTTCTTGACGGTATCTTCGTGCTCACTGTTGGTATTCACGGTCGTCTTGACCAAATCGTGTACCTAATTACACTGACGGACGTCGAACTGTGAGACCTTGCTCAATATCTCTCTCTTGGTGGCAATGTCCTCCGCCTCGTACTCCTGCCAAGGAGCACGAGTGGAACGAAAACAAGAATCAAAAACAACTGGCACGGAAGTGCCGGAAGTGCAAGATGCAGGCGGTCCTCGAGTTCTTTTTGGGCGTTTTGTTTCTCTTCGTCCGTAGTTTTTTTTAGCTTTGAGCTGATAGCGAAGCCCGGTCAAAGCAGCTGAAATTGTGCTCCGAGCATACCCCAAGCCGCTCGGTGCCGTTAAATCATCGTCTTTCTCGGCCGCATCACCGAGCTCCACCTTGGCAGCCTTGGCTTTCCTCTTGGGGGTCACCTTTTCGTGCTTAACCTTAGCCTTGGCGGCCTTGCTCTTTGCAGCCATGGCCTTGGCCATCTTGCTGTTCTGCGGACCTTTGCCGCCCTTGCTCTGGGCCGGCGCCATCAATCCGGGGAGGCTACAGGAATGCTACCCGATCATATATCGTGAGCTGAGCTCGATCTAAACATTGATTCAGCAGAAAATTCATGCGAAGAGTCGAGAACGGTGGCACACGAGTGCCATGACATGTTCACTGTTGCACACAGCATGCATAAGTTATTTCATTTTGCAAGACACCATCGCCTTCGCCGGCAGGTCAGAGCTCGTCCAAATCATAATCGTTTTGCCACCAATGCATGTCAGCACCTAATCTCCTAGCCAAGGAGATGGCACTTCCAGAGACCGAGCGACACTTCAGGAAGTATCTATCATTCCAATAGCCAACATAACGAGTATACCATTCATACAAGAACTTTTGGAAGCACTGCTCGGAGCAATCAAATGTATCGTACAGAAACCACAGAGCGAATGCACTCAACCGGGTCGTGAAAAGCCTTCTCATCAGCTGCAAAGCGAACAACGGCAAATGAAGCACAGGTCGCTGCCTCATGCCTCCCATGTGCCAGCTCAGTTGCTGTTTCATCCACAATCGAGCCTTTGCATGGCAGGGCTGGCCTGCAGAAAGTCAAAACTCTGCTGCCGAACTTGAATCCAAGAACCTGGCTGGGTACAGCTGCCGATGCCAATGCGGTGGAGAATGGTCGCTCTGCGGATCCGCACCTGGGTCTAGGAAGACCCCGAAAATTTTTAACAAGCTTTTTTTTTAACAAATTTTTAACTGTTAAAAAAAATGGCTTATGAAAGGATTCCTTTCATAAGCCATTTTTTTAACAGTTAAAAATTTGTTAAAAAAAGCTTGTTAAAAATTTTCCGTCGCTTACCAGAATCTATCTTCACCCATCACTCCCCACAACAGACCTCAGAGAGAATTGGACACGAATCACAAATGGAACTGGCCTGGGTTCTGATCCTCCATGCTGCGAAGACCTGGCAATCGCTAGACGACATGCATGTGTACACGTGAACAAACTCCTACCCAGGAGCAGGACCACTCCTACCAAGGAGCAACAAACTGCAAACGTGATGCACACCAGCTGCCGACTCCTACCAACAAGCTGCAACCTACGAGCACTGCCGACCCAAACACAGATGCACACTAGCTGGCGACTCCTGCCAAGGAGTCCTTGTTTTTATCGTCTCGTTGCGGGAAGATCAATCCGGCGGAAGACACCTATGCTACAGCAGACACTGCCTCAACGCAGTTCATCAGAATCCTCAGGGTCTTCCTGGGTTTCATCTGCAGCCGCCTGCTCTGCCTGTGTTTCCGCTTGGTTATTCTTCAGGCGCTTGTAGGCTTCATCAAGACCAATCACGTGTTCAATGGTCTCGGCGCCTTCCACCATGGATCGGAAGCTCTGCCAGGTATGCACCGAGCCGGGCTCCTCCTGAGCCTCGTCAGGACCCGCATCCACTGCAGCTGGCTCCTCAGCTGCACCACCGCCCTCCTGACGGGCTCCTTGGCCTGCAATCTGCTTCGCCTCGGCCTGCAAACAGAATGAACATGTGCTTCATACTGATGTGACTTAAGTTATAACAGATGCACTGAGCATCTGCAGAAGCTGGCTCCTACCTAGGAGCATATACCCTGATACCACAGAATTTAACCCAGGCCTCACGGATCAAACGAAGCTTCTTGGAGGATTCCGACGGAGCTCCTCCGACCCATCTGCCCTCCTGCTTCAGAGTCTCAATCTGGCTGGCGAGCCACAATTTTCTTTTCTTGCCTTTGCTCTTCTTGAAAGACTGCTGTTGCTCCTGAGAGGCATAGTCCCGCTGCCATCGATCCGAGCCCCAATATTTCTGGGATTTTTTATCCATAAACTCTTCCCATTCATTGTACTTCTGCATGGCATCCTGGCTTCTGCCACTCTGCGGGCCGGGCCTCTCCCAGCTGGAGCTCGACTGCTGCTTGCGACCGCCGCTCTTCCAACCACGGCCATAGCTGCTTGAATAATCGCCATCGCCCCAAGTCTTTGCTCATTCGCAGCCGTGCTTTGTTCAGCAGTGTCACCTTGCTCCGTGGCCCCGGTGCTTTCCATCGCCGGCTCCTTCCCAGGAGCTTGCATGTAGGGGTCATCCTGCACCGGCGGCTCCGCTTTCACAGGCACAAAGCGCCGTTTTTGCACTGCAGCCTGATATTTTTCGGAGGTGGCACCCTTTGCCTGAAGCCTCTGCCACTTTTGGCCCTCCTCAAGGGCCACTTGGGCTGCCGACGCAGCCTTCTCCGAGCCATAGCTATGCTCCTTCTCCATCTTTATGGCTGACCTCAGAGCATGCCCCGCCTTGTGCTCCTGGGAAGCGCTTTCCCATGCATGGCGGGCGTCCTCATACTCGGAAAAAGAGCTCACTTGGTTTTTCTCCTCCAAACCGAAGATGAAGGCATTCGCCTCTTCGTCGCTGGACACGACCTCCTCGATCCGTGGCCCGTCGCCTTCCCGAGCAGCCACAACCTGAACCTCCGGCTCCTCCGGCTCCTCCGGGTCCGATTCCTCCTCCTCGAGGACGTCTTGGAGTTGTTGCTCAAGCTTGTTCTGATATACGCCGTCAGCGTAGCCGCTGTTCTTCCACGAGGTCCAGCTCCAGGATCGTTTGCTCGAAGAGCCCAGGGACCCCGAGGATGCAGTCTGGGGATCTGAACTCTGAATGGGGCCACGTGCCCAAAGATTGGTATTGGGCTCCTGACGCATGTAATACCACTGGCATAAGATGTTGATGCACACCCGCTTCCTGAGATAGCTCCGGGTCCCGCATTTCGGACACATACGAATGTCCTGCAGGGCTTCCGGTGCATAGCGCTGCGACATAGCTGAATTAACAGCTAAGCTCAAAAAAACTGCTCGGAGCAATCGCAGCTGCTTCATACTCGAATCCTGACTGCTACCTCCTACCAAGGAGTTTTCAGCACATGTATGCCCTGCAAACAGCGATCGCCAGCAGATCTAGATCTCACATGCATCTCAAAACATGCACATGCTCCTACCAAGGAGCTAGCATGCACTGCAATTAAGACTGCTGCACAGAAATGCAAACACAAGCCGTCGCACCTCGATCTGAATTTGAAGATCGACCGGGATCGCAGCTGCTGCCGCCAGACCTGCAAGAACAGCCAAGATTCTTTAACCTAGCTCCTCCCAAGGAGCTCATGCTTGGACTTCTGAACTGCTGGCATGCATGCAGTCAGCAAAAAACAACCTAACACCTGCACTGCCAGAGCACATGTCCAGATCTCAACATGTGTCTTCGGAACTTAAGCTAGCACTCTGAGGCCCGGACTTGACAAAGCAACAACGAAAACACTCATGCAAAAACGGCTGCAGCAACATCAAGTCAAGCATGTGTGTGCACCAGCAACATGATTCGTCAAAATCTCTGCACTTGCACTAGTGACTTAAGCAAACTAAGCGAAACTGCAAAACTTCTGACAAAAATATTTTTCGTCCAATCCTGCATGCATGCAGCATGTCGATCTTTGCAATTCCATCCATCTGTACAATCGCTGATATATACAATCCTATAGCTCGATCGGCACGATTCAGTCAGGGTTTTAACCGACTCAGCCTTATTCTGCTCGTCTGCCAAAGAATCCCGGCAAAATTTAAGGCAGACACTCCAAGCATCTGCTAAATTGTCGTACGACCAGGAGTACTGGGATCGGCATTCTGTTGGCTTGATCCAGAAAGCCTTGTTCCTCACAAGGACGTCAATGGCGATCCCGTCCGGCAGTCGAACAGTATAAGAGTGCTTACCCGAAGCATTGGCCGGTAGCTGAGCCTCTTCTGGCATTCCTGTGATATCATAGCCTTGGAACAGGAGTGCATCACTAGCTGCACCTCGCCGCCTCGAGCTTTTTGTCAGAACCAAAATCGCTTGCTGCATCAGGAGACTCCTCAGCAAGAGCTGCTTCGGAATCCGGTGCTTCCTGCTCCTCCGGGGCGGACGACTGCTTACATTTGCCCTTCGCTTTGGCTTTAGCTTTCCCACGAGCTCGTTTCAGCTTCGAGCCTTTTTTGCTTTCATTCATCTGAGCAAGCCATAAATTCGGCACCTCCGATTGGAATGGCATTTCAGATGGAAAGCAAAGCATGCAGAATCCATCAGGTCCCTCTGAAAGTTCTCCTCTCACTTCTTGGCCATCGTCAAAATAAGCCTTCTTTGCTCGTCTTTTGGTCTTCGCTGCGGCCGGCTTCTCATTTTCCGACGAGCAGATTTCAATTTTCGCTTTGGCTGTCATGAATAACACCAAAGTCATCAACATCGCCAGCTTCGTCTGCAAGCTCGACGTCTGCATCTTTAACCTCCTCCTCTCGAACTAGGTGCTTTCGGCCAAGAATTGCAAGTGTCGACAAACTCTTAAGCCTCCAATCCCACCGATTGTCTTACCTTGCTTTCTCTCTCCCTCTGCCCCGCGAGCTACAAGACAGAAAGAGAATTGTTGTTGCCTTCTGCGACCACTGCAAGCAAAATTGAGAAACTGAACACCGCACAACATGACGGGAAATCGAAATGACGACAGCTAGCATGCACAACTCTGAGCCAAAATGTGCAACAACCAAAGTTTACAAAACATACGTGAAACAAGTACACGATACGCCGTCCCGAACAGAGGAGTTCCTTTCTTCCAATGCACAGTGGAGCGACTCTTTGAATCCAGCAAGCTCATCCAGGAGCCCACCACCAAATCTCCGCCGAACGAGCTCATACCAGGATAAATCGAAAACTCGTCCTTCAGGTAGGCGCCGCAGCATGAGTGCCCCGGTCAGCGAAATCAACCTTCACCCCAAAATTCTTGCGGGCTGATTTTGACTTCGCATGCCGTAGTCTTTTGGAAAATCCTCTCGGCCTGGAAGGGACGGACATCCCACCAGCGGGTGAATGGCACAAAGCTCGTTGGTCCGAAAGCTCAGGCACCAGTCTACGTCAGCTGTCAGCTCTATGAGGCAGCTGACATTTTGGGGTTGCAGTGTTCCCCTGCGAAGCCGCATTCTGTGTGGCTTGCAAAACGG